AAGCAGCTCTGACAAATATGGTAAACTGTTGGCATGGCAAATGAAAAAGAGACAAAAATTAAATACGATTACGAACTTAGAAGTGGAAGGAAGAAATATACAGAACCCTGCAGAGATCAGAAGTTGTTTCCAGAGGTATTTTAAACGATTATACACTCAAGGGCCATTGAAAGAAACAGACCTAGACCAATTTTTGAAAACAAATGGATTACAAAAAATATCTCAAGAAAATAAATTAATTTTGAATCATAGAATAACCGAACAGGAAATAGAAGGTGCCATACAAAACACGCAATTGGGTAAATCTCCAGGACCATACGGCTTGACTTCTAGATACTACAGATCTTTAAAAGAATGGTTAATTCAACCTTTGAAAGAGGTCTGCAACGAAATAATGGAGGGGAAGAGAGCACCAGAGTCGTGGAAAGAAGCATATATTACACTTGTACCAAAAACAGAGACTGAAAAGACACAGCTTAAGAACTACCGCCCTATATCATTACTTAATGTGGATTACAAAATTTTTGCAGATATTTTGGCTAAGAGATTTTAAAAGTGTTGGTGGAAGAGATTCATAAAGACCAAGCGGGCTTTCTCCCAGGAAGACATTTGTCTGACAATTTGAGGAATATAATTGATATTTTGGAAAAATTAGAAGTGAATATAAACACTAAAGCAGTTTTGATATTTGTAGATGCGGAGAAAGCCTTTGACAATATTTCTTGGAATTTTATGAAGAAGAATCTACAGGGTATGGGGGTAGGCCAAGGTTTTGAGAATGGTATAAGTGCAATTTATTCAGAACAAAAGGCTAAACTAATTGTAAATAATGTTGTGACGGAAGAACTTAAAATTGAAAAAGGGACACGACAAGGTTGCCCAATTTCCCCACTTCTTTTTATTTCGGTCCTGGAGGTTCTGCTGAATATGATTAGAAGGGACCAGTTGGTTAAAGGTATACAGGTCGGAACTAAACAGTACAAATTGAGAGCATTTGCAGATGACCTAGTATTGACGTTACAGGAGCCAGAATCTAGTACTAAAAGGGTTTTAGAACTGATTCAAGAATTTGGTCAAGTGGCAGGATTTAAATTGAACAAGTCAAAAACCAAGGTTTTAGAGAAAAATTTAACACCGATTGAAAGAGAGAGGTTTCAGAATGAGACAGGTTTAACAGTGGTTAAGAAAGTTAAATACCTGGGGATTAACATGACAGCAAAAAATGGGAATTTATTTAAAGATAACTATGAAAAATGTTGGTCTGAAGTGAAAAAAGATTTAGAAATTTGGTCAAATTTGAAGCTTTCACTGCTGGGCCGTATTGCTGTGATAAAAATGAATGTATTGCCTAGAATGTTGTTTTTGTTTCAAACTTTGCAGATCGTGGACAAAATGGATTGTTTCAAGAGGTGGCAGAAAGATATTTCTAAATTTGTCTGGCAGGGCAAGAAGCCCAGAATAAAATTTAAAATACTAACGGATGCAAAGGAAAGAGGTGGATTTGCCCTGCCAGACCTCAAACTTTACTATGAATCAGCAGCTTTTTGCTGGTTGAAAGAATGGCTACTTCTTGAAAACACTGACATTTTGGACTTGGAAGGTTTTAACAATGTATTTGGATGGCATGCATATCTATGGTATGATAAGGTCAAAGCACATAAAGCATTTAAAAACCACATTGTCAGGAAAGCGCTGTTTAATGTTTGGATAAGATATAAGGATTTGCTAGAAAATAAAACCCCAAGGTGGCTGTCACCAATGGAAGCGAAAGCCTTGAAAAGGTCAATATGGAGGTCAAATGGCCGAAATATTGGGAAATTTTGGAACAAGATGGAGATAGACTGAAATTGCAGAGTTTTGAAAAATTAAAAAACAAAGTGCGAGACTGGCTTCATTATTTTCAGATAATGGAGGCATTTAAATTGGACAAGAAAATTGGCTTCCAGGTGGAAAGATCAAAATTAGAAACTGAACTGTTAGAACCCAAAACTAAGAATTTGTCAAGAATGTATAACTTGCTGCTGAAATGGAATACTCAGGATGAAACGGTAAAATCGGCTATGATTAAATGGGCACAGGACGTTGGACATAACATTATGTTTGCTGACTGGGAACAGTTGTGGACCACAGGTATGAAATTTACGGCATGTAATGCCTTAAGAGGAATATTATGAAAATGATATACAGGTGGTACATAACCCCAGTCAAGCTTGCAAAAATTTATCACTTGCCCGATAATAAATGTTGGAAATGTAAAGAAACTGAAGGTACATTTTTCACCTTTGGTGGACGTGCCCAAAGATTAAGGCTTTCTGGGAAATGATATATAATGAATTAAAAAAGGTATTTAAGTATACCTTTCCCAAGAAACCAGAGGCCTTCCTCCTGGGCATAGTGGGCCAAATGGTGTTAAAAAAGGATAGAACTTTCTTTATGTATGCAACAACAGCAGCAAGAATACTCATTGCAAAGTATTGGAAGACACAAGAACTTCCCACGCTGGAGGAATGGCAGATGAAACTTATGGACTACATGGAATTGGCGGAAATGACTGGCAGAATCCGTGACCAGGGAGAAGAGTTGGTGGAGGAAGATTGGAAGAAATTCAAAGACTATCTTCAGAAACACTGCAAAATTAATGAATGTTAGAGTGATGTTGGATTGAAAATAAGTGGTTTCCAGCTGTACAGGATAAAGTTGTACAGATTAGGATTAAAGAAGTTTAAGGAAATGGAAATTTGGTACTTAAGAGGTAAAATTTTAAAGTTATACTAGAGTGAGATTAAAGATTAGGATTAAAGAAGTTTAAGGAAATGGAAATTTGGTACTAAAGAGGTAAAATTTTGATGTTATATTATATTAAGATTAAAGACTGGGATTAAAAAAGTGGAAAAGAAATTGCTGGACAAACAATTTGGACTGGAATACAAAAGAGGGAGGTATGAGGAAGTCCAGAAAATAAGTAAATTTAAAAACGGAAATGAAAAAGTGATATTGTTTTTAATTGTTCGGTTTATTCTGTTTTATTTGCTTTTTGTTTTTTGTGTGTTTATTTTCCTTTTTTTGGATTATGTATAGTGTGTTTGTGTATTTTTTTTGTCTTTCTGTCTAACTTTTTCTGAAACTTTAATAAAAATCATTTATAAAAAAGAAGCAGCAAAAGTTTCGACAACGTTTCTGACGTCGCAGCCAAACCCCCCGGAGCGGGACTTGCCACCACGCTTCCAAATACAAACGCGCTTCTTTCTTCTTTTTTTGCGTCGGCTGGGGATTATTTTTTCCTTTAAGGTGGCCTCTCGCCTGAATGTCCGCTCCAGAAAGCGGAGTATTTTCTCAAACTTTTTTTTGTCCCGTCGAAGTTTTGATGTTTCTGGTCTTGTAACGTCCCAAATGCAGAGGCAAACTTTGGATCGCGAAACCAGTTCGCTTCGAAGCTTTCCTTGGCGGGGGCCACGTCGTCCGGGATGAGGCCCCCGGGCCGGCCGTCCTTCGAGGCTGCTTCCGGCCAGGGGCGGCCCCCAGCGCGGCCGCCCGCCCCCTCCGGCCCGCCCCTTGGCGGCAGGGCTGAGCCAGGCCAGCGCCCCCTTCCCTGGCTGGCCTGGGGCGGAGCCGCCCCTCCCCGCCCGGCGGCTTCCGCTCCGTCGGCCAAGCCCCTCCCCGCGCCGAGAGGCGGCGGCGGCGGCGCTGAGAGATCCGGAGCGGCTGGGCTGCCCGCGGCGACTCTTCCGGATGGACCCGCCGGTCAAGGCCGGGCCGCTCCTGCTCCAGCAGCCGTCGGGGCTGCGCATCGGCGCCAAGGTAAGGGCCGGGGCTCCTCGGCGGGGTTGCTCCCAGCGCCGCCGCCCGACTGCCATCCGGCGCTTCCGGCATGGGGCGCTGCCGGCAGCGCGGTCTCTGCGCGGGGCGAAAGCGCGGGCGGCCGAGGGGCGACTCTCCTGGACCCGGCGCCGCCCCTTCGGGATGGGGGCCCCGTGGGCTGCTCTGCCTCGACGAAACGCCCCGGCCCCCTCCCTGCCCGAGGCCCATCCGGGACCCGCTCCTGGGCTGCTCGGGGCACCTCCCGTGCTCTCCCTTCTTCTGACGCCCCGTCGAAGCCAGAGGAGCCGCGCGCGGAGGAAGCGGCGGCGGCGGCGGCGGCAGCGTTCATTCCTGCCGCCCCGGCGCCTTGTCTCGCCCTCCGGGGCCGCCCGTCCAGCTTCCAGCTCTGGGTCCGGTCCCGGCGACGGGCTCTGCTCTCTCCTCAGGGCTTCCCGGCCCTTTCCACAAACGTGCGCCAGACGAGCGCAGCGCCCCGGGGTGCTAATAGGGGTCCCTGGTTTGGCCCAGACGGGGTGGGGCGTCGTGGCCGCTGCAGGGAGCAGAACTGGACCAGGCCGGATTGACCACTCTCCTTGAACCCTGACTTGGAGGCACCTGTTGGGCCTCTCATATGCCAGCTGAGGGCAGACCCTTCCCTGGTTATATGCAACTTCCCTGCTTGCAGAAAGGCAGGCTCCAAGTGCACCACTGTGTGTCCCTGCGGCTCCTCTGCCCCATTTCCGCTCTGCCTCTCGTTGCAGCGATGGAAGAAGAGCTGGTTTGTGCTCTACCCGGCCAGCCCGCATGGTGTGGCGCGCCTGGAGTTCTTCGACGGCAAGGAGGGTCCCGTGCCGGCGGAGCGAGTGGGCACCAGGCGCCTGGACAAGAAGATTGTGCGCCTGGCGGACTGCGTGAGCGTGGCCCCCGCCCCAGACGGCAGCCCCAAGGAGGGCCTTTCCGCCTTCCGCCTGGAGACCAGCGAGCGCAGCTACCTCTTTGCCGCTGAGCCCCACGAGGCGGCCGACTGGATGGCCAGGCTCTGCGAGGCAGCCTTTCTGGTGAGCCCACCCTGGGGTCTCGGCGCCTTGCAGGGAGAGGCCCTTGCCTGAAACCCTGCTCAGCTGCTGCTGCCAGCCAGTGTAGACAACACTGTGCTGGCTCTGCATAAGGCAGCTCCCGATGTTCCAGGGACGGTGGAGGGCTGGTCCGCCTTGGCTGGTGGGAAGAGCCCCCCACTTCACTCCTTGCCCCCCCGGCCGTGCTCAGGGCGGCAGGGGTGCTGTGCATGCCAGGGATGCCCTGGATGCCCCCTGCAGCAGAGGAGCTGCCATTCCTGGGAAGGGCTGGGGGTGTCTGCTGACGTTCTTCTCTCCCGGCAGGGCAACCCTGGCAAAGCAGCACAGCCTGCGGCCGACTGCGCTGGGGGGCGACCCCTGGAGATGGCCATGAACGCCATTTATTACTCCCGAGAGGAAGGTAGGAGGCGCTCGGGAGCAGAGCTGGCTCCATCCTGTCCCTGTCAGACTTTCAGCCCATTCCCCCCCCCCCCGGAGTTTGGGTGGTGGGGCAGAGGGAGTGCCATAGGAAGTCACGGCTGCTGCAGGACAGAATTGCATGCTGGGAGTCCCCCGCTTTGGAAAACGCAGCTTAGGCTGGGAGGATTCTGGCTGCCAGGGCTGCTGATTCTGGGGTGACGGCTGCTGGGCGGGTGCCTGCCCCCCGAGGTCGCCTGCTCTGACTCTCCCTCTTGGCCACAGTCAGCGAGTTCTGGGTGACGGTGCAGAAGACGGAGGCTGCTGAGCGCTGCAAGCTGCAGGGGGTCTACGTGCTCAAGGCGTCCGGCGAGGGCCTCATCCTTGGGGACCCCCACTCCAACCAGCCCCTCTTCACCTGGCCCTACCGCCTGCTCCGCAGATATGGCCGGGACAAGGTGGGTCCAGGAGGAGGGGTGCATGTGGGAGGGAGAGGCAGGTAGGCGGGGGGGGCTGCATTACTGGGGGCCGGACCATGGGGGCAGGATCATGGAAGCCCAAGGAGTCATTTAGTTGAGATTCCTGCATTGCAGGGGGGTTGGACTAGATGCCCCTCAGGGGCCCTTTCAGGAGGAGCTGCTCTTGCTCCCTGACTGTCAAAGAGCTGCCCTGGGAGAGCTGGTGATGGGGGCTGGGCTCCCTCAGTGGTTGAGGAGGTGCCCAGCTGGCCCTGGGTGGGGCAGTGGGGAGCAGTCCCCGGCCTTCTGTGGTGCCCAAGAGCTTGACGGCCAGCTCAGGGCTCTTGCTGGCCCTGTGGGATTCTGGCTGGCGGGGCTTGTGCTCAGAGCGGGCAGAGCAGGGGCGGGGGAGGTTCCTGTGCCCCTCAAAGGGTGCCTCTTGGCCCCGGGGCTCCTTTGCGGCCCCTGACTGTGCCCGCTCTCTGTCCCGCAGGTGATGTTTTCCTTTGAAGCCGGCCGGCGCTGTGAGTCTGGGCCAGGCAACTTCACCTTTGAGACCAAGCAGGGCAACGAGATCTTCCACGTGGTGGAGGCGGCCATTCAGGCGCAGAAGGCACAGGTGGTTGAGCATCGCCACAGCACCTGCTCCCTGGACGCCGAGGTGGGCCAGCTCCCGGGCGCCCTGGCCGGCTCGCTCAGCCTGGAGGGGGAGAGCCTGGCGCCCGCTCTGGCCCCCGAGAGACCCGGCCTGCGCCCGGCCCTGGCCGCCAAGCTCAGCGCTGCCACTGCTGCGGAGGAAGAGGAGGTGGTGGCCCCCGCCAAGGGGCTGGGCCTGCGGGACCCTCTGGCCAAGTGGCCCAGCACTCCCCCCCGCTCCCCACTCCCTGAGGTGCCAGGACACCCACTGCCCCCCGAGGATGCGGGCAACGTCTACTCCGAGCCTCTGGACGCGCTCAGGGCCCCTCGCCCCCGGCCGGACGCCCTCTATGCGGAACCCGTGGACAGCCGGCGTGAGGGGGGCAAGGAGCGTTGCCCTCCCCAGAGCAAACTGCTGTATGAGGAGGTGGGCCCTGGCGGCGGCCAGGACAAGCACACCAGCAAGGTGCACATCTACGACGAGCCGGAGGGGCGGGCCCAGTGGCCGGTGCCCACACCCACTGCCATCTACGACGAGGCCCGCCTCCCCTGCGAGGCCTGGCGGACGCAGGGCATGGAGAGCCCGGCTGGCTACGAGCTGCCCTGCCTGCTGGGGACGGGGGAATATTCAGTGCCGGCCTTCCCCCTGAAGCAAGGCCTCCCCAAGCCCCCCAAGCCCTGCCCTGCCCCCAAGCCCCCCCGCACCCACAAGAAGCCCCCCCAGCCTGGAGCCCCCAGGCCGGCCCCCGGCAACAGCAACAACAACAACAGTGGCCGCGGGGGGGAGGAGCCCCTCTACAGCAAGGTGGTGAAACCACCCCTGGCCAGCCCCCGTCGCTCAGGGGGGAGCAGTCGGGAGGAGCAGTCGGTGGACGAGCCGGGCGGCCTCCATCTAAGAAGAGCTGGGTGAGATCTGATGGCTCCCGGGGACGGCGGGGGGCAGGGGACCCCCTTGGTCCTTGCAGGATCCGTCTTGGGCAATATTTTTCTACAGATGTCTATTTTCATATTAAAGCATTTTGTTTCAGTGGAGCTGAATACACTTGGGGGGGCTGAGTGCCCCAGGGGGGCAACGGGTGGGTGGGGGGCTGAGCAAAGCAGGTTTCTGGAGCTGCTTGGGAGGCTGCAGTTTGGAGCAGGCCAGGAGAGGGGAAGCTGAGCCCTGCCAACTGTCAGGGGTGGGTTCCTCCCATCTTCCCCTGGTCCTAAGGGCCCCTCCAATGTGGGGTGTCCTGCTTCAGAGCATTGGACTATCTCCTTCAACGGGGGGTCTGCCCCACTTCATTTTTTCTTGGTGGGGGGAGAGACGCCCCTTTCCCGGCCCCTGAACTGCCTGGGAGTATTGAGCCCCCCACCCCCGCTTCCTTGTACTAGTCCCAGGCAGAACTCCCTCCCCCAAAAGATGCAGCCTGGGGGTGCCAAGGCGGAAGAGGCCCAGGGAGCGGCTGCAGCCCCCGCCTCCTGCGCTGCTTCCTCCTCTGGCTTCCCAGCAGGTTCCCTCTTCTGTCTTCCCCACAGCTGGGCGGGGGGGAGTGCCCTGCTCTTGTGGGGGGACGGACGGACAAAAGGGCACAGCTCAAGGTTTGGTGCAACAAAGACAAAAGTTTATTGAAGGGGGTCTCCAGAAACTGGGGAGGGGGCTTCTAGCCACATTCGTCCCCCTAAGTAGACAAAGATCCAGGCATTGCTGCAGAGGCTCCAGTTTTGCCACACGAAAGGGAGGGACAACTCCAGGCCCCCCCTCAGGTGCTCAACAGGGTCCTTGTCATGGGGTGCCTGTCTGGGTTGGGCTCCTCTTTTTGTGGGAGCTCTGGCTCAGCGGGGCCTCCATGGGGCAAAGGGAGTGGCCCCTGCGGTGTCACATGGCGTCCAGGAACTCTTCTTCGTCTCCGGAGAACAGGGAGAAGGCGGGTGGGCGGGGGGCAGCGGGTGCCATGCGCAGGGGGGGCCACCATGGCCCTGGCCTTGCCCAGGTGGGGGCGGGTGCCCTGCTGTGGGCAGAAGGAGGAGGTGGAAGAGGCAGCGTGACCCCCAGGCGAAGGCTGGGTCCCCCTTGCCACTCCTGGGGGGCACCGGTTCCCTTTGCATCTCAAGCGGTTTGGCACAAGTGGGGTGGACCTCCGCCCCCCAAGAGCCACTGGGGTGGCCCTTTGCAGCCCCGTCCGTGGGGTGAGGGTGCCTGCCGTACCTACCTGACGGGGCAGGTGCCGATCTGCCTTGCGCTCGGGCCGGGAGGGTGGTGGGCGCCCCAGGCTGCTCCTCAGGGCTTGGTACAGGGGGGCCCCCCCACTCAGGGGACTGTAGGCCGGCTCCAGGTCCAGGCCGTCCAGGAGGTTCTGCAGGGAAGGAGCCAGCGGGAAAAGGTTGTTTCATCATGGAATCAGAGGGAGCATCCCAAGCCGCTGGCGCCCAGCCAGGCCCCTCCTGCCACCCACCCGCCAAAGCCCCCTCCCAGCAAGGATGAGGTGCAAGCCCTGTATCTCCACACCCTCAGGGCAGGAGGGTTGAAAGCAGGCAGAGCCTGAGGGTGGGACCACAAGGGTGCAGCCCCTGGGACCCTCTCCCGGGACCACCCCCCTTCCTCATGTTTTCTCTCTGGTGGGCCAGTCCCTGCCTGCTGGGGTTGTTGGTGGGGTGTGCTGCCTGGCTCCCTGCCCCCCCCCCCCCGCTACTTGCCTCCATTTGGCTGAGAGTGTCCTGGGGAGGCTCTGCTGGCAGGAGAGGGAAGCTGCAGGGCAGGAGGAGCTCCCGGCCCACCAGGGAGCAGAGCAGCAGCGAGGCGGCCCCTTCGGAGGGCAGGAGGACCTGGAGGGGGCTCGGCCAGGGGGGACCACAGCCAGGACCGGGGGCCCCTGGTGGGGTCTCATATTTGGCCAGCAGCAGCCAGTTTCGCTTCTGAAAGAGGAAATTACAGTCTCAGCACCCCCCTCCCGGGGGGATGTGTGGTTCTCCTTCCTCTTTCCCAGGGACCCTGTGCCAGGGAGAAGGGGGGTGCCCTCTCCTGAAGGCAGGCACCATCACATGGCGGGGGTCACTGGCTTAGCCCTGCAGGCGTGGAACCTCCCCCCCCCATAACTCAGTGCCTTGCGACTCTGCACCCTCCACCCCAACTCACCCACAGACAGTGGCAGAGGGCCCGGAAGAGCTGCTGGTTGGCCTCCAGTTCATCCCAGTTCATCCGCCAGCAGCTTGTGGGCCGGATGACCAGAGGCAGCCCATAGAGCAGCGAGGTGCACAGGCCTTTGGCCTCCAGGGCCCTGCAAGAGACGGGGGGCAGGGCCTTGGTTGGGGGGCAGAGCCTGCCTCCGGCTCCCAGGCAGCACCCAGGGCCCCCCAGGACTGGGAATGATCTAGGGGCAAGTGACTCCCCAGTGGAGGAAGGTTGCCGCATCTGCAGCTTTTTAGTTTGCAGAAAAGGCAAGTTTTAGACAGCATCAAAGTTTATAAAGCAATGCTTGGCATGGAGAGAGTGGATGGAGGAAAGATTTCCTCTCTGAAAACCATGGAGCTGGTGGACATGGCAGAAAGCTGAACGTTGGAAGACTCTGGACAGATAAAAGGAACTTCTTCATGCAGAGCAGAGTTCACCAGTGGAACTCCCTCCCTCAGGAGGCAGGGATGGCCACCAGCTTGGAAGGCTAACCAAGAGGATGAGCCTAGTCCTGGGCCCAAGGGCTCTGGTCTGCCTCCGGGGCCCCAGGCAGCCGTGCTTCTGATTCCCAGGGGCTGGAAGCCCCAGGAGGGGAGTTGCCCTTGGATCCCTTTGGGGCATCAGGATTCTGGGCTGGAGAAGCCAGTGGCTGGACCCGCAGGCTCTCTGGTTCGTCTCACAAGAAGACTTGGGAGGGAGAGGGGTTCTCAGAGAGACCATTTCTGCAAAGCAGTCTGCATGTCCTGGCAGGATGTCCTGCGCCACAGGGGAACCTGCAGCAGCCTGGCTGTCAGCAACTGCCAGAACAGCCAAGAAGGGGAAGCTGGTCTGCTGTTTGTGTGCCGGTCAGCTACTTGCCTGCCTGGCAGCTCCCTTGGGGGGCTCTGTGCTGAGCTGGTGGGGGTGGAGTGGGGGGGTGTGGCTGTCCCCAAGCAGAGCGCCAACCAGCCTCTGCCCTGCCATGGCACTTTTGCAAGCAGTGCACTCCCTCCCACCCCGCAATGCACATCTTGCCACCAACTGGGGTTATATCCGCTTGATAGGCCTGTGACTTGCCCAGTGTGGCTCCAAGGTCTTCTATGACACCCACTCCTCTGCCCCCTTTGTCCACCTGCCCATGCCCGGGGGGAGGGGGGTGGAGAGGGAGAGCTGTTAAGGTGCTCCTGCTTCCTGGCCTGCCAGAGCCTCGCGATCTGTGGCTGCACTTCATGACACAGTTTGTCCACACTGGTGGGGGCACTTGGCCCCCCATGCAGATGGGAAGTGGGGAGCAGGGAAGAGGCTGCTGAACTCCTCGCTCTGCTGCATTTAAAAAGGCAAAACAGGAAGTGGGTGGGTGGGTGGGTGAGTTGGGGTCTCCTTCATTCAGTCAGGAACAGCCTTGCTGGGCTTCCTCCAAGCAGCCATTTCTTTGTTGCTATTTTTCAGGCTTTGTGTTGTGTCTTCTGCCTCAGGCTCTCCCAAGGGAGGAGGATCCTGCCCCCAGGCTGTCTGCAATTGTGGAAGCCAGTGGGGGCTGCTGCTTGTCCTCCCCACCCTCCTCAAGCGCCCCTGAGCCAGGCAAGCCAGAGCAGGTTCAGGGGAAGGGAGCAGCCGGCCCAGAACAGGAAGCGCAGGGGGGAAGGACAGCGGCAGAGAAGCACACTGGCTCCAGCACAGCAGCTGCCCCCCCCATGGAGCTCCTCCCCCAGGTGCCGCTTGAGGGGCCCTTTGGCCAAAAGGTCCTGTAGCCCAGTGAGTGGGTGGCCAAAGCCAGATTTCCTGAGTTTTAACAAGAGCCCCTTTTTGTGTTAAGAGTGCATCTAAGCATGGACAGAGTGCTTCTCGCTGCAGTCACACCTCTTGAACATGGGACACGGCTCCCAGGGCAGCTGATGTGGCCACAACACGATTTTTCCATTGGAATCTGGGAACCGGGGAAGGGCTGAGGGGCATGGCAGGCTGGCCCTCTTCTCAAAGGGGCCCTTGGGGGCGCTCCCAGTGTGTCTCCCCCCCGCCCCGCTTGGATGGCTCCTGGGCAGGTACCTGAGGATGCGGAGCTTGCGTGGCACCAGGCCTGGGCCAGCTGCCATCCAGAAGGGGCCACTGGCATCCTCCCATTGTGCGGTGGGGCCATCTCCGCAGGCGGAAGTAAGCAGAGCAGGGCTGAGGAGCCTCTCCTGGGCATCGCATTTCACGCACACTGCAAGGGCAGAAGGCAGCAGGGCTAAGGGGCGCAGGGCATGCTTCTGCCAAGCCATGGCAGCTGGGGACCCAGAGCCACTGCCAGCCAGAGCGGGCAGCACTGCCTGCCCAGGATGAATCTCAGGGCAGAGGGCGAGGGCTGTGCCAAGGACTGGAGAGGTCAGGTTTGTGTCTTTGGGCTGATGTCCAGGGCAGAAGACCCCGCTACCCCATGGGAACCCTTTGGAGAGGCTGCCCTGGCCTGGTCCAGCTCCAGGCGGGGGATGGGGAAGGGGGGAGCTCAGCCTGGGGCCTCGGGCACAGCCACCGCCAGGCCCCGTCCAAATTCAAGACACCACTCTTGGCATTTAATGCCCCCAAGGACTCTCCCCTCACAGACTACAGCACCAACACTCTGGAACTCAGTGCCGATGGGAACGATGCTAGCACTTTTGCTGCAGCACTTTGGAGACCTAATTATTATTATTATTTGCTTCAGTAAGCTTACCCGTGTATGTAAATTTGATATGTATTCAAATATATGGTTTTATTTTTTCAAAACCATTTGGTTTATTTAAATTTTGATTCTTTTTTTACGTCAGCTTCCTTGTAACATTTCATTGTATCAGTCATTATAGTACGTGTGTGCATTTATTTGTGTAAATAATAATTTCATTTATGAGTGGCTTCCCGTGAGGGGTGCCAAAGCAATTTACTATGCAATAATTTATATGAAACAAATACGGAAATAGCAAGAACAACTGCACACAGGGAAACAATTTAAAAAACCAAAACATTTGTAAATGTAAAGGGAGTTTAGAATACTGGACAAACACTGAATGGGATAGAGATGTTTAGCAGCGGAGGCAAGAGAGGAGGGCACCCGTCTCTCTCCCACAACAGCAAGGGGTCTCAAAGGGTAGGTGCTGGGTGTGGTGTCAGCAGGCTCACAGAAGCAGGGAATCTCCCTGAAGAGGAAGCTTTCGGTCTGGGTGAAGAAGCAACACAGGAATCCCATTGGCTCACACTTACCTGGGCAGCTCTGGGCTGCAGTAGGGGGGCAGAGCGCTCCAGCGAGCAGGAGGAGGTGGAGGTGCTCCTGGTCTGGGCTGTGGTCGTGGAACCAGCCCTTGAAGAAGGTCTCCAGGGCCACCACATCATTCTCCACAGTCTGGAGGTCAAGGACTGCGCCCAGGGTCACAGCGCTCTCTGCAGGGAGAGGAAAGGAGCCCCATCTGCACATGCCTGGGTATCCCCCCCCACCACCACACAATGGCTCAGCCTGGGCATCCCAACAAGTTCCTGCCACCCCCCAGAACAAAGAGACAGCTCCCTTAGAGCAGCGCCCCCCCCCCGATGCCCACAGCTGCATAAGCAAAGTCTGGGGCTCCTGGAGGGTCAGGAGCTGCCAGCCTGGCCAGCCCATCCTGTGCCACCCAACCAAGGCCCATCCTCCAGGGCCATGAGCTGCCTGAGTTCTCTTCTAAGTCATCCCACTTGGTGGCTGCCGTCTCTGCCTCTTCTGGGGGCCAAATCTGTGTGGCGTGTCCTGAGCCTCCCAGCCTCCAGCTTCCAGCCTTGTGAAACGCTCTCGCTCCACTTTCTCCACACCAGGTACCCTCCTATAAGCTACCATATCCCCCTCCTCCCCCAAAGCCTTACTATTTTTCTGAACAAAAAGCCCTGAATACTGTACCGTCTCCTCCTATGAACATGAGAAGAACCCGCTGGATCAGGCCAGTGGCCCATCTACTCCAGCATCCTGTTCTCGCAGGGGCCAAGTGGATGCCCCAAGGGACCTGGGCGCAAGAGCAGGACTCTGCTCTCCTGGGCTTTCTGGCATTCACAAGCCTGGCTATCTCCCGCGGGTAAAGGCAGAGCAGAGCCCTCTCCTCATAGGAGGGTCCCTCCAGCCCATGGATCACGTTGGCTGCCCTTTTCCGGGCCAAATGTTGTCTCTTCTTGCAGCTCTACTCTCTTTTCTGAGGCGGACAAGAGGAACTGCCCAGAATAGGCCAAGCACAGATGCAAAACATTTAGGAAGCACCTTGAAGTGGTTCCCCATGGCAAGAAGAACACATAAGACCACTGTGTATCTAAAGACAATTTCAAGTCCAGCAGAGACCCTGCCTGGGACTCGCATCTCTGCTGGGGAAGCTCCTTGCAGGAGGAAAGTCTCCAGCAGAGGTGATGGTGATCTCTGGGACCAGGGTGACCTTGTCCCACCTCAGCCCCCAGTGCAGAGACCCCTGGGCACTGGGGGCAGGAGGCCCACCAGCCGCTGCTGCAGGAATACAAGAGCATGAGGGCCACGGTTCCGGCCACTGCTGCTCAGAAACAGGCACCCAGCAGGGGCTGGGTCTCTCCCCACAGGAAGCCTGTCCCTCTCTGGAAGCAGAGCCCTAAGTCGGTGGCTGTGAGAAGGGAGAAGTGGGAATCCTGCCTGCCTGGTTAGCAACAGAGAGAGGACCAGTCACAGCTCAAGGAGGGTGGCTGGCTTAATCCGGGCTGAGCAGGGGGATCAGGCCAGCAGGGGGTGGGGCCAAAATCTGCGCCTGAGAAGGAGGCGGCTCCGGATTAAGAACGACAGATGCCACCATCTGTCCCTCCCCAGCAGCCCCACTGAGGAGGCAGGGAGCACACAGCCCTCCAGCGCCCAGCCAGGGGGCAGCCGCCTTGCAAAGGGAAGAGCCCGCAGCCCAAGCGAGGGCAGAGACAGGGTGGCCGTGCCCACTAGGGGGCAGCAGAAGGCCATTGCTAAAAATCCTGGCGGCTGCAGCAAGGCGTTCCTGCGGCTGTGCATTATGATATTGACGGTCTCTTTTCCCTTCCCTTCCTAGGAGCCCTAGCCTGGAATCTGCTACTTGGTGCCTCCAGCACCAGGGGTAGTCTGCCTCTGAACTTTGTGGGGCTTCCCAGGGGCATCTGGGGGGCCAGGGTGGGGCACTGGGGGCTGGGCAGACTGGATGGGCCTCGGTTCTGATCCAGCAGAGCTCTGCCCCAGTCCCGTCAGGGAGCCACACTCCAGATCCTCAAGAGACCCAGGCGGATCAAGGCTCCCTGCAGCTAGCAAGAGGGGAGGAAGCAGACCCAGTGCACAGCCCAGCCACACACCAAGGCTGGGCCCCTTTCACTGCTTTCCCTTCTGCATCTGGGGTGAGACTGAAAGCAAGAAGTCCCCAGCGGTTTCTTTGGCTTTCCCCAGAGAAGGGCTTCTGTCAGCCGGCCTGGCCAAAGGGTGACTTGGGGTGGGGAGTGCATTTGTCTCTCCACATCAAGTCGTCGCCTCTGCTGGGCCTGTCTGGCCCATGGCCCTCTCAGGATCTCTTTGCAACCGGCAGTGTGATGGTTGCGCAAAGGGCAGAAAGAGCTGCCCTGGCTCCTGCCGGCTCCCTTTCAGGCGCTGCTGGTGCCAACCCACAGCTGTGCGCCAGAGTTTCCTGCCTCATCCTCCTGCCTTTTCCCCAAGATCTGATTTGTGGTGATTTCCCCCCACTTAAAATTCAGCGCCAGCGCCAGCCAGCCCAGAGGGGGCAGGCCAAGTGCCGCAGAGGCTTTCCTGGGCTCTCGCGCCTTTAATTAGAGGTTTCCCCTTTGGGCCGAGCGGCTTCCTCCGCCTCTAAGTGCTTCCTCCTCAGCAGAGCTTGGGATGAGGCATGAATTATTCACTGAGCACCAAGATCTGCGACTGGATCTCCCGACTGTCTAAGTCTCAGCAAAGAGCAGCCCTGGATGCCCCGGGAAACCCGTCTCTGCCCTGAGTGTCACCCTTTTAGGTGACACTCAAGCGCAATTACCTAAGTTCCTCCTAATCCAGCCAGATTCAGCTGGTTCCTCTCCAGCTGCTCTCTGCTACAACTGAGCAGCCTGGGAGGTCCCAGTGCAGATCTCTGGCAAGCCTCTTCTGTCAATTTCTCCTCCCCGCCTGGTCGGGTGGGCTTCAATTAGTGGCATCCTTTCATTGTCTTTATTTTATTTTAATGTGCTGTGAAAGCCAGAGAAGAAAATGTAAAACCCATGAGAGGACCCAAGGAATTAACGCCACCTTTCCCATTGCCCTGCAGGGAACAGAAACTGACTTCCTGTGCACTTAGGGGCACTTTGCCAGCCATTCACCGCTAATCAGGCGCAGAAGCCTTGAGCACCAAGTTCCCTTTCATGAATGGCGCTTGCTCTGGAGCAGACACCAGAGGAGCATCTCGGAGTGATAATCACACCCAGCGGGAGGCGAGGGGCCGCTTGGAAGCTTCATTTGAAATGCCACAGGTTGGGAGGCACTTACCCCCACGGCTGCCGCTGCTGCTGGGGGTGGCTCCCTCTCTGTCCTCCGCTGCAGCCTCAGGCGCCTCCTGCAGCCCCCTTGTGGAGACCTCCACCACCTGCAGCTGGCGGAGGTTGACCAGGTCAATGCCCTGCAGCCCAGCCTCCAACTGCCTGGCCACCTTGGCGCTGGGCTGGCCAGTCAGGATGGTCATCTGGAAGAGAAGCCCATGGCTGCCGGAGACTCAGAGGGGAGTCCAGAGGGGTGGGGTGGGGGCGCTTCAGATCCCGGCTCAGCCAGGAACCTCACTGGGTGACCTTGGTCCAGTTCAATGCACCTCACCAGGATGCTGAGTGGATAAATTTGGGGAGGGATAGATGGACATGTGCCCTGAGCTTCTTGAAGCAACAGATGGCAGGGTCAGCAACCATCTGCCCAGGTTTCCTAGTGCCCCTCTGCCATGAACATCCCTGGCAGTAGTGGGACACACGAGAGGGAATCTGCCACTCCCCAGATTCTGGCCCCTGTCATGCTGGATTCTGTGCAAGGAATCAACTTGCTCTTTCCATGCAAACTGATGCTTTGCAGAGCTCCGTGTATTGCCTGCAGGATGGCAGAGGTGGGTTTGCAAGGCCTCCTCGTCTTGCTGGAAGAGGCTGCAGAAGAGGCAGGCAGAGAGGGGGCAACTCAGGAATGGATGTGGTCCTGGAGGGCACCAGAGGCTCCTGCCCACTACTACTACTATTATTATTATTAGCGCCTCAAAGTCAGCTTCTGCTTGGGGAAAGGCGTTTGGGCAGAAATCTCCTAGGGACACCGAGGATCATCTAATCTAACCCCCTGCAGTGGAAGACCCCCAACCGGGCTGGAAGGGGATGGGGAGATGGAAGTGGAGAGAAACAGCGACCCTCCTCCCTAATTGGGCAGTTGCTAGTTGGTGTGCAGCAGACACAGGGGGCCCCTCCCTGTAGCCTCCTCTTACCTCCAGGGAAGAGCTGCTCCGGGAGGCCCCCGCCAGGCCTTGCCCCGGGGCCGGCGTGCCCGGTTGGAGCCCATCCTGCACGGCCTGGACTATGGCGTCCTCCTTGAGGTGGAAGACCCCCTCGGAGGGCAAGGCGCGCAGCTCCGCCAGGCAGCTCTGGAGCCGAGAGAAGCTCCCTCTCACCGGCTGCAACGACAGTGGGCAGGAGATGTGCCTCAGCAAGGGCCCAATGCCTCCCCTGTGAGGGGTGCTCACCCCTGGGGCGGGGGGGGGGAATAGCTGCTTCTCGTCTCCTTTCCCAGGAGGAAGACCCTGGCCATGCACTCTGCCCACAGCTTCTGCCTGCTCCCCTGGTCTCTGGGATGGGCATGAAGTGGGACACATTGGGCATTGGAAAGCCCCCCCCCCCCGAGATGCAGCTGCTTGGGCTGTTGCTGGGGCCGGCCTGGGGGCGATGGCTGGGGGCCAAGGCAGAGACACAGCCAGGGTGCTGAGCGCAGTTTTGCTGCCAGTTAGCCTGAGTTAATGAGCCCCTCTGTGGGCAGGAGACACCCGAGTCTAGACATGCTTGGCCAGGAATGAGCTGCAGCCCAGCCCAGCCCAGCCGAGGCGCTCTGGGAGTCTGCTGCAGGAACCATGCAAGGAGACAACTGCCTTGTCTGCTCGGGACGAGAAAATGTCTAATCCGCTTTTAAAGCCATTGGTGCCTCCTGTGGGAAGGAGTTCCATAGTCTAACGACACTTTGCATGGAAAAGCACTTTCTTTCTCTGTCCTGAACCTTCCACCATCCAGCATCACTGGATTGGCCATCACGAGAGAGAGAGAGAGAGAAAAAGCTCCTCACATTCTGCAGGCAGTGCAGCATTGCACACACTTCTAGTCTGTCACTTTTTACACACCTTTTCTGTAACTTAACCCCCCCCCCAGCACTGCCATTGCTCCTTCTTGGGGAGTCGCTCCATTCCCTGGATCGCTTTGGCTGCCCCTTCCTGGACCTTTTCCAGCTCTGCGGCACCATTTCTGAGGTGAGCTTCTTCCAAGCTGCCCCTTCTGCCCAGAAGTGCTGCCGCCTGAAGCTGCTCCATTTTACCCCTCCAGAAAACACAAAGGAGCCCTCCATGGCACATGGCCCTTGAAAGTGGGCATTTGGAGCTCTTTAAATCGGCTGGCGTGTGCTGGGATGGCAAGCCAAGGAGCAGGACGAGGACTCTGCATGGACAGACCAGCAGAGAGATGCCCCCTCAGAGATATGCCTCCCCCCAGCTGCTCACTGTGCCCCCCAGCAGCACTCACTCACCACAAAGGGCAGAAGGCACTCCTGCTGGCTCTGGACCACGTAGAGGCTGAGCAGAGGGATGCGGGGTGGACCCGCCAGACTGCAGGCCAGAGAGAAGACGTTTTCCAGGGCATCGCAGAGCTTGTGGCAGGTGTGGGCCCAGTGGGAGGGGTGGGCCTCCACCACCAGGATGTGAGGGGGGCTGCCAGGAGTGAGAGGCGGCCCTAGCCAGGCCTTTGCCAGCACCATCTCTGCTGCCTCCTCGCGGTCCAGAACTCATGGTGGTCCAAGGGAAACAGAGCTTGCAGCTGCCTCTGAAGAGGGGAGAGCTAGAATGAATGTGCTTTCCTCACCCACCAGCACCACCATCCCCCCCCACTGGGAAAAGACCCCCCATCACCAACAAATAGGGGGTGGAGAGGGCAGCAGATGCAAAGCGGCCCATTGCGGCCATGCCCACCCCTCCCTGCCTCCCTCAAGCTCCCAGGGCTTCTTCCTGTGCCCACGCCAATTCTGGGTCTGGAGGCAGGCAGGCTGGTGGGGGACAAAGAGGACTGTGCCCCAAAGGGGGGGTGGCTTCCTTGTTCAGGGACAGAGGGCAGCCCACCTTCCTCCTGTTAGGGAGGCAAGGCCCCCAGGGAGACTCCGGGGAATGTGGGGCATCCCTGTCACATTCCAAGGCCCTCCCGGCTGCTGCCGCAGCCGTATCCTGGCACCGCAGGCCTAGCCCCGGTTGGCAGCAGGAGTCAAGGTGAGTCAAGGTGGAGAGCAGCTGGCTGTCGGTTCTGCTTCATCTCTGTGTTCAGAGAGTCTTGTCTAGCCAGCCAGTTTCTCACCAGCTTGACAGGGATCTCTGGGAGGCGTCTGGGGGGGGGGGGTCATGAGGCTCAAGAGCACTGAACACACCTTCCTTGCCCCATGCTGCCCCTTGAGTTCTCTTCTTAAGGCTTATTTACTCCCCTGCAATACTGATACATTGCCCAATAACAAAGGCTCTCTGCCATTTACAGTAAAAATGAAAAGACTACCAAATAATAAAACTCAAATGTGAAATCTAAAAGTAAACTAACCCCAAGCCGGCCAGAGAGAGCAATATCAGGATGTGGGATCTCACGAGTACCGAAGAGGCTAAAGAGAATGACATGTCTGAGGAAATGAAAACGTCTTTAGCTGGTGCAGAAAAAGGCCATAGCGTGGGCCTCAGGAGAGCCTGGCTGGGGGGACACAAAACTGAAGAGAATCTCGCTCAAGGAACCTTCTCCTTCCCCCGCATCCAGAAAAGGGCCTTGACCCTTCAGCTGCCCCAGCCTCAAGCCTTTGGGGGCCTTAAAGGGTAACAGCAGCACTTTGAGTCGGGCCCAATAACGGGATTAACTCAATAAAAGGGTTGCAAACAGATTGTTTCTTTCTGGAAAAAACTAGCCCTGAATTGAGTGCTAAAGTTCCACTACATTTCCAGAAGTGGTCTTTATGCCCCGTGAAAGATCACTAAAAATGCAAAAATTAACTGGCAAGGACACCTTGGGAAAGCAGCGCAGGCAGCATGGTGTGACCCTGTCAGCCAGACGCTGCTGCTGGCCTGTTTTGGACCAGCTGGAGTTTCCTGGCCATGTTCAAAGACAGGCCCACCCAAGACACATAGGAGAACATCCCCCACTCCTTTGCATTAACACCAGTGGCCGGAGGGCAATTCCCCCCAGGGCAAGGGCAGGCAGGTGAAATGGGGGGGTCACTCTGTCCAGGGCTGATTAAACTGGCAGAGAAGGGGTGGCTGCAGCCCCAGGGGAGGGCAGCAGAGGCAGAGCAGATCTGCCCCACAGGGCTGCCCTGAGCAGCCTGGCAGGGACAGGGGAGGAAGAGAGTGGCATTCTTGGCAGGGACTCTAGATTAGGCTCATTCTAAGTGGCTTCATTAGAGAAGGGCTGGCGGCCAGCCTGGGCTGCTCTTGCATGAGCAACACAGGCTGCCTTCGCAGACACCCCCCCCCCCAGCAGCTGGCTACAGCCTGGGACTTGCCCTTCAATTATACATCCTTCATTCCATCTAGAAAGCTATGGGGGGGTTAATGCTACATCATCCCAAAAGGAAGACTTTTATTACTCTGGTCAAATGAGGCGATAAAGAGATCTCTTCCTCCAGTGCAGCAGCAGGTGGGCTGAGCGGCTTTGGAGCTTGATTGAGAGTGGAGCCTGAGAGTCACCAACTCACAAGGAGAGCAGCAGCCTGAGAGAGAAAGTGGAATGTCAGAGGCACAAGAGGGGAGCAGGAGGGAGGGAGGGGACCCAGTCACCACCTGCTCAGCGCACCTGGTGCTGAGCTGACAGGCGAACCAATGAGCACGAAGAAGGACTCCAGGGCACAGGTGGGGGGGCAGGGAGGGGGGCAGCGTGGCAGCAGGGTGGAGCTCCAGGCCTGGACCTGAGCACTTCACTTCCTGGATGGCTGGACAAGGTTGAGTTGGAACCATGGAAGCAGCTGCTCCTGGGATGGAAGGGAGCAAGCATGGGGAGAAAAACAAGTGGGACAGGGCTAGGAGAACACTAGAAATGTGCTACCAGGGTACAGTAATAATATAACATTCTTATAATACTAGGGTGGTAATCAACAAAGTTTTACTCCAAAGCAGACTACTGAAATTAATGAATGTGACTAAGGTAGGTCCATTACTTTCAGTAAGTCTACTCTGTGCAAAACTTAGATAAACAATGTCTGTAATCGAAACAAAATAAAAATCCCTTCCAGTAGCACATTAGAGACCAACTAAGTTTGTTATTGGTATGAGCTTCCGTGTGCATGCGCACTTCTTCAGATACTTGCGGCAGACCAACATGGCTACCTACGTGTAACTAATGTCTCTAATGTTTTAGTCCTCCAGAAAAGGGTTCTGGAGAATGCAGAAGGGCCTTGAGAAGCTGCAGCCTTTTGCTCTGGCTGAAGACGCAAAGTGCCAGGGAGACCCAGGGCTGCAAGAGCAAAGGGGCGCCTCCAGAGGCAGGAGGAAGAGGTTGCGCCTTTGACTACTGGGGGGCAGAGGCAGCAGCGGGCAAACTGTGTTGTCAACCGCTTTGCTATGATGTCCTACGATTTAGCCGTTCTCACTGGTCAGGCAGTTTAAAGCTCAGAAATCACTCAGTCCTGCGAGAGAGGTTAAAAATAATAAGGGGTTTTTCAGCTTTGTTCAAAGCAAGAGGAAGAACAAGCAAGTAGTAGGTCCTCTGTGTGGAGAAGATGGAGAATACTGTTGGGGACAGAGGAAAGGCAGAACTGATCAACACCTACTTTGCCTGGGTCTTCGCAGAAACGAGAGCAGAGCCCAACCTGGTGATAACAGAATAAACGCCGCAAGGAGGAGCTGCTGCCTAAGACAGGGAAAGAGGTGGTCAGGGAAGACCTAGCTATTTTGAATTAATTCAAATCTCCAGGGCCTGATGAGCTGCACACAAGGGTGTGAAGGAGCTTGCTGGTATAATATCAGAGCCTCTGTCTATAATCTTCGGGAATTGTTGGAGAACAGGTGAGGTTCCTGCAGACTGGAGTCCGGCAAATGGGGGTCAGACTTGATGACCCTTGGGGTCCCTTCCAACTCTAAAAGTCTCTGATTGTTTGTTTATATGGTGCCATCAGTATGAATGACACTTTACAGAGTACAGGTCCCTGTCCCAAGGGGCTTATCATTTAAAACTTGACAGAGGGGAGAAAACAGAGGAAGGAGAGGCACAGGGTTTCAATTATACATGCCTAGGGTCAGCTATAAGGCCTGGGAGGTAGAGGAAAGGGGTTAGTTAGATGTTAGGAAATGGGCCTCACACCCTGTTAGTGAGCTTTGCAGGGCCATCCGACTGGCCACTCTTGGGGACCAGACCCTTGACCAGCGAAACAAGATGAGGCAGCCTGGCAAGGCCCATGTTCCCACCAACCACGCAAGTCCAGAGTGTCTTGCTCTTGCAGTGGACGGGAAGGCCAGTTCTGTGGAAGGCCTAGTCAGAACTCAGGGAAGCACTGTCTAATTTGCCTTCTAGTGGGTTATTTAACAGGCCCCAATTCTGGAGTTAGCCCAAGAGAAGGTTAATGAAAAGCTGTCTGAACATATTCTGGATGTGCCTTTACAAGCTGGTAGATGCAACCCTTTTATCTCACCATCAAAGGCAGAGCAAAAGCCAGCAGATTAAGGTAATAGTTCAACAGACTGAAGATGTGCCCAGTTTCACGGGAGGGGACTGGCGCTAGACGGATTGCCCGGCCCAAGATTTGAGGGGGTGTGTGCTCCCCACCAACTTATTGTCTGGCTGCTGCAGTTCTGTGGCCTCTGCTGCCAAGCAGGCGTCCAGGCCATGCCCACAACCGCAGCAGATCAGAAAACAAGCCACAGCCAAGTTGTGCAAGCCCCTGTCCCCAGGAGGTCACCTCGGAGGCTGTTCCCCAGGGGCTGCCCAAGCCGCTTGTCATGGCTTATGGGACTTGCACTGTCCTTTCACTCTCTCTCTTCATTCTTCTTCCTTCCAGATTGTTCCTTTTTATTGTATTTACATACCACTTTTCCTCCCAAGAGCTCAAGGTTGCACGCATGCCTCCCCCATGGAACACGATCCTCACAACCCTGAGAGATGGGGCAAGTCTAAGAGACCGTAACTGCCCCAAGGCTCATAGCTGAGTGGGCATCTGCACCCTGTCTCCCAGCTCTACCCCACACTGACGGTTTCTGATGTAACGCGCCCCGGGTGCAAAGCGGAAGGGCTGCTGCCAAATTCCGGCATATCTGCTTCTTTGTTAATCAGCAAGTAGATGGAGCCTCCAGCTGCAAGAAGAGTCTGGTCAGCCAGGAAAGAGGGGCATTGTTCACAGAAAAAGGGGGCTTCTCACATGATGCCAGTGGCTCCCATTTTGGCCCCAGACGGGGGAAACTTCCCTCCAACCTGCCTTCCCCACGTGCGCAGAAGTCCCCCATCATCTGTTGTAAATATAAATATGCCCTTTTCCCTTATGGGGTATCCAAGAGCCCATATAGAGTCCTTACGTGGGTTCCCTATTGGTAGGAGAAATTAACAGAGGCCAACCAGAGAATATTGAGAAGCAAAGCAGCTAGTAAGCTTGATCTTTATTTATCTGTCGCAACAGGGTGCTCCCTCACATGCAGGAAAGGAGGAGGACCCAGAAAAATGGCCTGCAAGGCCTTATAAAGACTTTTGAAATTCCCATCCTGTAGATCAAGACCACCCCCTGGAACATCAGACATACATCACAGAAAAGGTGGTCTTAAAACAGAAATTTCAATATTGTTTTTCTCCTGTCCTTATTTATCTCCTGTTTGGCAGGTTACTTGATTGGATTTCCTGGGTAGCCTGGGCATTCTTTTGTAATGATAAATACTTAGTTCCTGAGCCAGGTCACAGGCTCACACCCTTATTCAAACACAGACATACCCTTAAAACAGGATTTGTGAAGGAAAAGACAATGGGGGGGCTTTTCCAATTTGACCTTGCAGAGGAAACATTTGCTCAGTTTAGGAATCAAAATGGCTTCAGGTCGGTCTTCCTGTGCTGATCTATGTATGTGCTTGGTTGGTACACTTATGAACATTACCATATATCTAAGACCATAAAATTCCTATCACACTTCCTACCTGTTACACGAAGGAAAAGCCTCTCAGCCCAAAGCAGACCTGGAATGGAGACAAGAGAGGAGAGAGCGAGTCAGAGGTGGGCAGGCAAAGGCCACCAAGGCCAGTCCCAGCCCAGGCAAAGGGGGCTCCTGGAGTGCCCCCACCAGACATTCAGGAGATGGTGCCTGACTAGACCAGGCCAGTGGCTTCCCCAGGGGAGGGGAGGACTTTCTCACCCCCCAGGTGCAGGGGGGCTGAGGTGGCCTTCACTGCCTGAGGGCTGGGGGCCAGGCCACTGTGTCTACGGGGGGGGGCAGACATGGGGGGGATGACAAAGCGGCTTCTCCCTGCTCTGCCCCAAGGTCCAGCCCCCCTCAGCCCCTCCACCCCCAGCCCAGATTCCCCCATGAGGGGTCCCCAGACGAGGCAGGAGACCTGGGCGGGGAGTTGCGGCTCCAGCTGCCCCCCTTCAGGGCAGGGCCTTGTCCTCTTGCTGCCCCGGGGGTGCCCCCTCCCCGAAGGGGCGGCTCTGGGCCTGCCGGTCCTGAGGGAGCAGGGGCAGGAGGGCAGGCAAGGCCCCAGGCTGGTCTGGGCCTCCATCTGGGCCTCCTCCTCCTCCCCAGTCAGGCTCCTGGGCCTGCAGCTGCCATCTAGGCTGTCTGTCCCTTTACGCTGCTTCTTATCTTAGTCTGGGGTGTTTTATGCCTGCGCTTTCTTGATACCTTGAACAAATGAAAAGAATAAGAAGACCGTATTTACGCAAATCTAAATGCACACCCTAATACCGTATTTTTCCGTGGATAACACCCCCTTGTATAAGACACCCCTTATTTTGGGGGACTCAAATTAAAGGAAATGGGGGGAGATAGCCCATAGTTGTTGGGGGGGGTTGCCAAGATTTCTTGAGCTTCTTGGGGGGGGGGGGACTGCAGAAAATCGCTAACCAGAATGGAAAACGCTCAGATTCGCTCGTGACGCCGAACACAGGAAGCGTCTTGCCGCTCGCCAACAGCAGCCGGATATCGAACTCCCGATTGTGGCAGCAACAGCCAACCCACGGCAGCCCTTGCCACAGCAGCCAACCATCACCCACCAAATCACTAATAATAATAATAAATTTATACCCCGCCTATCTGGCTGGGTTTCCAACAAAATATTAAAATACAAGAGTCCTTCAGATATTAAAAACTTCCCTAAACAGGGCTGCCCTCAGATGCCTCCTAAAAGTCTGGCAGTTGTTTTTTCCTTTGACGTCTGGTGGGAGGGTGTTCCACAGGGCGGGTGCCACCACCAAGAAGGCCCCCAATGACAAGCTGCACCTCGCGGCTGCAACCAATCGCCTGGCCCCACAATGCACCGCCTGTGTGTAAGACAAGTCCCATTTTGTAACCTTATTTTTGAGTAAAAAACCTCGTCTTATACAAGAAAAAGTATGGTAATTTGGACAAAAAAGGTGTGCATGACATTTGAGTAAATACGGTAATAACCACCCTGGGGGCAGAGGAAGGGTCAGCTGGGGGGGCACCTCCAAGGAGGGGGTCCTCTGCCTGAGAGACCCCATATCCCTTTTCTGCCTGGGGTGACTCTGGGCAGGAGGCAGGGGGACCCCAACTCTGGGGGAGCCCCACTTCCCCCACCCCAAGCTGAACCCCAAGCAAGAGGCCCACCTGGGCGGGTGCCACCCACCTGCTTGAGCTGGCCTTTGACCTGCCCTCGGCCTAAGGCCAAAAGAGAAGAGGCTGACTCCTGGGCTCAAGCCTCTTTTGCTGCTCTTCCTTCCAGGACCCCAAGCAAAGAGGGCCTCAGGCGGCAGATCGGCTGTTCTCTCATAAGTGCCCCCCAGGAAACAAACCCCACCCTGGACACCAAAAGGCACCCAGTCACTGAGGGCCAGTCATGGAGAGCGCTGCTGCTTTCAAAAGGATTTTTAATAGATTTCTTACACGCAATTAAACCCCCCCCAATGATTTTGAAGAGTTGTCAGACTTAATGCCAAAGCAGGGAACCTGGATCTAGTGCCAACTGGCACTCGATTCTTCTCTGGGTTCCTGGATACCGCCCCCACATTGGGCCCCAGATTATGAAGTGTTTGTGGTTCACAGACTCCCTAAATTCCTGGGTCTAGTAGGTGTTAGAATGTAATCAATGCTTGGAGTGTTGAAACTGGATACTAGACCCATGTGTATTAAGCTGAGTGATAGACATTTCTTTTAAAAATAATATTTTATTGGTTTTCCTAACAACAACAACAACAACACACAATAAAAAACAACAAATTGATTTCCCTCTAGTCCCTTCCCTAGTTCCATTATTTGTCGATATACTGCATGTCCATTATTAAATTTATAATTTATTTAAATTTATTTAAATTGAGAGCCAGTGTGGTGTAGTGGTTAAGAGCGGTGGTCTCGTAATCTGGTGAACTGGGTTCGCTTCCCTGATCCTCCACCTGCAGCTGCTGGGTGACCTTGGGCCAGTCACACTTCTCTGAAGTCTCTCAGCCCCACTCACCTCACAGAGTGTTTGTTGTGGGGGAGGAAGGGAAAGGAGAATGTTGGCCGCTTTGAGACTCCTTAAAGGGAGTGAAAGGCGGGATATCAAATCCAAACTCTTCTTCTCTTCTTCTTCATCACTATTGTTCATTCATTCTGAAATTACAAGTACTTTTAAAACCCTGCTAATGTATTAACCTGTGTACAATGCTTCTGTATATATGCAATAAACATCTTCCATTCTTCCTTAAATTCATTGTCGTCTCTGTTTTAGTTTCATTGTCAGTTTTGCCATTTAACTTGCCAATCTTCTTTGGTTAGGGCACCTTCTTCTTTCCAAAGTTGTGCTAGTAATGTCCGTGTGGCGGTAGTTGCATACATAAATAAATAATTTTGTGCTTTTGGTAAGTCCACTTCTGTAATATCTAGTAGGAAAGCTTCTGGATTTTTTTAAAACAAAGTTTATTTTAAACATCTTCTTCAGTTCATTATAAATCATTTCCCAATATTTCTTTATAATTTTACAATCCCACCACTTGGGGAAATAAGTCCCTTTTGTTATTTTACATTTCCAACACTTGCTTTCCTTAGTTTTATACATTTTTGCTAGTTAAGTACCATCTATACATCATTTTCATATAATTTTCTTTAATCGCCACACATGCTGTAAATTTAAACTAATTCTTCCATAATTTTTCCCATTCCTCCATCTGAATATTGTGTCCCACATCTTGTGCCCAATTAATCATAACTGATTTAACCTCTTCATCTTTCGTTTTCCATTCTAGCAGCAGATTGTACATTTTTGATATTAACTTTATATCATTTTCTATTCTTTATCTCTGAAAAATTGAAATTTTGTGCAAAAATCCTATCTTTTTATGATTCTTAAATATTTCATTTAACTGTAAATATTGTAACCAATCTGTTACATTCTCTCTAACTTTGTTAAATTCTTTCAATTTTAATTGACTTTCTGATTCTATTAACTCTCTGTACGTAGCCCATATTTATTCCCCCCCCCATATTGCCTCTAGTGGAGAAAGCCACCATGGTGTTTTTTGTTCTAGTATTCCTTTATACTTCTCCCAAACTTTAAATATTGCTTTTTTTATAATATGATTTTGAAAACTTTGATGTACTCTTGCCTTTTCGTACCATAAGTATGCATGCTAGCCAAATCTATTGTCATAACCTTCCAAATCTAATTGATCTGTATTTTTAAATTTTATCCCTTCCCGGATCCAACAAATACATTTGTATTTGTATTTGTTGGGTGCTAGACATTTCTAATCCCCTGGAATCAGCAAATTTTAAGAGCTAATTAAGCTAGGCTAAGCTTCCCATGTCCAGGAAATAGCCTGGTTGAAGGGCCATTAAGACACAAAGGATCAAAAAGACTTGGTGCAAGACGGCAAATGAGTGGTGCCTTTCCCTAAACAGATAAAGCCAGAGCTTAGAGAGGCTAGAATTAGGAGTTGTGTGACTGAGATGCAAAGCAGCAAACAGAGAACAATGTCTAGTGTCTGTCTGGATCCAAGGCTGTGCCCATGGGAGAAGCAAAACCCCCTTGGAGTGCCGATGCAATGAATCCCTCCATCATTGGGGTTTCCAAAAGGAACCACTGGGATCCGGCACTCTTGAGATTGGGGTGGTATACAGCAATAGGTATGATAAGTTACCCGCCCTTCACCCTAAGGTCCCAGGGCGGTTTACGACAATTAAAATGCCATGTTAGAAGCAGTTTAAAACCCCCACAGATATAAGGTGGGTTCTACACCTGTCCACCCCAGGTGTCAAACATCCTGCCTGTCTCATCCTGGCTCTGTTCTCTCCCTGAACCCACAGGCTGACCCACTCGGCTTCTGCCTGGAAATGCCCCCCAAGTGACGCTTCTCTTCCTTCCGTCTGCCAAGGCAGAGCAGCTGCACTGAGCGGACACCTGGAAAGGAAGCACCTGGGCTTGCTGGGGTTGCCACAGGATCCTGTGGGGCAGCCAACCAGAGGGAGCCGCTCAGAGGGGAACCAGGGCCTGAAAGCGAAGCAGGGGCAGAAGTGGGTCAGCCCCTGCTCAGCCGAATTCCCCTTCTGCTGTCCTTGCCTCAGGCCAACTTCCTTCAGGTAGAATGAGGAACTGAGGCAGCAGGGAGAGGAGCTGGTGTTTGGCAGTGAGCAGCTTATTCCTGCCATTCAAGGAGCCCCCAAATGAAGTTCTCCCCCCCCCCTCACAGTCTGCCGCTCCAGCCCTCCAAGGAAGCAGCAGCTGCAGCCTCTAATCCGGAGGCCTTTCACCAACCTGACCTACATTCCCGTCCGGAGAACATGGGAGCCGCTGCAGACCCCCACCCCCCACCAGCTGGAGATGCGCCACCATCCCTCTCGCCTACTTCGGATCCAGACGCCGGTCCAGAAGCATCTTGCAACCAGGAGCAAGAGCTCTGTGCTGAGCAGCCTCGCCTTGGCACGGGCAGGATCTGGCCCTGCCCCCCCCCCCGACTCAGGGCTGGCCTGGCGGGCCCATCTCCCCCCGCCCCCCCCGCGGGGCTCCTTCCTTAAGGCGCTTTGCCACCTGAGGCTGGGCCAAGGTGCCTGCGGAACCTCCTGGGGCGCCGCGCTTCTGCCTGGGCGGAGCCAGCCCCGCCAAGCCCCGCCCCCGCCGCACCTGATCCTCCTGCCGGCGACGCTACCTGCGCGGCGGGCGGGGCTGGGAGTGCGGACCCAGTGACGTCAGCGCCCCACCTGGGAGTGGGCGGGGCCACGCGGCAGCCCAGCGAGCAGCCAGCGAGCGAGCGAGCGAGCGAGGAAGAAGGACGACGACACGCCGCCGCCAGAACCGGGAGCGAGCGAGCGAGAGCGCGCGCGCGCCCCGACGGCTGGGTGGGCCTGGCTGTGGCCGGGATGGGGCTGGCGCGGCGCCCTCCGCCCGCGCCCTCCGCCGCCTGCTCCTCGCCTGCCACCTCCTGCTGCTCCTGCCGCCGCCGCCGGGGTCCTCGGGGCGCCGCCCGCCGCGCGGCCCCGCATCGCGCGCCTCTTCCCGGGTAAGACCCCCGGGATCGCCGCCCTCGCCGCCCGGCGCGCCCAGGCAAGCGGCATCTCGGGGCGCCCCGCCCGCCTGGCACGGCGATGCCCGAGCGCCTTTGCCGCAGCCGCCCCGGGAGGGGAGGGAGGGGGGGGGCCGCGCCCGGGCTATTGTCTCCGTCCCCTGCTGCGCGGACCCGGCTGGGCGCGGAAGGGCGAGGCTGGGAGGGGGCTGCCCGGGCTGGGGGGCGGCAGTCTGGTCCCCCGCTCGGAAGCCAGCATGGCCAGCCCCGGAGCAAGACTCCCCCAGGGGCAAGGGTCCCTCGCGGGCCGGAGCGCCGGGGTGCTTGGGGTGCTGCGGGCCGTCAGCCAAGCCTGCAAGATCTTGTTGGCCTCGACGCGGTCGAATCGCTTCCCTGGGGCCAAGCCCCGACCCCCGAAATAGAAGGAGCGGGACGGGGCGGGTTCGGCGTCCAGGCTTTGCTGGAGCAGCACTGCGCAACAAGCAGCGGGAGAGAGGCAAAGGAATCGAGCAGAAAAGGGTGAGGGTGGATTTAATGGCAAGAATGGTTGCAGAATTTTAAGGAGGGGTTACAATAATCCAGCACTTTGACAACTCAGAATGTAGGATTGAAAACAGCAAATTACAAGCAAGCAGCATGTGGTCAAACTCGACTTCACTGGCACAAGCTGTAGTGATGATCCTCACCTTGGGGGCTTTAAAAGAGAATTAAGACAAATTAATGGGGGATGAGACTATAGGTGGCTCCTGCCATGACAGCCATGCTCTGTCTGGGGATGCCCAGCAACTGGCAGCCTCAGGCCCCAAAGGCCTCTGGGAATCCCAAGCAGGGAGGGGCTGCTCCCAGGTCCTGCTTCCTGGAATAGGCATTGACAGGCTTGATCCTATACTGTGCAGGTCCAGCTATGGAAGGGAGATGCTCTTGCGCCAGCCGCTTGCAGCCATCCGCAACCTGGTCCCTTCAATAGAAGGCAGCTGAAATGTGCTCTTTGTGGGGCTGCCCTTGAAGACTATGCAGAAGACACATATTATACCAGGGCTGGTTGGTGCTGTGCTTGAGGGCCTGAGTCAAAGTGCTTCTGTGGCTTCTGTTTGCTTTTTAAATATGTTTTTATTAAGATTTTCCAAATGTAATAAGTGTGTGTCTATTTTCAAATCTTCTGTGGCTTCTGTTGGCATGCAGAGCCCTCACTAACTTGGCCCCAAACACCTGAAGCAGTGACATCTGTCCAGACCCACCTAGATGTTGGGGTCTGCAGGGAGGCCTTGCTGGCAGCTCCACTGGGGGGGTGTATGAGAGAAAGGGGGGCTCTTCTTCCTGGTGGCCCCTGAGATGGTGGGATGCCCTTCCTGGCACCCAGCAGCACCTGCCCTTATTACTGTATTCATGTCATGTTAGGCAACAATGAGCCTTTTGGGGTGAAGGATGAGATCAGAATATCCCTCCTCTCATCATAGTGTTGTTGCTGTTTCTGACTCCTCTTGATTCAATTCGTTTATGGTCTTGTAACATTTCTGTGTTTCATAGTTTGCTTCTTGTAATGTGTTGTCCATCATCCACCCTTGGACTGCATGGTGAAGGGCAGGCTGTAAATGCACAGCAACATATAAAATCCTGCAGCAAAGCGTTCTGCAAGTGTTGCATCTCTTTGGCTTGATTCTGCCGCCAGTTGTTTTGGCTGTGTTTGCCCAGGGCTGCCATGAAGAACGCTTGGTTCCCTCTGCGCCTTGCAAGTCCTGCTATGTCCTCTAATTGGTTCCTTCCCAGCAACTGCTCTGGCTTCCTCCTTGAGGACGTTGTTGCAGGTTGTGCTTGCTTGAGTTGCCCTGCATTTTTAGTTATGCTCCTGGAGGCCCTCAGTCCTACTCAGTGCATTCCAGACATGAGCCAGGGCAGGGGGCGCATCTAGAAACTTTGCATTCCTCCCTACTTTAGTGCAATGCAGGGGGCCCAGGAGAAGGAAGTCTCTTGTTCAAATCTCACTTCTGGCCTGAAGTGACTAAGTAGCCTCAGGCATCATCACGACTTTCCCGCTTTACCCCAGTGATGGCTAAGTGTGATGATGTACAGGAAGTGCTTTAGCACACTCTAAAGCTTTATACCAATGCTCAAGACTGTTACTTATTTTCAACTCACATAAGATGAAGCAGCAAACACAGCTGATGTGATCAGTTCTTGTTTTTCTCTCTGTGCATTAACCTCCTGGTATCTCAGGGAGCAAACAGAGCAGAGGAGAATCCCTCTCCCTTGTTCTGCCAGAGGGCAAGGCAAGTGCGATGGGCCAATGCCCCCCTTGCTTCTGGCTTGTTTTCTGCTTGGCAGGGGTTGGACTCGATGGCCCTTGTGGTCTCTTCCAACTCTATGAGTCTATGATTCTATGATAAGACCATCAGGAGAACCTGACTGCTGCTGAATCAGACCACTGGGGGCTTGGCTAGCCAGCCGGTGGGTGGAGGTTCCCGTGCAGGACTTGAGGGCGATTCCCAGCTTCCTCCCACAGCAGAGGGAGACTTCCTAGCCTAGCTGCTGAGCACTTGCTTCAAGCCCTGCTATGCTGGAGAGCTCCAGCTGGGAACTCCAGGGAGGACCCATTCCCACAGGAGCTTTTGTTTAGTGCCTAATGCAAGCCCCCCTCCCCGAACAACAGGGAGCACATTTTAAGGTTCCCAGTTCTTCCCTTTACTTGCCCCACACCCGACCCCCTGCTGGGAATATGAATATGTTCAAAAGCACTGGTCCCAATATGGACCTTTGGGGGACTCCACTTTCTACATCCCTCCTTTTGCAAAATTTATTCCCACGCTCTGCTTCCTGCTTATTAAGCAGTTCCTGGGCTCCCTCTCCTCTTATTCCTCTGGAGTCTTTGCCAGGTAGTTGACATCTGAAGTGTGGTGTCTGTTGGAGGTGCCAGTTCAGTCCATGGCTTGCAGATACTCTTCAGAGAACCCCAACAACAGCCTGGGAGGCAGGAGCTTCCCCGCAGAATCTGCTCTGCCCTGCTTCAGTCCTGCCTGCTCTGCTATCTGCTTGGTCATTGTGTCTCTGACAATATGTTCCACCACTTAAGCTAAGCGGTTTGTAATTTCCAGGATCCTCCTGGATCTCTTTTTAAAAACTGGTCTGTGTTGGTCATGTTCCAGTCCTCAGATATGGAGGCTGATCTGAGAGACAAGGGACATTTTTTGTTTGCTGATCCGCCATTTCACAGTTTTGCTCTTTGAGAACTCTCGGGTGGGCCAGAGGTTTGGGCCAAAGTGTGTGTTCCCTTTTTGCCTCATTTCTCAGGGAAGCTGCTCTGACTCTGCTCATTCACCATGCTGGCATCCTCTTGGCCTTCCTTGATCTGCGGATATATGGAGATATTAGCTTTCATTATTGTGGCTTTGAAACACCCCCAGGCATTTCATAGCGAATGGCCCTTTTTACATGGCCTTTTTAACAGCCCCCTCATTTGGGGAAAGTTTCTTCTTTTGAAGTCAAACGTGCCTGTTGATGCTTATCTCGAATGGGAGAGCACTTGGGTCACTGTTCTCAGTCCATTCAACAACACCTAACACCACTTTGGATTAAGCCCAAGATCGCCCTGTCTCTGGTTGGTTCCTTGGCCAGCTATTCTTGCAGACAGTGCTGGTCTAATTGAAATTGCCCGTGGCTGCAGCACTTCCTCCTTGGGAGGCCTCTCTGAGTTCATTCTCCATCTCAAGATCACCCTGGGCATTTGGGTCCCCAGGACTAAATGTCTTTAGGGCCCCCCACTGTGCAGGCCCTATGCTTGACTCCCTGCATGTAGACTGGCATCCTCACATCTGTAGCCAGCCAGCATCCAGGCCAAGCAGCCTGAGGGCCTGCTCCCTTGGCAAGGGCTTGCCTGGATCAGGGCTGCCCTCCTCCCGAAGCCAGGTCTGGTGGGAGAGCTGAGCCGAGGTGCCCAGTGTCCTCCGAAAGGGAACAAGCCTGGCCGGCCTTTGTGGGCAGTGGGGATAGGCTGCATGCCTGGCAGGGGTGAGGCCTTGCTTCTCTTCAGGGAAGGACTCGGCCGCTTCCCGCCCAACTGGGGAGCCTGGCCTCCCCCCCCCCCCGGCCTCTGGTCACACACGGCCTGCCTTGTCTCTGTGTTGTGCCTGAGGCCCTTAGCCTTGGCCTCCTGCCCCTGGAGCACACTGGGGTGTTTGTCTGGGGGCTGTGAAGGGGCCGCCCTGCAGCTCAGCCCCCGTGGAATGTGGGGCCACATCCAGCTGGGTGCTCAGTAGCTTGCCGGGAAAGGGCAGGGCTGAGTGCCGGGATTCTGCTGCAAGAGGGCGGAGGCCAGGATCTCTGGGGTGCCCAGCTGGGCTCTCCCCTGGGGCTGCTCCGAAAGGGGCCTGGGCTGGGGCAGGATGGCTCCCTTACCCTGCCTGATCTGACCACCTCCAGGGTTCCTCCTCTGGGGTGCTGAGGAGACGTGGGGCAGCAGGAGCCTCTGCAGGGAGGGGCCCCATTGTCTGGGCAGGAGTCACTGTAGCAAGGGCTCTTCTCCTGGTCACTGCCTGGCAGCGTGTTGTGGTGGCTGGGGGCCTGTGCCAGGTTTCCAGGGCTGTGGGTTTAGGCAAGCCACTGAACAGTGCTGCACAGGGAACCGCAAATACCTGCAGAATAAGGAGCCAAAACGGACTGAATTCTGTACATCAATAGATTTTAGCAGGGAGGCAAAACCTTTCAGTGTAGGAATGCTGCCTTAAGACAAGTCTTAGCCATTGGGGTCCCTGTAGCTCAGCATGGGCAGGCAGCAGCAGCCCTGCAGGGCCCAGGCAGATGTCTCAACCGACCCTCCTGGCAGCCACCGATGGTCTTGTCCTGGGCTACAGGGTCTCTGGGTGCTCCTTTCCCATGGCTTTGGGGTGTGCCCTCCTGTGTAGCTCCCCAGGCCTGCAGACGGGGGCAGATCCTCCGCCTTCCTTTGCAGTGGCCAGGCGGGTGACGCTCCTTCGCCAGGTGGGCAGGGACGTTCTTGCCTAGGCGGAATGATGTGGCCTGTGCATCTGACTGTGGCCCGGGGCTAGTTTAAGTGGCGGCTGCCAATCCCTGAGAAGGGAGGAGCCCAGCCGGCAAGAGGCCCCAGGGGGAGGCTGGTTCTCTGGCATGTTCAGGGGCCGCCCAGGTGTCGGGAACAAGCCACCGGCAGATGGGTGGGGCTGTGGGTGGGGAGTCCCTCTTGGCACTGGGGAGTGCCTGGCACAGGGGGTGGCATGTATGAGCCCCTGGGCCCCGTTCCCCTTGGTCAGAGGGTGGTCTTGAGGGGTGGGGGACTGGCACTTCTTGTAGGGGAGCTGCTTCCCTTGGCCCCACTCCCTCCAGCTGCCTGGCCTACTCTGCAAAGTGGAATGGGGCCTGCTTCCTCTCTGGGGCTGCATGCCCTCCATTGGCCTGCCTGTGTCGAGCAGACGCAGGATCTCTCCCTCTGGCAACAGCAGGGCAGCCGTGGAGCGGGGAAGGGCCCTTTGCTGTGAAACGGCCCCCCTGGGGCTGTGGGGCTGCCTCTCTGGGACCGCCAGAGCCCCCAGCCCTGCTTTGCCCGTTGTGCGGCCCCTGACTGCTTGCAGCCGCGGAGGTTCCTCTTTAATTAGCGGCAGGGATTTCTCCGAGCAAAGCCAGCGGCCGCCTTATCTGCTGCCGGGAACTGCCATCACCCACAGAGATCAAGTTCCCACACTCTGGTGCTTCCCACACAGGCTCTTGCTGGGGGGGGGTCTGGGGGGGTCAGTGGTTACTTGAAGGCTACTGAAATGGCAGACTTGACACTGATTCCTTCCTGGGCGGGGGCAACTCCCTTTGTCTCCAGTGAGTCTTCAGGCCCCCCCCAATGCAACCCCCCATGCTGTTCAGATGGCCCTTCCTGGAGCTGAAGAGCTTTGAGAAGCAGTTGTGGGTGTTGTGGGAAAGGGGCAGGATGGGGGACCCAAGGAGAGGGGAGCCCCACATGCTCTGGGTCCTTCCAGCTCTGGAGCTCTCCTCAGGTGCTTCTGAGACTGGCTGGGGGTGCCAGGCCCCTTGGTTCTGCTTCTGTTGTGGGGGGGGGGGCAAGCAGAGCAGAACACCTTTTGAGGGACCCTCCTTCCCTCATTGTGAAGCCCCCCAATATCTACTGATTCTTCTTTCCACTTCTTCATTCACCTGCCTGCCTTGCCTGGGCCCTGATCTCTCACTGGCTCAACCTGGGGATCAGTAGCAGAAACCCCCCCATGATATGGTTGCAGTGGGGAGGGGTCCCTTTGCTGCAAGGCAGACCCCCCTACAAAGGGCCTTGGCTCAGAACCTGCTTTCTGTGTGGAAACTTCCAGGTTCAAGCCCCAACTGCTGCCAGTCAGTGTGGGCAGTGCTGAGCTTGATGGACAACGGGGTCTGACTCAAGCAAAGGCCACTGCCTCCATTTGCCCCGCTTGTGTTGCTGCCGCTTTAAGGGCCGTGATGACAGATGTGCGCAGAGAGCAGAGCAGGATCCTTGCAGCTACAGCAGTCCTTGCAGATGTCCCCCCTCACTGGTTGAAAACCTCCAGAGGTGGGATGGGGGAGAGTCCACATCCCGGACGGGTGGCTCGCCAGTCTCTGCTCTAAATCCTCCACCCTTTGTGGCTCCCAGGCAGAATCTGCTCCTTTGTATGTGGCTCACCCTTCCTAGTGTTGGGTCTCAATCCAAACTCTCTCCCTTGTCATTTGAACCCTCAGCAGCAGAAAGCAGATCTGCTCCATCCTCCTGCAAAGTGGCAGCGCTTCCAATGCCCGCATGTGGCTGTTGTGTCGCCCCTTCTTTGGGTGGAGCATCTCTCATAGCTTCCCACCGACAGGATTTTGTCTTCAGCCCCCCATCCTTGCGGCCGTCCTCTGGACACTTTCCCATTTGTCCAGCCCTAGACACGGCCCTTTAGGTGAGATGGCAAGGCTAAGCGAAAGCGAGTGGGTCCATTAGGACAGGTCTGCATCAGGCCTTTGGGCTGCCATATCCCGCAGCTGACTCATTCTGTAACTTGTGGTCTCCTCCGAAACCCTGAGTTCCTTTCTATATGACTGGATGACCTTTAAGGTTCCTCCCAATTCTCTGATTCTATCAGACAGATGACACCCAGCCTGTTTTTTGTGCATCAGTTTATTCTTCCCTGCTTAAGTGCAGAATTTTACATTTAATCTCTGTTGAAATTCCTTTTGTTAGTTTTCTCCATCTGTTTCTGTTGACTTCAAACTCCAGCAATGGCTGGACTTCACCATCTCAGGCCTTTTGTAAAGGGCGGCTGGAGGCAGTGATGGCTACCAGCTTGAATGGCTTTAAAAGAGGATTAGACAAATTCATGGCGGAGGAGAGGGCTCTCAGAGGCTCCTAGCCCTGGTGACTCTGTTCCTCCTCAGCTACTAGGGACAGAATCCAATGAAACTGAATGTTGGAAGATTCAGATAGATAAGAGGAAGGAGGCAGAGGCAGTAATGTCTCTGAAGGCCAGTTTCTGGAAACCACGGGAGGAGAGAAGTCTCTCGTTCTCACATACTGCTTGTGGTTTTCCGGAGGCATCTAGGAGAACAGGATGCTGGACTAGATGGGTGGGGGGCTGTTGTAGTTCTCGGCAACTTCGATGGCTTCTGAAAAAAGGCTATTTAACTCACATGGTAGATTCTGGTGGCAGACGTGGCGTGCAGAGCCCGGATGGAGGTGGGGGGCAGGTTGGGAGAGGGGCCCTCCTTCCGTGGGGCAGCATGGCGAGGCAGGGAGGCCCTGGCTCTGGGAGCCCCATGGCTTGTGCTGTGGGGATGGGCTCAAAACAAGGTGTGGAAAGATGGTTTCCTGCCTTGGATGGCCACGTGGGATTATCTGGGCCCTGGGCTGGGGCATTGAGCCCTGACCCAGAAGAATGTGGGCCCAGCCCAAGGCTTTGCTGTCTGAGCCCCAGCCTGGCTACAGAGCCACCGCCGCTCCCTGCCAACCCAGCCATGGGGGACTTGGCTGTGCCTGGCCACCTTGCATGCCACTCTGGCCATGGCCTGCTGTCATCGCGGAGCATCTGGCCTGGCCGGGGACGATGGTGGCAGCTGCCCCTGCCTCTCTTCCCCACTCTCAGCAAGGCGGTTAGTGCAGAAGCCTTTCTGCAGCGCTGCTCTGGCCTCTGGCTGCTCCTTCAGATTTCTGCTCTCAAAAGATGTGATTGTTTGTGGCTCTCTGCGTGCTTGTGCTCAGACAATGCCTGCCAGGCCAGGCCCTGAGGCGCCAGCCCCCTCACAGGCTGCCCCACCCGCCCTCAGCCTTGAGCCTCTGTGCGCTGACAAGGAAGCAGTTTGAAAGCATACCAGTGCTGGTAGATAAATCGGTATAGCTGCAGCAGGAAGGTAAACAGTGTTTCTGTGCGCTCTGGTTTCTGTCACGGGTCCCATTGTGCCAGAAGCGGCTTAGTCCTGCTGGCCACATGACCCGGAAAGCTGTCTGTGGACAAACGCTGGCTCCCTCGGCCTGAAAGCGAGATGAGCGCTGCAACCCCAGAGTCGCCTTTGACTGGACTTAACCATCCAGGGGTCCTTGACCTTAGATCCTCTGGAGTGGGCCCACGAAAGGAGTGCCTGGGGTGGGTGGGTGGGGGGCAGGCCACCCCATTCCCACCAGTTCATTGGCTGCAGCAGCACTGGAACTTGTCAGATGGGGAGGGACAGGTCTTGTCTGCATCACTTCTGCATGCACACAAACGGGAAGGGAGGGGAGCAGTGGCCTTTGGGGTGCAAGGAAATTGAAGGAAGGTCTGGTTGCCTCCCCTCAGAAATATTGCAGAGCTGCGCGGGGGGGGGGGGGTTGACTCTCCTGTGAGGAAAGGACTTTTTTTGTTTAGGGAAAAGGCAAGGGAAGTGGGGCATGGAAGAGATGCATAGAGCCAGGCCTGGCCGGGAGAACATGGGCAGAACAATGTTCTCCTCTCTTTCTCTTAACCCTGGGAGTTCTGGGCATCCGGTGAAGCTGAGGGTTGGGAGGTTCAGGTCTCCTCTGCAAGTGCCACCAGCTGCCCACCTGGGTGGCAGTCCCTGAAGGCGACTGGCAGGCAGTCTCTGTGCTGCTGCCCTTTTCTGTTGGCCCTTCCTGCAACGCCCTTCCCCTGCCAAGAGCCTCCTGGGATGTTTGCTGAGAAGTCGGTGGCTGCCAAAGGTCAGCCTAATAATCTTTCTTGGAAGCTTCCTGCTGGCAGCGCTGCCCCTTTTCTTCCTGCTCCTTGAGGGGGGCTGAGAAATGTCCTGATAACTGCCCCCCAACAGCCTTCTCTTTGTTGGGCCTTTCTCTTTGCCCTTTATAGCAAAATAGGGACCCCACCAACTGCTATGCGAAAAAGGAAAGGAAAGCAGCAATTAAAGCACATCCTGTTGAAAGTGGCTGATTCTGCAGCAAAAGCCCAGCCCTTCCCCATGAGGCCCCTCTTTCGCTCCCCACCCCAGGGACCCCCACCCCACAGCAAGCAGGAACTTGTGGTGCCCCACATCCAGCCAGTCGCTGAGAGCCAGGCCCCACAGCAGGAGATGAGGGAGCCTGCAGCCCTTCTCGGGGCGAGAGCAGCGTGGCCAGAGGACTGTCACCTGCTGGGTCCTCCCTTGGCCTAAGAGGCTGTGGATGAGCTACTCAGGCAACCCTGCAAGTGGTCCAGGACTGGGCGCTGAGCGTGGCGACTGCCTCTGTGCCCGGGCAGCTCTGGACATAGGGCAGGTGGCACCCAGGCATGGCTGGCATTGGGTGGGTGCAGCTGGCACAGGCTGTGGCCCCACTCCTTGGAGGGCGAAGGCTGGAGGTGATGCTTGCTGCCACCATTTATTTTATTTTTACTGAATTTTTATACCTCCCTATAGCTGGATGTCTCTGGGCAGTTCACAGAAAATATCACAATATATAAAGTCAAAATAAGAACAATAACCCAGTAACACCCAGTAACATGGGAGGGAGGGTGGCCTTCCTGTCTGGACGTGCCCAGTCCCCTCTCTGCCCAGGGCTGCACACAAGCCCTGTGGGGATGGAGGCTCTGGGGCGATGCCTCCCCAGGGCTAAAGGAGGCACTCCTGCCCCCCAACTCCTTCTCCTATGCTGCGTCTTTCAATGCACTGTGGGGAGGGGGGCAGAGCTGGCCCCTCCTGGCATTGGCCGGGGGCTTGCATGTCTTTGGCTGCTCCCCACCTTTGAATTGCTGCCCCCATGCCTGGCATACGCCTTGGGTGCTGTGTGCCGGCCAGTCACCTGCGGGTGCTCTCTTTGCAGAGGTGGAGGGTCTGGTGCAGCGATTCTCTCACGAGGCCATTTCCAACTACAGCACCTTCCGGGTGGATCCCCGATCCCACACGCTCTACGTGGGAGCCAAGGACACCCTCCTCGCCCTGCCTGTGGGCACCATCAGTCAGGGGGCCAAGAAGGTGAGCTGGGTGGCAGCCGAGTCCCCAGGGATGGCTGGGGGGCCTGAGCCCTGTGGCCCCTGCCCTCCTTTTACCTCTGTCGCTTGGGCAGGGAGCAATTGGGGCGGGGCAAGGCGGTGGGTTTTTTTGGTGGGGGAGGTGTTTCTGCCGTCCTGGCCAAGGTGCCTCTGCTGGGCCAGGAGCATCAGATGGTGGCCCTGCCTGCCTCCTCCTTGTTTGGTGGGGATCACAAGCCCCGCCGCATGGGGCAGGAAGGGTCCTCTTTGCCCCACTCCCCTGGTGGGGGAGGGGAAGGTGGCCACTGGCAAGCCTTGGGGCTTTTCTTCACTGTCTTCCAGATAGCCTGGAATGTGCCTGAGAATCTCCAGATCTCTTGCACCTTGAAAGGGAAAAAAGAGGTAAGTGCTGCTGGGGGCTTGTGTGGGGGGGGGGCCCTTGGCCTCTTCCTCCTCATCTTCCCGAGGGCTCTGAGTGTTGCTGTGGAGCTGCCCATATCCTGGAGCCCCACAGAGCAAAAGGCTCCCCTCAAAGCCAGGAGGGTGGGGGGTTCCTGGCCTCTCCCTCTCGCACCTGGCTGACGGCTGCTTCCCTCTCGCCTCTCAGGCCGAATGCCACAACTTCATTCGCATCCTGGAGTTTGCCAACCAGACGCACCTCTTTGTCTGTGGGACCTTCTCCTTCAGCCCCCAATGTGGCTACATTGTGAGTGGCTGCCTGGCTCAGCCGTGTGTGTGTGTCTTGCAAGCGCTACCTTTCAACTTGGGGGGTCTGTATTGCTTCCACCCTGACTGGGACAGATGTCTTTCAGCCTTGGGGAGGGGCAACTCCGCAAAACCCCTTGGCACCTGCTGGAGGGTTTCAGAGGGTAGGGGCCCCACACCCCCCTTCCATGCCGTTCACGTGCAGACATGGCTGGGGGGTCCTTCCTCTCTTGCAGAAAGTGAGCGACTTCCGCACTGTGGAGCGGCAGGAGAGCGGGCGGGGGAAGTGCCCCTTTGAGCCCCTGCAGCCGTCTGCAGCCATCATGGCAGGTATGGGGGGAGGGGCACATCAGGGGGGGGGGGCTTGTGAGGGTCTGGCAGAACAGTGCAGCACCCACAAGCCAGGGGCCACCTCAGGGGCCTCCATGGGTGGCTGGGGAGTGCCAAGCCCCTTGTTCCTGCTTCTGTTGTGGGGTGGGGGCCAGATCCTTCCCTGCCCTTTGCCCCTCTTGGCTCCTCCCCTTTCGTCTTCAGCCTGGCCGCTCTGCTGGGGTGCGGCCACTTGCACCCCCATCTATGAAGCCTTGAGGAGGCCCTTCCCGCCCCCCATGTCCTGCCCTTTCCTGCTATGCCTCTTTGCCCCCTAGATGGCGTCCTGTATGCAGCCACAGTCAACAACTTCTTGGCCACGGAGCCCATCATCTCCAGAGCCACAGGGAACCCTACAGAGTTCATCCGAACAGAAAACTCCGTGGCCTGGCTGAATGGTGAGCTGGCGAAGGCAGCGGCTGCTGTGGTTGGGCAGGGTGGTGTCTTGGGATCAGGGCCTGGCGGGGGGGGCTGGAGAAGTCCTTGCATGGAGCTTTGCTTGTTTCTTCCGCTGCCCAGATCCCGAATTTGTGGCCTCGGCTTTTGTGCGGGAGAGTGAGAACGGCGAAGATGACAAGATCTACTTCTTCTTCACGGAGACTGCGCGCGAGTACGACTTCTACGAGAAAGTCAAGGTTGCGCGCGTGGCCAGAGTCTGCAAGGTCAGTGCCCTGATGGGGGGTGGGGGGCTCTGGGGCTGAGGCCTGGTGCCCAGCTGGTTCTCCCTCTTCCCTGGAAGCCCCATGTCCTCCTTCCTTATGGGCCTGTGACCCACTTCCTGCTTCAGCCGGCCTTCCACTCTTTGCCCCAACCACCTTGGCTCAGTCCCCCTGCACCATCTCCCCCAACCCAAAATGTCTGCTGGGGTGGGGGCTCCTTGCTGTGCCTGCATTGCCCCCTCCATCTCTGCCCAATTGTCTGCAGGGAGACTTGGGAGGCCAGAAGACGCTGCAGAAGAGGTGGACAACCTTCCTCAAGACGCAGCTGGTCTGCTCAGACCCTCAGAGCGGCACCGTCTTTGGCATCCTGAAGGACGTGGTCACTTTGTCGTCAGACAACTGGAATGCCACCGTTTTCTATGGGGTCTTTGCAGCCCACAGGTGAGGGGGGCGAAACCCATGGCAAGGCCACCTTTGGGGCGGGCAGGGTAGGAGGGAAGGTGCCGCCCTCTGGGCTGCTCCACCAGGCAGGCTTTTCTCTGCCCAGATGTGGGTGCTCTGTGGGGGGGGGGGGTGAGGCGGCAACATCAACATGGGCTCTTGCTTCTCTCTTGCTGGGACACCTTGTCCTGCCTGCCACGCCTGGGCACAGTGCCAGCCAGCCTTGGCAGAGGCAGCCAGCACTGAAGAGGGAGGAGCAGGACTTGGCTTGGTCTGTTTCTGGAAGGCGGAAGGAGTGGCAGGACGCCTTTGCAAGGCTTGGCTGCTGGATCAGACCAGAGGGGAAGCCCCAAAGCTGGACCTGAATGCCAGCTGCCTCTTTCCTGTGCTTGTTGCTTAGCAAAGAGGTTTCAGAGGTAGACTGCCCTTGGAAATGGGGGCTCCACTCACCTGCTGTGACACACAGCTGGCAATCAGCTTCTTTCCTTGCTCCTTTCCAAGCCATCCCTGCTTGGGGGTTGGGGTCAGTCTCCACGAATCCTTTCTGGGTTGCATAATGGAGGACTTTGCTCTTGACTTTCCTGGATTCCTTCCCAGCCAGTTTCATTGGGGGCCGAGATGGAGGTGAAAGGGGAAGCCCAGTGGCAGAATGGCTGGCCTGGCAGGGGGAGGCTGCTTTGCTGGGGGGTGCTGTCTCCCCCCGCCCCCCTGAGTGAGGCTGCCTTGCTGGTGCCTTTCAGGAAGGAGGGGAGTGCCATTTGCGCCTACAGCCTGCAGGATATCCAGAGGGCCATGGCTGGACGCTTCAAGGAGTTCCGGCGCGACTGCGACAAGTGGACAAGTGTCATGCAGGACGATGTTCCTGACCCACGGCCGGGGGCAGTGAGTGAGGCCCAGGGGGGTGCTGCATTGGGGGCTGGGTGGCCTGGGTCCCCTGGGCTTGAGCAAGCCCCCCCGATCCTGAGCCCCCCATCCTCTCTTCCCCTCAGTGTGTCACCAAGAGCCTGAAGCTGGAGGGGATTGGGTCCACGCTGGCCCTCCCAGACCGAGTCCTGACCTTTGTTCGTGACCATCCTCTCATGGACGAGCCTGTCCACCCGCAGCAGGGCTCTCCGCTGCTGGTCCAGCTGAACACCCAGTACTGCCGGCTGGCTGCCCACCGGGTCAGGGCGCTCTCTGGGCAAGAGTATGATGTCCTGTACCTGGGAACAGGTAAGGAGGTGGCTGGGCAGCAGGTAGGCATGCCAAGTGGGGAGGCAGGTATCGGAGGGGGCCAGGCTGAACTGCCCTTCTGCTCCCCCAGAGGACGGACACCTGCACAAGGTGGTCAGGACCAGCCAAGAAACCTCCCGGGTGATAGAGGACCTGGAGCTGTTTGCTGAGCCTCAGCCCATCCGCAACCTGCAGCTCCACCAGGTGAGTGGCTGGTGGGTCTGGCCTGGCCCAGAAGGCTCAAGGGGGACAAGGGCCAATGGGATCTTCTCTCTCTGGCCCTGGGACCCCCATCCAAAAGGGCTGGACTTGGCCTTCCTTGCCCTCCTTTTGGAGGAAGGGGGGGCCTGGCTCCTCTTCAGGGTCCAGCCCTTCGTGGCCCCTGCCAGACAGTGGGAAGCTGAACTGGGAGCTCACTGGTTGCCAAAGCAGCTTTTTGTGGGGGTGGGGCTGTGAACTGCCATGGAGGGACCATTCCCCAAACAGCCAGGATGGCGGCCTGTTGAGTGAACAGGGAAAGCTGCCCTGTGAATGGTTTCAGAACTCACAGAGTTAAAGAGTTCTGGTGACGTCTCTTTCCTGAGGCGTGGTTAGAAACACTTAAGGGAGGGGTTTGACTCCGTGTGTTTCAGTCTGACTTTCGGACGTGATGCGAAAGGGAGAATGTGTCAGTTCTCGCCAGGTCTGAATTTATGATGTTATTCTTCATGATTAAAAGGCAAGAGTAGATAAGGACTGCCTTGTGTCTGGACTGATTTATTCCACACGTGCTGCACTCTGCTTCTCACCGCTGTGTTTCGCTCTGCTACCGGCAAGAGAGAGAGGCCTGAGGAGGACTTTTGCAGGAAGCACGGATAGCTTGCAGAGTTCCGCAACGGAAGCGTGCCGGGCTCCATGTTCAGTCTCTGTGTACCCTCTTGTCCGGTGTAAATAATTCCAACAGGTTATGGAAGCTCGCCAAAGCTTTGAAGCATTGCAGGAACGTCCCACGTGTGGGGAAGCCAGCAGGAAAGTTGCTGGGGTCCAGCTGGAGCTCTGGAGCTGTGTCTTTGAAGCTGGAAGGAGCTCGCTGGGGAGAAGCGATCTGCCGGAGCCGGGAGGCGGAGAAAGCTACTGCCGGGAGACGTGAGTAAGCTTAGCCCCCGGGGAGGAGATGGCAGACGATCGTGAATCATTCTCAGTTCCCTTTGAGAAATTAAATGGACAAAATTGGGCCGAATGGAGCCGGAAGCTAAAGGCCTGGCTGGTAGCCAAGGGGTTGTGGGAGGCGACCCAGGGGCCCCTCTCCCACCACCTGCAGCAGGAGCAGCAGCAGCGGACATAGCGGCTGCTCACGCGTCGCAGAGGAAAACCAGAAAGCCCTGGGAGCTATAGTGCTCAGTTTGGAGGGTTCCCAACTTCCTCTGGTTGAAGGGCTTGAGACTGCTCAGGAGGCCTACCAAGCCCTTGAGAGGGTGCACCACAGAACCACGGCTGGTGCAAAGATCCACACCACCAGACGCTTATTTGAGATGAAGCTGCGTCCCGGTGGGAACATCAGACAGCATGTTACTGAGATGCTTTCTGTTTTCAATGAGTTGCGCCTGTTACAGGTCAACTTTTCAGAAGAGCTGAAGGTTTATATTTTGCTCAGCTCTCTGGACAAAAGTTATGACAATTTGTGTCTGTCTATGGAATCGATGAGTCCACAGGATTTGACGCTATCGTACGTGACAGGGCGTCTTTCGGACGAACAGGAGAGGCGTGTCCGAGAAGGCAGGTCTGGCGCAGGCAGCTCCACCGGTTGCAGAGGTGGGGGGCAAGCCAGATGAGAGCTGTGTTCAGGCTTTTTCCACTCGTCGATGTTATGTCTGTGGATCCAACAGCCATCTAAAACGGGCTTGTCCGCAGAAGAGCAGAGAGGCCGGGCAGGATGTCTCCAAGGTCAACCAGCTGAGTTCTCATGGGAACCAGTCTCGGAGAGGAGGCCAGCGTGGGAACGCGAAGGAGGGACGTGACTCAGAGAAGGGAGACTGTTATCATCTCGCGGCTTCTCTGGCAACTTTGAACAACAATGCCAGCAGGGACACAACTATGAAGTGGGTGCTGGACTCAGGAGCGAGTCATCACCTGATAACGCCATCTGCTGGGAGCTGCAGACTTGCAGGGCTGTTTTAACTGGAATGACTTGTAAATTTGCTGACGGGAAAAAACGAAATGTATCTAAAGTGGCAAATGTCTATAATTCTGTTTTGCAGGCTGAGCTGGAGTGCTTCATTGTACCAGGGATGAAGTGTTGCCTGTTATCGGTTTCTGCTCTGGCGAAGCAGGGATACAAAATTTGTTTTGAAAATAACACCTGTTCCATTTTCAGAGGGGGAGGCAACTTGTCAACGTGGAGAGCAAGGACAATCTCTTTGTTCTGGAAACACCTCTGGAGGGTGGTGGGAATGCAGGGAAAGCACAGGCGCAGTGTGCTAGTGTTCCCAGCCATGATTCATGTGTTCATGTATGGCACAAAAGAATGTCTCATGCTTGTCTGGAGGATGTTAAGAGGCTGCCAGGCTGCACCGAAGGATGTAAAATCACACCATGTGAGGGATCCCTAGTGTGCAGGGCATGCAGCAAGGTTCAAAGGTGCAGGTTTCCGGGGTAAAGAGGGTAACCACAAAACCTTTGAGTTGATTCACACAGATCTGTCAGGACCCATGAGGTGTAAGAGTCTGGGTGGGGCCAAGTATGTGCTATCGCTGACAGATGACCACAGCCAGGTTGGCTGGTGTTCTCTCTCAAATCACAGGGGAGGCGGCGCAACTGATCCAGGATTGGGCTGCGGAGGTGGAACGAAGGTTTTCCACCAGGGTGCAAGGGTTCAAGAGCGACCGAGGGTCACAGTTTACTGGGTCTGCTCTGGAGGAGTTTTTCAAGGAAAAAGGAATACGTCACCACGTGACGGGTGCAAAGTCTCCTCAAGGGAGAGGCGTGGCACAGCACAGGAGTGAAACACTGGCTGAAGCTGTCAGAGTTTTGCTGGGTGACTCTGGGCTGCCTCAGAGCTTTTGGAGTGAAGCTTGGAAAGCTGCCAACTTTGTTTTTAACAGGTCCTACAATCACGATGTAGGTGACACACCGTATTTTCTGTTGCACAAGAGGAAGCCACAGGTGCATTTCTTCCGTTCGTTTGGTTCCAAGGCTTCAGTGCCAATACCAACAGCGCAACGGAAGAAGGATGGTCCTAGGTACCAGGACATGATCTTCTGTGGGTATGATCCTGCAACAAATGGGTGGAAGTTTGCATACCCAGAGGGTGATCAGACCACGCTGCTGGTCAGCAAGCATGCTGAGTTCTTTGAGCAGGATGGGTGGTCACAGCCTAGGTATGGTTCTGATTTTCTCTCAGACTGCTTGTCCGATTCTGAGGGGGAGGAAAAGGAGGAAGAAAGGGAGGAAGGAGAGGCAGAGGCGGAGCCTGTTGCTGAAGACCAGGTTGCTGATGATGGTCAAGCACAGGGGTGGGTTTCTCCACAGGTTAAGAGGGAACCCAAGAGTGAGCCTTCATCTCCTGTTAGCCAAGTGCAGGAAGCCCGAAGACGCAGCAAGTCAGAGGGGAGTCTTCTGAGCTTGCTGGAGACACACTTGCTGACCCCAGTGGGTCAGGAGGAGCGCCTGAGGTTATGCTCCGGCGGTCAACTCGGACCACAAAGGGATTCCACCGGAGAGGTTTCAGGTCACCAGTGCGTGGGTTGGTTTCGCACAGTGTGATTCTGGGAGTGTGGAAGGGATTCAACAATTGCCTGGGATGGATGCCAGTGGGAGGCAAAAGGCAATGGGAGGTGAGTTGAACTCAAAGAGGTCTGTAAATAGGGGTTCACAGTTTCCCTCAGGATTCGTGACGAGAGGGGGTGTGAATGGTTTCAGAACTCACAGAGTTAAAGAGTTCTGGTGACGTCTCTTTCCTGAGGCGTGGTTAGAAACACTTAAGGGAGGGGTTTGACTCCGTGTGTTTCAGTCTGACTTTCGGACGTGATGCGAAAGGGAGAATGTGTCAGTTCTCGCCAGGTCTGAATTTATGATGTTATTCTTCATGATTAAAAGGCAAGAGTAGATAAGGACTGCCTTGTGTCTGGACTGATTTATTCCACACGTGCTGCACTCTGCTTCTCACCGCTGTGTTTCGCTCTGCTACCGGCAAGAGAGAGAGGCCTGAGGAGGACTTTTGCAGGAAGCACGGATAGCTTGCAGAGTTCCGCAACGGAAGCGTGCCGGGCTCCATGTTCAGTCTCTGTGTACCCTCTTGTCCGGTGTAAATAATTCCAACATGCCCCTCCTTCCTTCTTGGAAAGGGAACAGTTCCTGATCCTCCCAACTGTGCTCCTCTGTCTCTGCAGAATGGCTGCTCCGCATTTGCCCCCCAATGGCCACAGCTGGCCCCATGTGGGAGATGCTGCGCACCTGAGGGACCTTTTCCTCACATGCATCTTTGCAGACTCCCTCCCTGGGACACCCCCAATCTCCCAATGAGCAACTCTCTCTTCTTGCTTCCTCTGCAGAACTGGCTCTTTGTGGCTTCCGACAGCGAAGTGACTCAGATCAGCACCTCCACCTGTGCCACGTACAGGACATGCCAGCAGTGTGTCCTGGCCAGAGACCCAGCCTGTGCTTGGAGCAGGGAGCAGGGGGCCTGCAGGGACCACCACGGGCAGGCTGGGTGAGTGAGGGTGGGGGCTTGGGGGCCCAGCTGCGAAAGCAGCTTCAGGAGCACCTCTGCTTGGAGTTGGGGGAGCCTGGAGGGATAGACTCTGCTGCCAGCCAGTGTTGGGGTTGGGGAGGTCACCACGGACATTATTACTATTAATTATTGAACTTATATACTGCCCTATATTGGGAGGTCTCAGGGCGATTCATAAAATAAAATCAAGATATAAAACCACAAAATACCTAATAAAAATAAAACCAACCCAATAGCCCCCCCCAAACCACATTTTAAAAGGACATCACTGTGCACGGCCAGCGGGCAGCAAGCAGAGCCTTCTCTCAAAGCAGGAGGCTCGTTGGGTGCTGGGCCTCTCGGAAGGCTGCCTCTTTGCCCAGCTGCTTTGCTCAGCAACTGCCCCTTTCCCTCTCCCCTCAGCCTGGTCCAGGATATGACTGCAACCAAGATGCTGGCGCTGTGCCCCACGGAGGAAGGCCTTGCAGGTGCGTCCGACCTTCTCCTGCAGAGAGGAAGTGCCCAGGGAGCTCCCTCTGACAGTCAGCTGTGGGGCGGGAGAGATGACCTGTGGGGGGCTAGTGGGGGAATTGTGAAGCGGGGAAGGAGGTTTCGGTGGGGTGCCGCCTGGGCATCAGCTGCCACAGTATGAAGATTTGGGGGGATGGGCACCTCAGCCTCTGCTCATGGGCTGTCCTGGTGCTTCCACCCCCTCCTCAGTTCCTGCTGCCCTCTGACTCCCTTGCCTGCCTTTTCCCCGACAGAGGCTGTCCCGGTGGTCGAAATCCTGGCCCCCCCGTCTGCCCGCGTGGTCCTGCCTTGCGCCCCAGAGTCTGCCTGGTCCAGCTGCGAGTGGCAGAGGCCTTCCCAAGACACCTCCGCCTACGTCCTGCGCAGGGATGGGCTGGAGTTCACGGCTGCCGCAGCCACGCTGGGCGAGTACACCTGCCGCTGCACAGAGCGTGGGGTGGGTGGGGTGGTGGCTGCCTACAGCCTGGTGCTTGGCGGGCGGGGGGCCAGCAGTGCCCCTCGCTCAGAGGAGCGCAGCTACAGCGTCCTGGTGGGGGTGCTCTGCTTTGTGCTGGGCGTCTTGGTGAGCAGCGGCTGCCTCCTCGTGCACGAGCGGCGGCGGAGGGAGCGCCTCCAGCGGGAGCTGATTTGCCGCGAGCGGAACGGGCTGGACCTGATGCAGTCGACCACCACCAGCTGCAGCCACGAGCCCCAGACGCCCAGCTCCCCCGAGGATGAGCGCCACCCGCTGGCCAACAGCAAGAAGAACGGCAGCCTCAACGGCTACCCCCACCTCTACATCAACGAGCTGGACACGGAGCAGGCCCGCATCTACCTGGCAGGGGTCCCCCTGGCCAAGTGTGACGAAACCTCCATCTAGAAGGGGGCGTCCAGCTCACTCTTGCCGGATGGCTCTCTGGAAGTGGCTGCCCCACTGCAGCCAGGCTGCTGAGATCTCTCTGGGGCCAGGGCAAGTTTGTTTGGGGCCAGCTGGGCTGCTGCTGATGCTCCTGGCAGAAGGCCAGGCTGAGCAACTCCTTCCTATGTTGGGAGACCAGAGGGTCCCTCTGGCTTTCTGGTGGCCAGGGAGAAGCAGGGGGCTGTGAGAGAGGCCGCAGGGCTGGTTTCCAGGGCCTGGAGAAGCCCCTGACTGTGCCTGTGTGATGCGTACTGGAAAGTTCAGCTTGCCTGCCTGCCGCCCTCTCTGCAGAGGCCCTTCTGCCACTCTGCCTGAGCCACTCAGGCTCAGCCATGTTGCCCGAGGGGCCGTGAGCGCCTGGCCCTGGGACCTGCTGTGAAGGACGTGCCAAGTGCCCAGTGAGGGGTGGTGCCTTGGCACATGGAGCCCCCTTGCCAGCTGCAGCGGCAGCACCTGGAATGTTTACTGGGGGGTGACCTGTTCCCCTCACCACCCACCTCCATTTCAATCCCTGCAGCTGCTCTTTGGACAGGAGAAGGCAGGCAGACTGCCCCCCTTTCCTAGCAGATTCGGACTGATAAATGTGAAGGATGCTCCGTGTGGGAGCAAAGGACCTTTTGGAATACCTCCCTCCTGCTCAGTCTCGGAGGGACACAGACTCTGTGGTTCCCCACCTTTTGAATGTGGCCAAATGTGTACCCCCTTTGATCTCATATCCCGGATCTCTGCCTCCCCCCCCCCTTTGATGTCCCACAGGGTTTTTGCTTCCTAAGAAGCTGTACCAGGGACCATCTTTCTGTGAAACGGGTGTTGTGCTCTCCTACTGTTGTATTTTGGTTGTTTTAATTTCTTGGTTTTGTGACTTATTAAAAGGGATGAAACTTAGGAGCCCAGTCTCTCTTGTGCTCGAATCCTGCTTGCTGGTTTCCCACAGGCTGCTGCTCCAGGTGGGCCAGTGGTCTGACCCAGCAGGCCCTGCTTATGTTTTTAGTTCCAACTAGTAGGGGGGGGGGCTGGCCAGTGGGGGGTGGGGGTGGCCTGTGCTAGAAGTACCCCTCCCCCTGCTGGCCTGGCCACAATCCCAAACAAGCCAAGTTGCAGCGGGGAGCCTAGGCTGTGAACCCTCCTGCCTGGCCTTCCACAGCACCCCCTTAACTGCCTGCTCTGCAGCCTTTCAGAGAGCCTTTGTGTCTGTCTCCAAGGCATGTTTCTTCACCTGCTCTGAAGTGCATTTGTGCCCAATTGTTTGAAATTCACCAGAGCTACCTGGTTGGCATAATTGGAAGGGATCCAAAGGATCATCTAGTCCCACCCCCTAAATATACCCAGGTCCTTCAAGCACTCCTTGTAAGGCTTAGTTTCCAGAGCCTTGATCATCTGAAGGAGCGTCTCCACCCCCATCGTTCTACCCGGACACTGAGGTCCAGCACTGAGGGCCTTCTGGCGGTTCCCTCACTGCGAGAAGCCAAGTTACAGGGAACCAGGCAGAGGGCCTTCTCGGTAGTGGCGCCTTCCCTGTGGAACACCCTCCCACCAGATGTCAAAGAGAACAGCAACTACCAGGCTTTTAGAAGACATCTGAAGGCAGCCCTGTTTCGGGAAGCTTTTAATGTTTGATGTATTATAGTATTTTAATATTCTTTTGGAAGCCGCCCAGAGTGGCCGGGGAAGCCCAGCCAGATGGGCGGGGTATAAATAATAAATTATTATTATTATTATTATTATTATTATTATTATTATCTTGGTTGCCCTTCTGTGCACAGGTTCCACATAAAGTGGGACAGTTGGAAGGGGACCCCCAAGGGTCATGTAGGCCAATCTGGAGAACCCCTGCCAGAGGACCGCACCACCTCTGCAGAAGGTGCCTGAATTTTTATGCAGCGATGATTCTGCTGGCCCCGCCTGTTACACAATCAAGCCAGCTTCCGGCTTCGAAGTGGAACTGTGTCTTTTGTGTACCAAGGGTGCGACTCCGGCCTGGTTGTCGTTAGGGGAAAGACTGCAGCCCTTTGCCCCAAAGAACTGCCCCTCCCAGCTGGGCTTGCATCCTCCCTCCCGGAACAGTGGGGGGACTTTTCTCCCCAGTCACGCGGGAGGCGCTGAGCTCTGCTCGCTGCCTCTGCTGTTTCCACGAGGCTCGACCCACTGAGGCTTCCGCGGGGTTGGGCCACATGCCCTCCGGGCCCCTTCCAGCCTCGTACTTCGCAGATGCGGCCCGGCTCCCGCAGCGCCCCCTCGCCGCCCCGGCTCCACCTCCCGGCCAGAAGGAGGCGCAGCTGCGGGGCGGAGGGAGCACCTAAGCACCGCCCCTCCTGCTCGCGTCACGTGACAGCCACTTCCGGCTCCGCCATGACTGCGGCGCCGCCTTTGCTTCCGAATCTTCGCCCTTCGCGGCCTTTTTGCCGCGGCCCCGCTTCTCTTCCTGCTGGTGCAGCCGGGACTCGCCTCCCGCCCCTCGACCTCCCTTTCTCTGGGAGCAAGGAAAACATCAAGGCAGTTTAACCCGGAAGTCAGATGGAGGCGTCTCCTCTTCCGGTTTCTATCTCTGTGGGCCACGGCGCGTCCGCTTCTTTTTCCGGGGCGTGTCTTGGGATCCGGATGCTGAGGCGGGAGCGCCGCGGAGGTGCGTTCCCTCCTCCTCTCTGTGGCAGGAAGGAGGCCCGGGAGGCGCCCGGCGCGAATAAGGAAGAGCGACGGCGTCCCGGGGGCAAGGCGCCTTCTCTCTTGACGAGAAACTCCCAGCCAGTCGCCTTTCGAAGAGGCGGCGCTGCTCCGCAAGGTCGAATCAGCGGCTGCGGCGCTTTCCTCGCCAGCAGCCAATGAGAGGAAATGGAACGCCTCCTGGGGGCGTGGCGGTGGGCGGGGGCGCGTCCGTTGCCAAGGCGACCGCTTGCAGGAGGCGCTCGAGGCGGGCAGGTGAGCCGAAAGGCGGGGATGGTCCCGTGACGTCATCCTCCCTCGCTCTCCCCCTCCCCAACCGAGCGGCTGCCTGCGGAACTCGCGGCCTCGGGACGCGGCGCCGAAGGGCGGGCCAAGCCGCAGAGGGAGCCTCCACGCCCAGCGGCAGTCTGTCTGCGCGGAAGGGGGAGTGAAGCGCAGCAGGCGGGACTCGGCTCTCCGTCCCCGTCTGATCCTGCAAGAGCCTGGCTGGGGAGCGGACCGGACCCCTTGGGAGGGGCTGGGGGAGCGCGTGACCCCCCATGGCTCCCCCCGCCAGGCCCCTTGGCCCCTGCGGCCGTGGGGTAGGGGGTGTTTCCCGCTGCCCCCTGCCTCTGACCTCGAGCGCCCTCTTCCGCTCCCTCTCCCCGCAGGGATCTCCCGGGGCTCATGGCCCACCGGCGCCTGGCGGAGGCGCTGCGGGTCTCGCGGGACTTGGTGGTGAGCGGGTGCGGCACGGCCGGGGTGTGGCCGGTCGAAGGGGACTCCTGCTGCCCCAGCAGCCTGGCCTGCCTGCGGCAAGTGCCCCTTGGCAAGGATGCACATGGAATCTACAGCCTCTGCTTTGCCCCGGGTGGGGGGCAGCTGGCAGCCGGCTTTGGCAACGGCTCTGTGCAGGTGAGCGGGGACGGGGCAGCTCCCAAGTGGGTCCTGCAGACCTTGGCCAAAGGGCTTGCAGGGTGGAAGATGCGGAAGGGGTTGGCTTGAGGGGCCCTTGCTGGCGGATTGAGGGTGAGGGGACCTCTGGGTGCCCCAAGGGGGCAATTGAGCCGCCCTGGGCTCTCCCCGCCTTAGCCCAGTGGGTGGAGAGACAGCCGAAACTCCTGCCCCCCTCTCTGCATGGGGCCCCATCTATCCTGCCCTCCTCTCCTTCCCCCAGCTGGTGGATGCCTCCAGGGGCTTGCCCGGCCCCTCCTTGTTCCCGGGGCACCGCACACGGCAAGCGGTCACTGCTCTGAAGTTCCACCGGGCAAAGCCAGGCCTGTTGCTGGCTGCTGGGGCGGATGGCACCATCTCCATCTATGACCTGCTCTCACACTACCCTCTGGCTTCCTGGACAGGTATGGTGGGGTGGGGTGGGGAGGGAGTCCAGCCCTCAGGCACTGGGCCTAGGCTGGGGGACCCCTGCTGCTGCCCTGGACCTCCTCTCTCCTTCTGCTCCCCAGAGACGGAGAACGAGATCAACGCCATGGACTTCTGCCGGGACGGAAGCTCCTTTGCCACAGCAGGCAAAGATCGCCATATCCGACTCTATGACAGCCACACCAACCAGGTGAGCCTGCAGTGCTGGTGGGCTGAGATCTGGAGATCTGCACCCTCTGGGTCCGTGGGATGCTCTTCGTCCGCCTGCCTCTAACGCTTCTCTCCCACTCTGCAGCTCTTTCACATCATGCATGCCCCAGATTTCATGGCCGGGGATGAGTTCACACCCCTCAGCGGACACTCGCGGCGGATCTTTGCCTTGCGCTTCCACCCCACAGAGCTGCATCTCTTTCTGACGGGTGGCTGGGATAATTCTGTCAAGGTCAGTCCTCGGGAAGGCAATCTGTGCGCACGGGCACTTCCTGACCTTCTCTTGCTGCTTTTCTGCACCTGTGGGGCAGTGGGGACCGGCCTCTGCCTCCTGCATACAGGGGATACACAGTTCACCCTTTTGCTCTTCCCTGTGCCAGGTGTGGGACAAGCGGGTGTCCAAAGGTGCAAGGAGTGTGATCAACGGGCCTCACATCTGTGGCCCCGGGATTGATGTGAAGGTGAGGAGCTGGAGGGAGGGGAGCTGGGTTTCCGCCTCTGCGGCACAGCGGTTCAGAAGAGCCTCACTGGCTCATCACTTTTATCTAGTGGGGTTCTTATGGTCTAGATTTTTATTTATTTATTTATTTATTTATTGGACTTTTTGTCCAGGTTTCTCTCTCAAAAAAGCCCCGGGTGGCAGAACAGAAAAACTACAACAGAAAAACTTTAAAATATGTTTAAACAATCACACACTTTCACTGCTAAATAATATTAAGGTTGCCAGAAATGATGGAATTCAGGCATCAAGCGTCTGGGTGAACTGAGATGCTTTAACATCCTGCCTAAATGTCCATAAGGAGGAAAACAGGTGCACCTCCCCAAGGATGGGGGCATTTCACAAGCAGGAAGCCGCTCTGGAGATGGGCGTATGGAGGGTCGGCACCAGTCGGGTACCCCCCCGCCCCCCGCCTGCAGTCCCACCATCAGGACCTCCTCCTGCCAAGTGCAAGGTCTGAGGTGGTCCCTCTTGGAAGGGGGCATCCCTGGGGTCCTTCGACCCCAAGCCACTTAGGTTTTTGCATGGTAGTTCTTGGTGCTTTTAGGATTGGTGACCAAGGGCTCCATTCGTTGAGCTGGTGGCCCCCTTCTGCACTCCGTGCAGCTTCCACACACCTTCAAGGGTGGCCCCACATGGAGCATATTGCAGTAGTCCAAGCGGGAGTTCCCTGCAACTATTGCAGTTGAGGAAAAGCTGTGGCTGGCGGAGTCTTAGCCAGGTGCAAGCACTCCCATGATTAACTTTATTAACATGTGTCAGGGGTTCAGGAGCAGAGGCAAGGGCAAGGGAGGAAACAGAGAGCGAGGGGGAGGAGGCAGAAGAAAAGATGAGTGATGACGACGACCCGAGATCTCCGAGTCTTTCCAGTGAATCAGAAGATTCACAGAAAGGAGCACCAGTGGCCAGGGCAAGGGGGAGCCTAGGGGACGCCCCAGGAAGATAGAGCCAGAGGGGACTCAGAGGGGAGCAGTTGGAAATCGGGACCAGCGTCACCGCCAGAGAGCAGGGAAGAGGAAGGGAGCCAGGGATCAAGCGCTGGCAGCTCACAACAGGGGGGAGGGCACGAGTCAGGAGTGGCCACACCTCCATCGGGGAGCGAAGAAACGGTCAGACGGAAGGTGGAAGGTTGGGCGCGCGCGCCAAGTTCAAATGCACAGGAAGGTGGCACAGTAGGCAGCCCGGAAAGGGAGCCAGGTCCCAAAGCCCGCCGAAAGGAGGGAGAAGAGTCAGGGGGGTCAGCGTCAGAGGAATCCCGGAAAGAAGAGACCCCAGGGGGCAGAGGGACCCAGAGAAGAACAGTCAGGCGGAAAAGGTGGAGCAGGGCTAGGATATTAAGTTGGTGTACAAGGGGCGGAGACTCAGACGGAGCTTCGCCGGTCTAACCATGAGACGTAGAGTTGCACGCAGCAGTTTGAGAATGGAAACTGTAACTCAATAAAGACTTTTGTTTAATGATCGCTGGCTAGCGTGATCCTCTGTGAGCTAGGATCTGGAAGCAGCTCTGACAGTAAGCTCCGTCTCTTTAAATTGTGGGCATCTACAGCCTCGCGGAGAGGAGAGAAAGCGGGTGCCTACTAGCGAGCTCACGAAAGGCAGACAATATGACGGCCGAACAGCAGATAGCGGAACTCAGAGAAGCAGTGTCACGACTGAATGCCGAGGCTCTCGCATCCAGGAAGAGAGAGGAGGACGCAGCTGCCGCCTACAGGGATCTCCAGGTCAGGTTGGAAGTGCTTACGAAGCAAGGGCAACTGACACCCAAACCGGAGGGGATTGGGTTGGGGAGACGAACAGGCGGTCTGGTCTCTCACTTCGATGGGAATTTGCAACAGTACCCCAACTTTAGAGCAGATGTAATGTGTGCACTGCAACTGCTGGACAAAGACTTTAGAGATGAGCAAGAGAAGGTGGGATTCATCATGTCCCATTTGCATGGAGATGCTAAAGCATGGCTGCGCAATTTGTGGAGAGATAAGGATCCGGCGCTCCAAAATGCGGATGCCTTTATTAAAGCGATGGATGGGTGCTTTTATCAAGCATTGACGTGGATCTTGCTCGGCAGCAGATACATGGACTGAAGCAAGGGAGGGCCAGCGTAAGGCAGTACCATGCCCGCTTTTCGCTTTGGTCAGTGCTCTGGAATGGGACAGAGATTCGGCTCCTGTAAGAGACCTGTTTTGGGAGGGATTGCACGGCTCGGTTAAAGATGAAATTGCGAGGGGAGAGACCCCGGACCACGCAGGAGATCGTTCAGAGGGCGCTGGCGGTGGGGGTGCGGCTGGAAGAACGTCCGTGGAGCAGGGACGAAGGGCGTGGAGGGCGCGAACCAGCCAGGGGCTCCTCCTTCCTTCCCAGAGAAGCAGCGCGTGCGCAATCCACGCCTCCGCCAGGAGGAGGAGCGGAACCTATGGAGGTTGGAGGTGCAAGGGCTCAGTCAGCAGCCAGAGCCCTAGCACCGGCAGCAGTGAAAGCGAAGCCTCCTAGAGGGAACAGGAAGTGTTACATCTGCGATGCTCCACAGCATATGGCGAAAGAGTGTCCCCAGAGGCTCCACAAGCACACTGCAGCTTCAGCAATGGTAACTGCAGCAACGCAGCAAGGAGAACCACAGCAGGGAAACGACGGAGTCTGGTTGGAGGAAGAGGCACTGGGGCCCAACCAGACGTGTCAGTGAAGCAGTCCCCAGAGATTTTACAGCCCATGGACCCCTCCCGCCCAAACCAGTAGTGAGGCTCACCGCGTCGCTCCAACTGCCCAATGGAATCACCATGGACGTGCCAATCACCATTGACTCCGGAAGCAATGCGGACTTTATAGGGCAGGACTTTGTCGACCGGCACGCTATACAGTTGCTGCCTGCCACGCTGCCCCTGCAGGTTGTCACGGTGGATGGCAGGGAGCTGCTAGGGGGGCAAGTGGTGAAGCAGACGCCACCAATGGTGATGCGGCTTGGGAATCACAGGGAAATCATCAGCTTCAATGTCACTCAACTATCGGACACGCCCATTGTATTGGGCATGAGTTGGCTGGACAAGCACAGCCCGACGCTGGCTTGGTACCAGAGGCAGCTGACCTTCGGCTCTTCCTTTTGCGCTGAACACTGCATCGTGCCCCGGCAGGAAGGAGAGGAAGAGGAGTCACAGCTGCAGCTGGGCACGCTGCAAGCGGTTCCCCACAAGTACGCAGAATTTTTGGAGGTTTTCTGCGAGAAGGAGGCAGACAGGCTACCCCCACACAGACCATATGACTGCAAAATTGACCTGCTGCCGGGGGCGGCGCTGCCCAAAGGGAAGCTGTATTCCATGTCTGAGGATCGAACTGCAGGAACTCAAAGAGTTCATAGATCATAATTTGGAGCGCGGTTTCATCCGAGAGTCCAAGGCAGCGGGGGGGCAGTCCGGTATTCTTTGTTAAGAAGCGGGACACGCCTCAGAAAAGACTTGTAGTGGACTATCGCATTTTGAACAGCGTGACCAAGCCATCGGACTTCCCCATGCCCCGAATCGACGACCTCCTCGCAAAGGTACGGAAGGGCAGCGTCTTCACTAAGTTGGACCTGCGAGGGGCGTACAACCTCATTCGCATGCGGGAAGGAGATGAGTGGAAGACAGCCATGTTCACGCCCTTGGGCACCTACGAATATAGAGTTATGCCTTTTGGATTGCAAAATGGTTCCCACGTTTTCAAGCTTTCATGCATCACGTGTTGGCGGGGCTCCTCTACAAGACGTGCGTCTGTTTCTTGGATGACATCCTGATCTTTTCGGAATCGCAGCAGGAGCATGACAGACACGTCAAGGAAGTGCTGAGCAGGCTACAGCAACATAGGCTTTACGCCAAGCTGGAGAAGTGCCAATTCGACGTGACGGAGGTGGATTTCCTGGGCTACAAGTTGTCTGATAAAGGGCTCGCCATGGACAGCGCCAAGGTCCGAGCAGTGTTGGATTGGAAAAGCCCACGCAACCGGAAGGAGGTCCAACGGTTTGTCGGCTTTGCGAACTTCTATCGCAAGTTTATCAAAGGCTTTGCCATGCAGACAGCGGCCATCACGGACACGCTCAGCTCCAAGAAAAAGAAGTTCATCTGGACAGAGCAGGCGGAGCAGTCCTTTCAGGCACTCAAGCGTCTCTTCGCGTCGGAAGGGCAACTGCTTCATGTCAACCCCAGCAAGCCGATGAGGGTGGAGACAGACGCTCGGACAGAGCCGTGGGAGCAGTCCTGCTGCAGAAGGACCCGCAGGGGGTTTGGAGGCCGGGAGCGTTTTACTCAAGGAAGCTCAGCAAGTCCGAACAGAACTACACCATCTGGGACAGGGAGTTGCTGGCCATTCATGCAGCGTTCAAAGCGTGGAGGCACTTCCTGATCGGCGCCAAGCACACGGTGCAGGTCTGCACGGACCACAAGAATCTAGAGCACTGGCGCACGGCACAGTTCCTGAACCAGAGGCAGATACGTTGGGCTGAGTTCTTTGCGAATTTCGACTTCCGAATAGAGTATGTCCCGGGGACACCAACATCATGGCGGATGCTCTCTCCCGTAAGCCGCAGTATCTGGAGGAGGCAACGCCAGCGGCCGCCATGCACATCTTCGCACCGACAGTGTGGGCGTGCACGGCGGCAACAGTTGACCTGGAGGCGGTGCGACGAGCGTTGCAGGATGACTCCTTCGCGCAAGCAAAGATGGCAGAGGCGCACAGGGGCACGGCAGCGACCGACGAGTTCCAGCTGCGAGATGGTTTGCTCATCCGTAAAGGGGCCATCTACGTGCCGGGAGACGAACTTCGCGCCAAGGTACTGCAGCAGCTGCACGACGCGCCCACTGCCGGGCACTTTGGCAAGGAGAAGACGGTGGAATTAGTAGCCAGAGACTTCTGGTGGCCAGGAATGAGAGGGGAAGTCGCGGACTACGTGGCGAGGTGTGACACCTGCCAGAGGGCCAAACCAGTGCACAGACCGCCGGCCGGATTGCTGGAACCGCTGCAAACTCCGTTCGAACCATGGGAGAGAGTGGCCCTGGACTTTGTCACGGATCTGCCCAGCTCGAGGGGCAAGACGGCTGTGCTGGTGGTGGTGGACTTGTTCTCCAAGATGGCACATTTCATTCCGTGTGCGAAGGTGGCCACGGCGGAACAAACCGCCAAACTGTTCATAGACCACGTGTTCAAGGTTCACGGTCTGCCGCGGTCTATTCTGTCCGACCGAGGGCGACAGTTCATCTCGAACTTCTGGCAGAGGCTGATGGGCTTCCTGAACGTCAAGATCAACCTGGCGTCGGCTAGACACCCGCAGACCAATGGGCAAGCGGAGCGGGTCAATGCCATCATGCAGCAGTACCTGAGATGTTATGCGAATCAACAGCCTGCGACGTGGGTGGATTACCTGCCTCTCGCCGAGTTCGCCTACAACAACACGAAGCACGTGTCCACGGGGGTCACGCCGTTCTTCGCCAACAACGGGAGGCACCCCAGAACCTTCCCGGGACTGGAAAGAATGGGGGAGGGGAGCCGCAGACAGCAGATGCATTCGCGTCGGAGTTGCAGGAGGTCCACGATCAGCTGCGGCGGCACCTGGAGCTGGCTAAACACGCATACAAGGTACAAGCGGACAAACACAGAAGGGTTGGCGAAGAGATCCATGTGGGAGACTGGGTCTGGTTAGCAGCCCACGCAGTGCCGGCCAGGTCGTTGGCGAAGAAGAAACTAGGGCATAAACAACTGGGGCCCTACCAAGTCGAAGAACGGGTCAACCCGGTGGCTTTCAGGCTGGCTCTTCCGGAGGGTTCCAGAATGCATCCGGTGTTCCACAGATCGGTGCTCACTCCATACAAGGCACCTCACAGGTTTCAGGAACCAGGAACGGCACCGGGTCCGCTCCGAGAGAGAACCGGGCAGGGGGGAGTGGCACGGGAGGAGCGCATCAACGAAGTCACGGAGATTTTGGACTCCAGATGGGGGAAGAGGGGGTAGAATACCTTCTCGCCAAGGAGGGCACCCCGGCCAGTGCCAACAGCTGGGTGCCGGGCTACGCTTTAGACGAACCTCTGCTCAAAGAAGAGTTTCATGCCCTCTTCCCACATAGGCCAATGCCAGCAGACTTTTTCGACGACTGGCTTTTCACGCCCACACTTTCAGCCAGAACGATCCGGTGGAACGACTCGGACGAGGAACCGACACGAGACGCCCGTTCCCCGGAGGGGTCACCCTCGGGATCTGCTTCAGAACCCTCGTATTGGTGGGATGATCGACCAGAGGAGCAGTTCCGCAGAAGGTGGCTGGAGGGTCCAGGACGAGCAACGTCTCCAGAAGGTAACGAGGGAGAGACGGACATGGACGTTTTCAGGGACGACCCGGGTTTCGAGCACGGCGGCACAGAGATGGAAGCGGAGGTGACCGTCGTCAACGAGAGCAGGGAGGAAGAACCGGAAGACTTCAGATGGCGGCCCGCCACGGGAAGCGAACTGTATCCGACATTCGTCCCCTGACACGGCAGCACCCAGATCCCGCACCGGAAGGAGGGGAGGGGGAAGAGGGGGCTTCGAGGGGGATGGATGTCAGGGGTTCAGGAGCAGAGGCAAGGGCAAGGGAGGAAACAGAGAGCGAGGGGAGGAGGCAGAAGAAAAGATGAGTGATGACGACGACCCGAGATCTCCGAGTCTTTCCAGTGAATCAGAAGATTCACAGAAAGGAGCACCAGTGGCCAGGGCAAGGGGGGAGCCTAGGGGGACGCCCCAGGAAGATAGAGCCAGAGGGGACTCAGAGGGGAGCAGTTGGAAATCGGGACCAGCGTCACCGCCAGAGAGCAGGGAAGAGGAAGGGAGCCAGGGATCAAGCGCTGGCAGCTCACAACAGGGGAGGGCACGAGTCAGGAGTGGCCACACCTCCATCGGGGAGCGAAGACACGGTCAGACGGAAGGTGGAAGGGTGGGCGCGCGCGCGAAGTTCAAATGCACAGGAAGGTGGCACAGTAGGCAGCCCGGAAAGGGAGCCAGGTCCCAAAGCCCGCCGAAAGGAGGGAGAAGAGTCAGGGGGGTCAGCGTCAGCGTCAGAGGAATCCCGGAAAGAAGAGACCCCAGGGGGCAGAGGGACCCAGAGAAGAACAGTCAGGCGGAAAAGGTGGAGCAGGGCTAGGATATTAAGTTGGTGTACAAGGGGCGGAGACTCAGACGGAGCTTCGCCGGTCTAACCATGAGACGTAGAGTTGCACGCAGCAGTTTGAGAATGGAAACTGTAACTCAATAAAGACTTTTGTTTAATGATCGCTGGCTAGCGTGATCCTCTGTGAGCTAGGATCTGGAAGCAGCTCTGACAACATGTATTTATATAGCACCATCAATGCACATGGCTTTGCACATTTAAAACAAGAAATTGAACCCTCCAGAGTGCAATCTAAGAACTGCAGTCTAAGAATTGCGAGAAGGGCTGCTCAGCGACTGATCTCCTCATGTTGCTATCTCTGGCGGAGGAGGGTTTCCTGCTTGTGGGTTTCCCTGTGGGGCATTTGGCTGGCCGCTGCCAGAAGAGGAACTAGCGGGCTCACTGGCCTGACGGACCATGCTCTGCTTCTGCTCTTAGTCCCACCGAGAGGGAGGAGGGATGGCAGGGACGGGGGAGGGGGCAGCCTGTGCCGTTGGCCACTGTGAGAAAGGGGTGCTGGGCTTGCTGGGCCCCTTTTGGCCTGATCCGACAAGGCTAATGCCTTGGGGGTGTGCCTGCACATGCTTTTGAGCCAGGAAGCCCGGGAGGGAGACTCAGCGGAGTTGACTTGTGCCCTTCTCTCTTCCTCACGTAGGGAGACCAGGTCCTGACTGGCTCATGGGTACCCCGCAATGCCCTCCAGCTCTGGGACCTGCGCCTGTCTCGCCTGTGGCAAACCCTGCCCTTCCCCTGCAGCCCCACGCAGGGCGAGTTCCTCTACTCGGCCCAGTTTTGCATGGGGGACGTGGTGCTGGCTGGCGGCAGCGGGACCAGTGGGGCAAGCGCCATCCACACGGGCACTGGCCAGGTAAGAGGACCAGCAGCTCAGGATCCTGCGCCTGCTGAGTCACGTTGCCTCCTCTGCTGGCAGCCCCACTCCCAGGGCTGAAAATGGAGATGGGGGGTGAGGGGTGGGGTCCACCTGCATCCTTCCCCACACAAGGCACACGCCCTGAACCGTCGTTTCTCTCCTGGGCTGCTTCTGCCCCTGCTGGAGCGCCCCCTGTTGGAGGGGGCCTGCCTGCCTCCTGCCAGGCTCCTTGCTGACCCCCCTCTTCTTCTCTCCCTCTTCCTGGCAGGTGGTCGGGGAGATTCTGCTGCCCAACAAGCCCGTCCATGTGGTGGCCTCTGCCCCCGGAAGCCAGGCTGTGGCTGTGGCTGGGGCAGGGGCAACCTTCACTTGGCAGAGCTGCACTGAGCCCTGGAAGGAAGAGGCAGAGCATCCTGCAGATGCCCAGCCCTGGAGTTCAGGGGCAGGGAAGCCGTCAGCCCCACGCTGCCACTTGCCACAGGGGTAATGTGGGTGGGTGCCACCCCCTTTCCCCTCCTTGCCCTGCCCAGGCCCCCTGCCCTCCCTACCTCAGTTTCCCTTGTTTGTTCTGCCTGAGGAGGGGGCTCCGCCTGGACCAGGGGATGCCTGGAGCAGAGGCTCTTCCCTCCTTCGGATCTGTGCAATAAAAGCTTCTTGCATCTGGAGAAGCGGCTGGCAGGATTTGTTTCATGGGTGGGTCAAGTGGACGGGACCCACAGCAAGGCTGGAGCAGGAGTCTGGGTGGGGTTGGCTAGCTGCAGGTTGGCTCAGCTTTTTGAGGACCCTGAAGCGCACGTGGGGAAGTATGTACGGCAGAATCCTGGCAAGACTTGAAACCCCCCTGCTCAAACCACCACCAGTTCATTTGTCGTAGAGCCAGCTGCTTTGACCAGCGCCTGGAAGCGGCTACTGCCTCTGCACTTCTGACTTCACAAGGCCTTGTTTTGTGGCGGATGAAAAAACTCCTGAGTCTGCCATCTTTCTGTCCCTGGCTCTGCAGTGGCCCAGCAGCCCTTCTGACAGGGCTCCGTGAGCCCCCATAGCCCAGGGAAGACAGCCACATGATGCTGCCTCTCAGGTCAGAGGCATCTGGGGGGGCTGTGCAGGCAGGGGCGGCTCCATCAGGCAGTGGGGTGATGGGCGGTGCGCCTGCCGGCATCTAGTTAGTGGCAAAACCGCCTTTCTGCTTGCTAAGTCTCTTTGGAGTCGGGGGGGCAGGGGTCCCTCTCCCACCAACCACAAAGCTCCCTGGATATGTCCTCCTGGCACCACCTTTTGGGCAGTGCCCCCCCCCCAACCCAGAAGGCAAACACCTATGCAAAGGGATTTGGATGGGTGTTCATTTCCTGGGCTTTTTTGGGGGGGTGTCCCCAGTTGGGCATTCCAGCAAAGCGGGAATGCACCTTTTCCTGCTTCCAAAAGGGGGAGGCAGTGGCAGCTCCCCTAGCCCAGCTGGTTTGGACGCTTCCCCATTGTTGGAGCCATTGAAACATTATGGGGTGGTGGCTCTGCTGTCAGGAGCAGGGTCTGGGACTCCAAGGCAGGAGGTGAGCTGCTGGGGAGGGTCTTTGAGTTCCAGCTAGGAAGGAGGGGGGGCAGAGGAGGGGGTCCCTTGGCGCTGCTGTGGCCAGGCTTTCCGGGTGCCCCTCAGGCAGGGTCTCCCGCAAATGGTTCTGGGGAAGCAATCCTGGCCAGGCTCCCTGCCCTGTGGTGGAGAATGGCCGCTGCCCAGCCAGATTCGTGCATATTGATTTATTTTTAACATTTAGATCTTGCCTCACAGTCCCAGGGAACCCTCAACGCAACTCACAGAGCAACTTCAAACTCGGGTCCTGCCAGGCCACCAAACTGTTCCTTGCCCTGTGTGCCAGTCAGACGCCGTCCAGTATTGGGGGGGGGACTTCAGGGCAGGCCACTCTTGTGGGTGGGGGCTGGCATTGGCACTGTGAGTTCTACACAGCAGCTGGGTCCCCCAAAGCCTCTTCCCTCTCCTACTGCTCTTAGATCCGGCGCTGCAGCTGGGCCTGGCAGCCTTCCTGGTGCCAAAGGCTGCCCACTTCTGGACTACTGCTGAAGTCTAGGCCAGTGCTTTGGCTGGGCCTGCCCTCCTCAGTCCTTGCCCACAATCCTTCACGCCTGCAATGTCCATGTGGAGTCGTCTCTTAAGAATTCCCTGCCAGATTTGTTTTCAGAGGCTCATACCTTTTGCGATTCGGGAGGGTCTCTGGGAAGCAGTGCAGGGAGAGGGATGCCCGCATCCTGCCCACTGCACCCAGGAGGCTCCCCCCCCAAGCTGTGAATGCAGCAGCCCTCTGTGGTGGTGCTTTCGTGCGGGAGGTTGCTGGTGCCACTGGGAAGGAGACCTGCGTTCCAGAGGAGTAGGAGGCAGCTCTGCCACAGCAGCTTGATCCATGAGGGCTCAGTGCAGAATTGGCAAAGCCCTGTTCTGCTCCAAAGGCGTTTCCCAAGTATGGAAGATGTAGGTCCATGGTAAGAAGTCCCACTTCTCTGCCCTTTGAGCCTTCTCTGACTGGCGTAAGGGAAGGGGCTCCTTTCAGAGCCTGGCCCGGCCGGTCACCCAGCTGGTACGTGAGGGTGCTGGGTGGGCGCCTACAGTCCAAGAGGGTCCATGAAGTCACAATAGACCAAGGGCAGTGGCAGGAGCCTGGCCTTGACTCCGGCGCATCATGGAGCAGCCCTGCTGTCACCTGCGGACGGCAGCAGCCAGGGCCCTTGGGGGGGTCCTTGGTGCACAAGGTGGGGGGCCCCCCCTCTGCAGCAGGTGCCTCCAAGCACAGCATTTGCAAGCAGCCTGAAAAAGGCAGAGAGATGTCAGGACCTGGGCTGCGTACTACTACAACAACTTTATTATTTTTACCCTGCCACTCCCCCACCCCCCATGGTGCTGAAAGAGGGCTGGTGTGTGCATGCACTGGGGCTGCATCAAGGGATGGGAGTTTCGGACCAAGTGCTTTGGCCATATGGTCGACACCCCGGCTTGGGACGCTGGGAAAAGCTTGTGCCTTTTTCTCCTGCCTGAGGCCCTTGACTGTCATGCACTGGCTGGACACCCTCCATCAGTTGCAAACCTAAAGGTTAAACATGGGCTCCAGTCTGTTCAGAGGGGCTGAGGCTGAAGGGGGAAGCAGGTGGGCAATGAATATCAGTCATTTTTGTTTCAGTCAGCTGCTGCAACTGGAAATATTCTGCATTCCCCATTTCTAAATAGAAGAGCCTTCTGCTAATTTCTTTGGCTAGACTCCTTGGCAGAAGGAGGGAAGGTGGGCTGGCTCTGCTCAGATGCTGGTTTTAACCTTTAAAGCCCTATACGGCCTAGGACCCTTGTACCAATGGGACCGCCTCTCCTGGTATGTCCCATGGAGGACCTTACGGTCTTCAAACAAAAACATCTTGGAGGTCCCGGGCCACAGGGAGGTTAGGCTAGCCTCAACCAGAGACAGGGCCTTTTCGGCCGTGGCCCCAATCTGGTGGAACGCTCTGTCACAAGAGACTAGGGCCCTGCGGGATTTGACATCTTTCCGTAGGGCCTGCAAGACAGAGCTGTTCCACCAGGCCTTTGGCCAGGACACACCTGACCCCCTCCTTTGGCAATCCTCACAGAACTCTAGCCCAATGGTTGCCATTAATCTGATTTGAATTGATTTTATAATGAAATGATTTTAGAATGTTGTATCATTTTTACTGTTGTTAGCCGCTCTGAGCCCGGCTTCGGCTGGGGAGGGTGGGATATAAATAAATTATTATTATTATTATTATTATTATTATTATTATTATTATTATTCTGCTCTGACATGGCATGGCTCCTTTGGGTGCTCTTTGCCCACAGGTGCCCCAATGTCATCAGTCCAGGGAAGGCCCAGCACACTTGGCCTAGAGAATGTCCTAAAGCGATACCTTTATGGTCGACCGTCCACCTGGCTCAGGTGGGCACCTGCATGCTGAGGGCTCTGCTTCCTCCCACCACTGGTGGTCCTTCTGGAAGGAGTGGAGATCCCAGCCGGGGCTTCAGCTGAATGCCTTCGGTCTCCTCGGCTGGACTCGGTGGGCTGCTTCCCTGTAATGGGGCAAAGTGGGCAGCATTGGCATGAAGAGCCCCCTTGACCAGCCTGTGTTCTGGGAGAAGGAGTAAGGAAGACTGGAACCCAAAGCAAGCAAGGGCCACTTGAACACTGTCCTCTGGCCCTCCCAGCCCTGGAGGCTGAGGCATGTCTGAGCCAGCCCCCAACCCCCCCCCCAGCAATACCTCGCTGGGTGATGCTGCGCTTGGCTCTCCTGGGACTTTCCAAGCCCAGAAATGCAGTCCCTTCCAGCAGTGGGGGGCGTGGCGTTGGCGATTCTGGTGGCAGCAACATTGGGCTGGGCGCTCTGCTGTCACACTCGCTGAGCAGTTTCCCTTTGGGGTGTGAGAGTGAGAGAGACCCAAGGGGTTAACCTCAGCCTGCCCACTTCCCAGCACTTCTAGCCACACAGCAGCTCAGCTTTCCCCCAGCCAGGCAGCCACTCCCACATTGCCTCATTAGGGAGACCCCCCCCCCCAGGTGATGGTGAGCAGAGCAGGACTTGGGTCTGGGCCCAATCCACCTACTCCGCAGAAGCCTCTTGCCCTCTTGAAAACCTGGTGGTCACGGGCACAAGATGTTGGCCATAATATTATGTTTGCTGACTGGGAACAGTTGTGGACCACAGGTATGAAATTTACGGCATGTAATGCCTTAAGAGAAAATATTATGAAAATGATATACAGGTGGTACATAACCCCAGTCAAGCTTGCAAAAATCTATCATGTACCTGATAATAAATGTTGGAAATGTAAAGAAACTGAAGGTACATTTTTTCACCTTTGGTGGACGTGTCCAAAGATTAAGGCTTTCTGGGAGATGATATATAATGAACTAAAAAAGGTATTTAAATATACCTTCCCTAAGAAACCAGAGGCCTTTCTCCTGGGCATGGTCGGCCAATCGGTGTTAAAAAAGGACAGAACTTTCTTTATGTATGCTACAACAGCAGCAAGAATACTCACTGCAAAGCATTGGAAGACACAAGATTTACCCACACTGGAGGAATGGCAGATGAAATTAATGGACTATATGGAATTGGCAGAAATGACTGGCAGAATCCGTGACCAGGGAGAAGAGTCGGTGGAAGAAGATTGGAAGAAATTTAAAGACTATTTACAGAAATATTGTAAAATTAATGAATGTTAGAATGATGTTGGATTGAAGTTAAGTGGTTTCTAGCTGTATAGGTACAAAAGAATATGGAAAAATTGGTTTTTAATATGTAAAAATCTAACGTTACAATATATCAAGACTAAGGATTAGGATTAAAAAGGAGGGAAAGGAATTGTTGGATTAACAAATTGAATTGGAATACAAAAGAGGGAGGTATGAGGAGGTCCGGGAAATAAGTAAACGTAAAAGAAGTGAGGAAAAGATGGAATTGCTTTTAACTGTTTTTTCTTTTTTTTCTACTTTGTATTTTTCCTTTTTATTGTTAATTTTTTTTATTAATGTGATTTTTTTTCCCCCTTTGAAACTTTAATATTATTTTTAAAAAAACGAAAAAAAAACACCTGGTGGTCACTATCCTGCAAAGAAGCAACCAGGGCTGTTACAAAGGGAGGAGGGGTGAGTCTGGGTTCTTTCTAGGCCTGTGACTGTGCCAAGGAGGGATGGAATCCCGCAGAAGAGGTTGCTGAACCTGAGCTGGCTGTGTCTCACCTGCAGAGCTGCCCTTGGTCTCTGGAGTGCTCTTCTCTCCAGCACCTGACAGCCTGGAGGGGAGGAAGGGTAGATGGCACTTCAGTCTTTGCTTCTCCAGGCACCTTTCCCATCCTCTGGCTTCTTGCGGACGGCTGGTCCTGTGGCCCTGGTCAGCCTCGCTCCTCCCTGCCCCTCTCCTCCCTCCACTGGCCTTGTGTCCCTGGCCTTGCACCCATTCATCTGCCCCCCTTGCTCCCTTGCACAGGCACCCCCACTACACATCCTGCTCATCCCTTGGCACCACTAACGTCTCCACTTTCCCCCAAACACTCCCCATTCTGTTGGCCAAGGTGTCTTTGAGGGCACCCACCCACCCGCCTGCCTCACAGCTCACCTCCGCTTCACTGACAGCTTCTGCAAAACCACCCGGTACGTTTTTGCAAAGTGCACCATGATGGGATCTGGGCTGGACTCAAACTCCTGGAAAACTAGAGCAAAGCAGGTGTGCTGGTCACAAGGCGGTTCCAACAAGGCCTGGCTGCCACCAATCACGGTGATGTTGCTCACCCTGGCTAGGATTGCAGTCCTATAGAAACCCATGGAGAAGGTCAGCCTCACAAAGCCCTCGCTCTGGACACAGTCCTGGGAGCAGGAGCAGCACCAGCCACCGGAGAACTCCTTCCACAACCCTCACGGTGGCCTCTGGGTTGCACAGGGAGGCAGAGGCTGCTTGATCCTCCACTGCCTCCCTCCAGTGGAGCTTTCACAGCGGATCCATGGGGCTAGGCATTGAGGGGCCCATCCTGACTCTCAGCTGCTACTGAGGTGGCCAGAGGGACTCGGGTTCTGTGGTTGCCCCGTCTGGCTCTTTGGGGCAGGAGGCAGAGTCCTGGCCGTCTAACCCCAAACCAGCTACAGGGGCTTTCCTTCCCTGGAGATGGAGACGGGGTGGGGGGCATCAGATGCTGCTGCCCTGCAGCCCCACCATCCTCTGGCCCAGAGGATGGGAGCTGTGAGCCCAACAACGTCTAAGGCATTTCTAAGTCGTTTGACTTTTAAAAGTCCCTCAATCACATGAAAAAATACAAGATAAAGATAATAAAGCAGAAACACAACGTCATACCAACCAGTGAAACATGACTATAAAAGCAGAGAGAAGCTGGACTGCAGGAACAACAGGGTCAAATCTGACGGGTCAGGGAGAGGCGGGACACACAAGAAAGAGGCCTCCGCAAGACGCCTGAAGCGATGGGTTGTTTCATGCCTGGTGGAGGGGGCGGGCATTGCCTCTGTAGCTCTGGGCCTGCACCAGAAGGTCTTCCTCCCCAAAGTGCGCAAAGCGGAAGGGCACCCCTCCCCCCTTACCTTTGTTCAGGTAGACAATGTCCTCCTGCTCAAGGTTTTTTGAAAGCTCAGAGCTGTAGTAGTTGAGAGTGTGACCTACACAAAGAGGAACACGAGGCAGTTTGGGCTGCTTCCCCAAGGACTGCTCAAGACTCTGCTGGTTTGCAAGCGGAGAGATCTACAAGCCCAAACCCGCACCCAAGTCTGAAGGCACCATTTCAAATGCAAAGGCTTATTCATCCTTGTGCGTCTCATTCACAGATTAAGGCAATAAACATTGGGAAAGGGGTCTCAGAAAGAGGGGAGGCCATGTCAGTGGAGGTGAGGCAATGTCAGGAGGCCTGAGGCTCCCGGTGGCCCTGATTCTGCTCCCCCCCCCCCCCGGTGGGGGTGAAGGCAAGAGCCCACCCACTGCCTGTCTCCTGGGCTCCTTCTTACTGGCTGGGCTGTCACCCCCAGGGATGCATCACCACACATCCTGCAGGGAGTCCAGCACACTGCATTGTGCTCCCTTTCTTCAGCCACAAAATAATGTCAAATAGTGAAGGTTTATGGGGGCACTTGGGCCTCCAGCTGCATTGGCAGAAGTGCTAACTCAGAGTAGGCCTATTTCCCTGTAGGGGAGAGGAGCATTGCTCTCTGCTCACCTGTGAATCGGGCGGCTGCATGACTTATTTCTACCTGGGGGTGATGGAGGTATCCCAAGGCCTGGGATATAAAAACGTGGATGTCATCGTGGTGGTTCCTCATCTGCAGAGACAGAAAAGGCTGGCATGGATTGCAGAGGCTGCTTTGATTCCTCCTCGATTTTGAGTCTGTTCCTACAGGCAGGTTAACCTGCCCTCTGATCCGCGGGCAAAGGGGGATATATACATTTAATAAAGAATGATTATTGACAAGCCTTTGCTGCTCCTTAAGCAAGCAGTGCAACCAAGGCGGAAACACAACAAGGGCCTTTTCAGGACCGCGGCCCCTTGGTGCTGCAGCCCCAGCAGCCAGGTGCACCTTCAGGGAGACTGGCCGGCCATTTGCAGGGCCTGGGGAAGCAGAGACTCCCAAGCAAGCAGCTCTTTTCTCTCCCTGGTGAGAGGCAGGGCTGGGCCTAACGCATCACCCAAGGGAAGCCCTGGCCCTGCAGATGTTGCTGAACTACAACTCCCATCAGCCCCACCAAACATGGCCAACACCAGGGAGGATGGGAATTGTAGCTCAGCAGATCTCGAGGGCCAGCGGTCCCCCACACCAGTCCCAAAATCTGTGCCAGAGAAGCTCTGGTGTGGCTGTGTCCTTGAATTGGCCTCCTAATCTGGACTCAACCCCCCCCCTCCTTGCTGGGGCCAGAGGCTCCCCGTTCCCAGTTGCCTGCCTGGTCCAAGTGTCCTGGGATGATGATGATGAGAATTTATATACCACCCTATACCCGGAGGTCTCAGGGCAGTTCACATAAAAGATCAACATAAAAACCACAATATATATAATTAAAATAAAAACAACCCAATAACAACCCTCCAAAAACAGCCACATTTTAAAAGGGCATAGGATGTCAATCAATTCAACCAAAGGCCTGGTTAAAAAGGAACACTTTTGCCTGGAGCCTAAAGGTGTATAATGAAGGCACCAGGCGAACTTTCCTGGGGAGAGCATTCCACAGACGGGGAGCCACTGCAGAGAAGGCCCTGTTCTCATAAATGAAGAGGGGCAGCTTGGAAATCAAACAGATAAATGATGGGCAGAGCCACATCTGACAGCAGGGGTGCCAACCTCAATAAAATATGGGTGGGGGGCAGGAAAGTCCAGCCCTGCATAATCAACCACATGACATGGTGCACCCAAACCATTTGAATGGCAATGCCCATTAACTTTGGGAAGGCCCAGCCCCCTCAAATAGTTTCGGGGGGGGGGCAAAGACCCCTCACCCCTTAGGAATTGGTTCCTATGCTCAACAGCACATCTTGCCAAGCTCTTAATCTGGAAACCTCCTGTTTTCTTGGTGGGAGCACCTGTGGGAAGGGAAGGATCTTTTTTCTCTTCTGTGTGTGTCCTCTGCAAGAAAAAGAGCAGCTGCCCTCCAGCCCCAAAGCTGTGCATCTCCTTCGCTCACAGCAGCAGAAGACTGTGGCTCTGGAGGCCAATTCAAGGATGCGGCTGCACTGGGGGCAGCTTCAGAGACATCGACAGGGAGGAAATAAAAAAGGCTGGGAAGCTGAGAGGGGCTGCTGAGCATGATGGGGGTCATTATGGAGGATGAGAAAATGTGGTCAGATGGGGGCATGGAGACACATGAATGCCAATAATTTTGTATCTATCTCTGAAAAACCAAACCTCAGACTCGGTGCCCCACTGACCAGGTATTTCCACACATTCACCACGCAGTTCCGGGAGTCATCCCAGGCCAGGCTCCGGAACATCAGCTTCAGGTGGGCCCACCCGAGGAAGACCCCGCAGTGCAGGAGGGTCAATTTGCAGCTCTGCAAGCAGAGGGAAAGCCAGGGGGGTCACCCAGGGAGGAGGAGAGGCAGCTGCACTTGATCCAAAGAGATGCTTCAGAGGACGGCTCCCCCCACTTTGCCAGCAGCCGGTATCTCCTTCCCTCTCTGCTCCCCTCCCTGTTGGCTGCCCAGATTCAGGCTGCTTGGTCAGGAGAGCTGCTAGGAAGAAAGAGCGCTAGCTCACCATGGCCAAGTCACCAGCCCAGGACTGTCCGCACGGACCAGCAGCTCTCTCCGAGGTTTCAGGTAGTGGCCTTAGCAGAAAATGCTGGGAAGCAGCAGGGATTGAGTCTGGGACCCTCTGGGTGGGGGCTGCCCTGTGGAGTGGTGCCCATTTCCCTCAACCCAAAGGGAGATTCCAGCTGGATCTACATTGATGCTCTAAACGTCTTAAATTAAAACGTTCTATAAAGCTTAATAGGAGTTTCCCATTGTCACGAATATCTGACAGATATTGAGTAAATCCAGAAAATGATTAGAGTGAAAGGAGAGTAAAGTCAAGATAGAAGAAGAGATTAAAGAAATAATGAAATGTGTTTAAGCTAGATGGAAAAATAAAGTAGTGTAACAAGAATGGCTGGAAGTCAAGTCACTTGGTAGGTGTCCATGAGGTGTGTAGGTATGATGATATGTACAGTATAGGTAGGTAGTATATAGAGTAATGTAGGTATGTTTTATGTTATGAAAATAAGGTAGTGTGTTGTGTATGTGTATTGTGTAAATGTATATGTATGTGTTTTATATGTTAATAATTTTTTAAAAAGGAGTTTCCCATTGTCAGAGGCTTGCTGCTCTGCATCGCCCTCTGGTGTCATATTTTAATAATGCATTATTAAATGACGAGTGTCAATCAGTCCTCCACCGCTCACGATGTAAGGAGCAGTTTCCCAAAGCTGCCTTTCGGTGAGTCAGACTATCAAGTCTGCCTAGCTCAGTGCTGCCCACACTGACTGGCAGCAATGGCTCTCCTGGCTCCAGGCAGGGGTCTTGCTCAGCCTTCCCTGCAGATGCTGCCAGGCAAAGCATCTTCTGCATGTAAAGCAGGTGTCCATGACCCCAGAGCGCTGGCCTTGCCAGTGTGCTGGGCCTGCGGATCTGAGGAAAGGGCTGGGCTCCCTCCCTCGGGGCACTGAGGCTACTTGCCATGGCTACTGTGCCGTCTCGGTCCTTCAGGTGGAGCAGCAGAGAAAGGAGGCTGTAGAGGACTTCCTTCCTCAGGAGAGGCTTGTCTGCTTCTTTGGCCTTCATCACCAGCTGCCCAAACAGGGAGATGGATGCTGCACGGACGGGGCCTCGCTCCTGGGCGGGGGCACACCATGGCGGACAAGAGGCACCCCGGTCAGGGCCAGGACAGCTGCGCAACACAGGGTGGAGATGCAGGAAGGTGGGTACGGGGGGGGGGGGCACCGGGTGACAGGTGCTTCTCGCCCCCCAGCTCTTGGGGGCACTGTGCCTTCTCCAGCGCTGTTTAACCGGTGGCCACTGGGATCGGGGTGGAGGAGAAACGCATTTTGGCTTGCACCTGAAGCCAAATCAATCAAACACTCCCCCTCCCTCTGGGTCAATGAGCTCCGCTTCCTAGAGAGGCAGGAAGTTTTTTGGGGTATAGAGGCATTGTTGGAGGGGAGGGGTCTCCATGCATATTAACAGAAAAGAAAAGGGCTTGCAGAGGAGGAGAAAAAGAGCTGCTCCTTGCTCCCTGCATTGAAGGGCATCGTGGCAACAGCTGAGAGAGTCCCGGAAGTGGCCCAGTTTACGCCTCCTCCTACTCCGTCCTTTCCACTGGCAACGCAATGGCCTCCGAGACCCCCTCTGAACAGTCTCTTCTTAAAGGTGGAGTGGAAAGAGGAGTCAGGCAGCTTCCTCAGTTGAACGACATGGCCCAGGGAGAGAGGGGAAAATACTGGAAGTGAACAGCTGGCTTCGCAAATGGTGTAAACAGGAACGGTTTGGATTCTTAGATCACGGACTGCAGTTTCTTGAAGATGGACTTCTGGCAAGCGATGGGCTGCACCTCACAACGGTTGGGAGAAATGTTTTTGCCAAAAATCTCAGAAACCTCATCAGGAGGGCTTTAAACTGACTAATGTGGGGAGGGAGACAGTGCTCCTGAAGGTAGGAGTCTATCAATTGATGAAGATGATCATCCAAATGTCATAGACCAAATGGAGCAAACAGCACACAGACCTAGTGGTGGGAGGAAAAATCCTTAAATAAGAGTCACGGGGATGATTAATGGACTTCAGTGTCTGTACACTAATGCGCAAAGCATGGGAAATAAACAAGATGAGCTGGAGCTCTTGGTACAGCAAACTAAATATGACATAATAGGCATCACTGAAACCTGGTGGGATAAGTCCCACGATTGGAATGTAATAATGGGGGGATACAATCTATTTCAGAGAAACAGACCAGACAAGAAAGGAGGAGGAGTGGCGTTATATGTCAGGGATGTGTATACCTGTGAAGAGATCCAAGATTTAGAACCTCAAAGCCAAAGTGAGAGCATCTGGGTCAAAATTAAGGGAGAGAAGAATAACAGTGACCTCATTGTGGGAGTTTACTATAGATCCCCAAGCCAAACGGAGGACATAGATGATGCCTTCCTGGAACAGATGGCCAAGCATGCAAAAGGAAGGGAGATAGTAGTAATGGGGGACTTCAATTACCCGGATATTTGTTGGATGTCAAACTCAGCCAAGAGCATAAGGTCAAACAGATTTCTCACTGGCCTTGCAGACAACTTCATTGTCCAGAAAGTGGGAGAAGCAACAAGAGGAACAGCCATTTTAGATCTGGTCCTAACCAATGTTGATGACCTGGTTAGTGGGGTAGAAGTGGAAGGATCATTAGGCGCGAGTGATCATGCTCTTCTGAAGTTTACTATACAGCGGAAAGGAGCAGCCAAGCATACTAGGACTCAATTTCTTGACTTTAAGAAAGCTGACTTCATAAAACTTAGGGAAGTGCTGGGTGAGATCCCATGGACAGTAATACTAAAAGGAAAGGGAGTTCATGATGGCTGGGAGTTTGTTAAGAGGGAGATACTAAAAGCACAACGTCAGGCAATACCAATGAGACGGAAACATGGAAGGTGCCTAAAGAAGCCAGGGTGGCTATCTAAAGAACTTTTAACTGAGTTAAGATTAAAAAGGATGTGTACAAAAATGGAAAAGGGGGAAACCACCAAAGAGGAATTCAAACAAATAGCCAGCACGTGTAGACACAAAGTCAGAAAAGCTAAAGCACAGAATGAACTCAGGCTTGCTAGAGAGGTTAAAAGCAACAAAAAGGCTTTTATGGGTATGTCCGTAGCAAAAGGAAGAACAAAGAAACAGTGGGGTCACTCAGAGGAGAAGATGGTGAAATGCAAACAGGGGACACAGAAAGAGCTGAACTCCTCAATGCCTTCTTTGCCTCAATCTTCTCCGATAAAGAAAACAATGCCCGACCTGAAGAATTTGGAGCAAATGATTCAGCAAAGGAAACACAGCCCAGAATAACTAAGGAGATAGTACAAGAATACTTGGCTAGTTTAGATGTATTCAAGTCTCCAGGGCCAGATGAACTGCATCCAAGAGTATTAAAAGAACTGGCAGATGTGATCTCAGAACCACTGGCAGTCATCTTTGAGAATTCCTGGAGAACAGGCGAAGTCCCGGCAGACTGGAGGAGGGCAAATGTTGTCCCTATTTTCAAAAAGGGAAAAGAGAGGACCCAAATAATTACCGCCCAGTCAGTCTGACATCAATACCAGGGAAGATTCTGGAGCAGATCATTAAGCAAACAGTCTGTGAGCACCTAGAAAGGAATGCTGTGATCACCAATAGTCAGCATGGATTTCTGAAAAATAAGTCATGTCAGACTAACCTGATCTCGTTTTTGACAGAATTACAAGCCTGGTAGATGAAGGGAACGCAGTGGATGTAGCCTACCTTGATTTCAGCAAGGCATTTGACAAGGTGCCTCATGATATTCTTGTAAAGAAGCTGTTAAAATGTGGTCTTGACTATGCTACCACTCAGTGGATTTGTAACTGGCTGACTGACCGAACCCAAAGGGTGCTCATCAATGGTTCCTCTTCATCCTGGAGAAGAGTGACTAGTGGGGTGCCACAGGGTTCTGTCTTGGGCCCGGTCTTATTCAACATCTTTATCAATGACTTGGATGATGGACTCAAGGGCATCCTGATCAAATTTGCAGATGACACCAAATTGGGAGGGTGGCTAACACCCCAGAGGACAGGATCACACTTCAAAACGACCTTGACAGATTAGAGAACTGGGCCAAAACAAACAAGATGAATTTTAACAGGGAGAAATGTAAAGTATTGCACTTGGGCAAAAAAATGAGAGGCACAAATACAAGATGGGGGACACCTGGCTTGAGAGCAGTACATGTGAAAAGGATCTAGGAGTCTTGGTTGACCACAAACTTGACATGAGCCAACAGTGTGACGCGGCAGCTAAAAAGCCAATGCAATTCTGGGCTGCATCAATAGGAGTATAGCATCTAGATCAAGGGAAGTAATAGTGCCACTGTATTCTGCTCTGGTCAGACCTCACCTGGAGTACTGTGTCCAGTTCTGGGCACCACAGTTCAAGAAGGACATTGACAAACTGGAATGTGTCCAGAGGAGGGCAACCAAAATGGTCAAAGGCCTGGAAACGATGCCTTATGAGGAACGGCTAAGGGAGCTGGGCATGTTTAGCCTGGAGAAGAGGAGGTTAAGGGGTGATATGATAGCCATGTTCAAATATATAAAAGGATGTCACATAGAGGAGGGAGAAAGGTTGTTTTCTGCTGCTCCAGAGAAGCGGACACGGAGCAATGGATCCAAACTACAAGAAAGAAGATTCCACCTAAACATTAGGAAGAACTTCCTGACAGTAAGAGCTGTTCGACAGTGGAATTTGCTGCCAAGGAGTGTGGTGGAGTATCCTTCTTTGGAGGTCTTTAAGCAGAGTCTTGACAGCCATATGTCAGGAGTGCTCTGATGGTGTTTCCTGCTTGGCAGGGGGTTGGACTCGATGGCCCTTGTGGTCTCTTCCAACTCTATGATTCTATGATTCTATGAAATCCACACTTTCTAAAGCAATGTGAGAACAGAACCATCCTTTGAAGTTCACATATATTCAAATTATGTGATGCAATTCTCCAACCAATGTTTTCAAAATGCATACTTTGGGCAAAAGTGTGCACAAAAATGAAGATATTAGTGAAAACAACATTTCTCAAAAGATTTGAACCTGTCCAGGCACTCAGGGAAAGCATCTCTGCCTCCAGGCTCCCTTCTCTGCCCTCACCTGGGTGTCTAAGCAGCAGCAAAGGCCAGTGGCCAGAGGAGAAGAGGCAGGCCCACCCCCTCCCTGGAGGCCAGGGGCCCTCATGGCTGACGCTGACCCTCAAGGCGCTGGCTGCCTGGCCTTGCGCCTTTGCAAACATCCTCCTTCCCCAAACGTCCCCACTCACATCTTCAAAAAGGAGCGCACGTTAAGGGCCAGGTCCATGCAGAGGGGCCCGATCCTCTGGCCGTCCATCTCGTAGATGGCAGTCGTGATGTCCTGCAGACCCTGCAGGATGTCTTGTTCGTGGCCACTGAAGACGGAGCCAATCAGGGTGGGCAGCTCCTCACGGAGAACCTTGACCTGGGGGGGGGAGAGGGTGGAGGGTCGGGGGGGGGCTCAGCATCCGCCACTCACACCAGCCACATCTGTGAGGGGTGTCAAGCACCCCCCTTGCTCAGACAGCCTCCCAACGGCTTCCTCTCCCACCCCAGCTTTGTCCTGACCAGAAGTATTTATTGCCTTGGCAGAGCACCAAGATGCGGGTAGGGAGGAGAGAGAGCGAAGGCAGGGAGACCCCCACCCTCCAGGGGCCGGGTGAGGCAGAAAGCAAAGACTCCTGATCTGAGAGGGTTTTCCTGGCTAAAAGCTGAACCCCCCCATGCCCCCAGAGTCTGCTGCAGCTGCACTGGCAAGAGGCTGGCAGGACACTGGCTGCTCCTTCTCCCTGGTGCTTGTTCAGGATCTCCCTTCGGCCCTTTGGCCTGGGGGTTAGGGGCAAAGGGGCTGGAACTGCTTGGCCACCCCTCTTGGAAGAGGCTACCTCCCCCTCCCTCCCTCCCTCCCTCCCTCCAGGAGGCTGTGTCCCAGAGGGAGCCTCACCTGAGCTGAGCACGAGGGGCCCAAATGGAAGCCCTGTTGTGGGGGCAGAGCATGAGGCCGCTCTTCAGCCCCTGGGGCCCTCCAAGCTCCAGCTGCTTCCTGGGGGCCCCCCTCACCTTTGCCGGCTGGAAGACAAAGCTGCCAAGCCCCTTCAGGCACAGCTCCTTGATGATGGGGTTGGCGGCTGCTGATCCTTCCTCCAGGTGGTCTCGGAGGCTGAACCGGTTCATCATCTTGACAGCGGATGGGCTTTTGAGGAACTGAGAGGCGGGAGGGAAGGCTGAGCGGAAGGACCCCCAAGCCCTGATGGGACCCCCTCCCACAGAGACGCCAAGAGGCAGCCTGAGAGGAGGCGAGAAACGACTCAGTGAAGCCCCCCGACTTGCCCTGGGCCCAGGGCCATCCTTGCGAGAAACCCTTTCCCCAGCTCCTCCGCTTGCCCTGATCACTCAGGGCTTCTGAGGGTGGGAGGAAGCTGGCAGCTGCCTCTCTGACCCCTGGCACCGCCTCACCTCGATAACGAGAGCCAGCGCAGTCATCTTTTCATCTCGTCCTCCTCACTGTTGAGGATGAGCGCCGCTTCCCAAAGATGCCGGGGATCTGGGGGCTGTCACACTCGGTCATGGCCCTGCTCAGGCGACAAGTGGAGAAGGCAGGATGTCTGGGGAGGGCTAAAGTGGGGGAGGAGCAAAGGCAGCGGAGCCGAGGGGGACCTGCACCCCCCAGGAAGGAGGCCTGGGAAGGGCTTCCCCTCACCTGGCCATTAGGCGAGTGCCTTGCAAGAAGCGATCCGGGGTGCTCAGCACCATCCATCCCTGCTGGAACTCGATGCAGGCATAGACGGCCCAGTCTCCAGCCACAGAGAAGAGGTTCTTCATGATCTCTACCGAAGTTCTGCAAGGGACCACCAGGAGTCAGATCTCCCCAGAACTCCCCCAAACTCTCCTCCCGCAAGATACTGCCTTGGGGCTGGCTCTGTGATGAGGCAGAGAGGCAGGAGCCTCAGGCGGCAGGGGCTGAGGGGAGGGGACTGCGAGGGCCACATCGCCTGCCCTGTAGCCGCCATGCTAGCCTTCAGCCCTCAAGTGCGTGGGAGATGCTGACCTTTCACCAGCACTGGAGTGAGATCCGCCTGCCAATCCAACGGGCATCTGTATGTGCCTGGGGGGAAGGTATCACCTTGCCCTTCACCTCATGCAGCAAAACGTCTTGAGAGCCAGCTCTGCTGCCCCATTTCTGAGCAGAATGTGGCAGGAAGAGAAAGCCAGAAGCCTCCTCCAGGCACCAGTGAACTCCATCTGTGCCACTCCTGCCTGCGGCTCCCAAGTCCAAAGGAAGAGGCTTCTTCCCATTTTTAGGAGACGCTGCATTTAGCAACGACTTGAGAACAGGCAGGTGGACTCCAAGGCCCCTCCTTCCCTGCTTTCTGCACAAAGAGCCCCAACCCACTTGTTGCATCAGCTCTTTCCTGCCTGCTGGAGGGGGCGGCCTCCATGGAGCAGGCAGAAGGCCCCCCTGCCTGCATCCCCCCCAGTTCTTCCTGCTGCAGGGCAGGACCCTCCCTGCCCCCCCCCCCACAACAGACGCACACCGCTTCCTGCTGGGGACCAGCCTGGCCAACCTTCCCTTACAGATCCTGGTCAGGTACCTCTGGAAGCTGAGGGCGCTGGTGTTTTCTCTGAGGAGGATTTCCTGCCTGACTTTCAAAGAGTCGGGCAAGTCCAGCTGCATCACATACAGGACCTGCTTGAGCAAGGGGATGAACAACTGCAGGTGCATCTCTGCCAAGGCCTTGCGGTATCCTGGGATGTGGAAGGTCTCGTAGATGACGTTCATGGCCTGAAGAAGAGGAACGCCAGGCACCTGTCCTCACTGGGCCTCTGCACCCAGCAGCTTATTCTTCTGGAACATGCCATGTCCCCTCAAGGCCATTCACGCCACTGTCGCCTGTCTCCAAGTGCCAGTGCTCACACCCAAGAGAGAGGAGGGGCCCTCTGCCTAGAGAAGACCAACTTCCCACCCGCCAGTCAGTGGGATACAGCCAGGCAGGCCCCGCTACTCACAGCCAGAGACATGGTGGCACTTTCTTCGTTGCTCTCCAGGGGATCTTTGACCTGAAGGTGCTTCAGCAGGAGCTGCAGGACTTGGATGGCCACCTGGGGGCCAGACGCCATCACTGTCCAGAGCTCGCTGGCGTGCCTGTGAAGTCAGCCCCGCGGGATGCAGGATCAGTCAGCAGCTTCCCTGGGAGGAGCAGCAGCAGGGAGCAGAGCATGGCTGTGGGGGCAGCCTAGCCACGGTTACCCAGAGAATCAAGCAGCCTACCTGTTGACAGGTATTGAGAAGGACAGGCAGCTCCGCATCACCTCCTCCATGTGGTAAGGGACCATGAAGGCCAAGGCCCTCAGCACCACCCTTCCGGGTCCAGCAGGAGTGCTGGCGCTGCTGCAGACACAGGTAGATGGCACCAACGATGTCTTTCACCTGGGAGAAGAGAAGCGCTGAAGGCGGCCCAGCAGAGCTTCCGCCCTGTGAAGTGTGGCCCAAACCCAGGTGCCCCTTGGGCTCTCAGGGGAGGAGTCAGGCCAAGGCTCCAGAGATGTTTGGGTGCAAATGCTCTTTGGTTTATGTGGGACCTCAACACACACACTCCGTTTTTGGCTTTTGTGTCTCAGTGGGGTTCATCATTTGCAAAGGGAAGGCAGCTCTAGCTCCTCAGTTGGAGTCACTGAGCCAGCAGGGTGGAGCAGAGGCTCCCAGGCTGAGGGACTCTTCTGACCATTAGCTCCAGGCTATCTGAAAAGGGGAATCCCCTCACGCAAACCTGCCTGAGCTCTGAGGTTCCAGGGGAGGTCCTTCTGTTGGTCCCACCACCCTCCCTGGCAGGACAGGGCCTTCTTGGTGGTTGCGGCTCCCAGGCAATTTTAGAACTCCCTCCCCAGAGAAGCCAGACTGGCTCCTCCTTGTTGTGCTTCTGCCAGCAGGTGAAGACCTTCTTGTTCCAACAGGCTTTGGGGGACTGACTGCTTTTAATGAAAGGGCTGGTGCCATGCTGCTTTTATTGTAATTACTTGCATGGTTTTAAAAGACTTTATATATGCATAGAGTTTTACTTCTATCAGTGTTCTGCATTCTGATGACTGATTTTTCTATATTTTTAGCTGTTCTTGGTTTTATCTGCAAGCTGCCTTGAGTCCCATCAGGGGAAAAGGTGGGGTATAAAGAAATCTAGAATGATAGTCATAATCACCCTTTCCACCTTCATTGCGTGGTTCTTCAGAACGGCATTGAGCACTTCCTCTGCAGCCTTCAGCAGCTCAGCGTTGGAGCCTCTCAGATTATCCAGAACGGAGAGCAGGAAGTTTGTCAGCTGAGATGGGAACAGGTGGTCCTCACAGTGCTGCAAAGAGCAGGGGGAGAGTAAAAGGTAAAATGGTGGGCTGGACCCACCAGGAACCCTCCCTACTCTGGAAGCGTCCTGGGTTCAACCCCAGTGAGAGGACTAGGGAGTAGCAAATGAAAGATCGCAGGACAGACCACAGTGAGCCTGAGGGACCGCAATGCCCAGCCTGGCATAAAGGGAGCCTCTTTGGGGCCTTCTTTCAGGAGCAAACAGCTCATGGTGGACGCCTTTTCCTTGCCACCCTTTGCTCTCATTTTAAACATCCCATAAAAAACGCATAATTGTTCCCTTCTTAAAAGCCTAGATCTACATCCCCTTGGGAAGGCAGTGAGAGGAGTACGGCTGCTCTGCAGGTATGAGGCTGTGTGAGCAGAGGTGGATTTAGGGGAGCACAGCCGCTGGGTGAAGAGCCTTGGGGTGCTGCAGGAGAATGAAAGGCAAGAAGTGGTGTGGGGAGCCGAATTTTGGTGTCGCACAGGTCCATGACTGGTGGGAGATGCTGGGTGGTTGTCCACATGGTCAGAGGGACCAAGCAGAACCTTCTTGTTCTGGGCAAATTTTGGCCAGGCTGGAGTATTATTATATCGGAGATCATAGTCCAGAAAATCTGGAGGTGGCTGCCCATCAGCTGCTCCACGTGAACCCCCACCCTGACCCTCACAAGGACAAAACAATGTTTTTTGTTGGCTGCAGGCAAGTGCCAGGCCCCTCTCCCCACATCACCACCAGGGATCCATGCCATTGGGGTGGGGCTGGCATGGGATTCAGTTGGAGCCCATGCACAGAGGCCCAGGGGTCTGGAGCCTGTGGGGGGCACTTGGGAGGCCATTTCCATTGCTGAGAGTGAGGTGCAGGGCACCTGCAGGGCACCACCTGAACCTGGCTTGTGGCGTTAGGCCCTCCCTCCTCCCTCCTGTAGATCAGAGATCAGGTCCAACATTTTTTGTGGTCTTTAATGCTGGCTTTGCACCCCTGCTGTCACCACCATGACCCACTCTCATGGCTCCACAGGGGGCGGCATGGGTTTGTGTGTCTGTGCCCGGTCCCTGCTCTGCTGTGCAGGGGGCAACACATCCTGAGAGGCCCCCTGCTGCTTTTGCAGAGACCCCTGGGAGTTGCTGCCAACACACACTTTCTAGGGCTGGGGGAATTGTCTGGGTGACACGCAGAGCTGGATTCTGAAACCAGCCGCCATGGCTGAGCTGTCTGTCCCTCTGTGCGCCAGGGGACTTGTCACCATACCATGGCCATGTGCCAGCTGCTCTCTGGAATCAGAAAAGAAAAGCCATCCTCTTCCTGGGACCTCGAGTACCTCCTCACTGACCACCTCATCCTCTTCTGCTTGCTCTTCTTCAGCGCTGTTGAAGGAACACAGGGAAAAGGAGGAGACCACTCTGGGCAGCAGCGACTTCAGCATTTGCCAGAAGCTGCATATTGAAGATGCCAGGCAGGCACACCCTTGCGGGGAGGGAGTTCCATAATTTAGGGGCCGCCACACAGAACACCCTCTCCCAGCTTCTGCAGGTGGAGGAACTACCAAGAGGGCTCCTCCACGCACCATCTTGGAAGGAGGCAGCCTTCCAGGTATTTGGGGCCTGAGTCATTTAGTGCCCTAAACACCAATGTAAATGTGGACTGGACCCAAATGATGGCCTTTAAGAAATCAGTCTGACACGGCTGACACCCCTCACCCCCTGCAGGTGCGATGGGCAACTGTGGCCTCTGGCTCACTCACTATCTGGGCACAGCAGCAAAGAACCACAGAATTGTAGCATTGGGAGCAATGCCAAGGGCAATCTAGCCCAGCCCCCTGCAGTTCAGGAAGCACAGCTAAAAAGATGTGGTGGCGGCGGCAGATTCCCCATGTCTTACCTTGCCGACGCAGCAGGACCTCATAGAGGCAACTGACTCCTTGCACCGCAAAGGAACTGATACGCTGCACCGGATCATTGCACAGAGTAATCAGGACAGCTGTGAGATGAGCCAACTTGCAGAATTCCCCTGAGAACTGATTTACAGAAGGGAAGGGAAGGAGCTGCTGGCAAGGCACCCTCCGGGCTTCAAGGTGGTGCGGCCTGCTGTTGTGCATGGACTGGGATGCCCACTGCGGTGACCCAACCGCCACAGGACACATGTCTGGAAGCAGCTTGGGCAGGATCAATGCCATGCGTGCTCAGGAGAAATGCCAGGGGAGTCTGAGTGTGTCTGCTTGAGGGGAGCATTGACCTCCCCTCCACAAACCCATGCAGAGTCCAAAGAGGCCTTCATGGATTCTACCAATGCCCTGAGTCATCATCATCATCATCATCATCACCATCACCATCATCATCATCATCATCATCACCATCACCATCACCATCATCACCATCATCTTATTATTATTAATTCAAATTATAAACCACCCTTTATCCAAAGATCTCAGGGCAGTGTACAATATTAAGAACTTAATTTACACAGCATAATAAAACACAGCATGATAATAAAATATTCATAATAGCACCCACCCACATGTAACAGGCCATAGATTGCTTAATGGTGAAGGCTTGGGTAAAGAGGACATGTAAAGACATCCAATGATGTTGGCAGGTGAGCCTCTCAGGGGGGAGCATTCCACAGTTGGGGAGCCACCACAGAAAAGTCCGGTCCTGGTCGTGCAAGAGAGCTAACTCTCCTGAACGCCCAAAGTGTTGGAAGTTTGTCTCGATGCTGCAGCCACCGCTGTGGAAACATCTTCTGCAATTCCCACTGAAGGGGGGCAGAAGAGTCCTCAGGCCACGCGGGGCTGGAGCAAACAGCCCAGCACCATCCTGGGCCTGTTTTCCTCCCTAGGGAGCCAAGGTTTCCTCTGCCCCTCTCTGCCAGGCGCTGCGATGGGTTCCAGGGGGCACCGTGCCATATGTGGACAAAGGGGGCAATGAGGAGGGGGCTCAGCTGCCCCAGGGCTGCCCCTGCTGGGCTTCTGGCCAGGAGCGCGTGAGGAAGAGAGGCCTATTCTGGGCCCAAGGAGACTTTGCTGATACTCACGTCTGAGTGGAAATGTGTAGCGACGAATTTCAAGAGCTTCATGGCTGTCTCCACAGCATTCTCTCGCACATGGTTGACTTTTGCCTTCATCCAGGGCTCCATGAGCTGGAAGACAAAGGGAAACTCAGGAAATGTGTCCTGGCTGAAGTCTGGGACTGAAGTTGAGGGTTGCAGACAGCGCTTCTCTTCCGTCAGATTTTGCAGAATTAGCAGGACCAATTATTGGGTGTGTGTTTGTTCCTGTTAGCATATTAGCAGTCACCTCTGCATCTTAGAAAACAAATGATTTATGTCACTAAACATGTCTCTGAACACCCCCTGCCCCCCTTCAGAGATCTGCTTGGCATCCTGTGATGTGTGGCCTAAGAGGAGAGAGCCTGAGAACTACGAGAGGTGCCAGCACTTGGCCAAGGCACCAGAGCTCCTTCCGCTGCCCCCTCTCTAGCTGCACACCCCCAGCATTGGTGCCCAGGGAGGCGGGCAGGTGAGGGGCTCTGGGACCAGCTCCCATGCTGATGAGCACGCAAAGGATCATGCTGCTTGCCTCGCCACCATTGCACTCCTTTGCATTCAGTCATACCTCCATCATGTGCTCCAGCTCACTTGGGCTTCGGTTTTCCAGCAGCAGGGCCTGCAACATCTCTTCAAAGCTGCTGATGGTCTGGAAGTAGAGCCCTGGAGCAGAAAAGAGGCAGCTGCCATTAACCTTGCACAGCCCAACAGAAAAGAGGCATGGGGCTGCTCTCTCTCTGTGTGATCTACCTACCTACCCCTTGCTAAGAGTTTGTGGGGTGCAAGACATCCTAAATCCCTGGATACAATAACAGAATGAATCAGGCTTGGGGGAGTTAAACTGTTCCAGGCACTGAACCTGCCCGCCATATAGTGGTTATGTTAACAATACAAGCCAGGCCAAATTGGTCATCGCTTCCTGAGTGTGGGTCATTCAGGAAACAAAGTCTAGAGAGGTAGTTAGCAGGGGACATAAGGCCAGAGTTGTGATGTGCTGACAAAGCCTGTGACAACTGTAGGAAGGAGTCAGAGATCAGGGCTGATTTCTGTTTTGGATCCAAAGCTATTGCGCCTATTGGAGAAGCAAGACCTCTGGAGCTCAGGTTGTATACGTGGGTAAATGAACCATGTATCATAAAGATAGAAGGGGAAGAAATGGAGGCAGTAAGAGATTTTACTTTCTTGGTTGGGTTCCATAATCACTGCAGATGGTGACAGCAGTCACGAAATTAAAAGACGCCTGCTTCTTGGGAAAAAAGCAATGATAAACCTAGACACCATCTTAAAAAGCAGAGACATCACCTTGCCAACAAAGGTCTGTATAGTTAAAGCTATGGTTGTCCCAGTATGTATGTATGTATGTATGTATCGCTAAAAAACTGATACTTTTGTATTATTGTTATGTACTGAGTTGAATAGGATCCAAACTGCAGCAGTCTGATTGGTTCTAGAACAATAGGATTCAAAATGCAGCAGTCTGAGGATGAAACGGTAAAATCGGCTATGATTAAATGGGCACAAGACGTTGGACATAACATTATGTTCGCTGACTGGGAACAGTTGTGGACCACAGGTATGAAATTTACGGCATGTAATGCCTTAAGAGAGAATATTATGAAAATGATATACAGGTGGTACATAACCCCAGTCAAGCTCGCAAAAATCTATCATTTGCCCGATAATAAATGTTGGAAATGTAAAGAAACTGAAGGTACATTTTTCACCTTTGGTGGACGTGCCCAAAGATTAAGGCTTTCTGGGAAATGATATATAATGAATTAAAAAGGTATTCAAATATACATTCCCAAGAAACCAGAGGCCTTTCTCCTGGGCATGGTCGGCCAAATGGTGATAAAAAAGGACAGAACTTTCTTTATGTATGCAACAACAGCAGCAAGAATACTCATTGCAAAGTATTGGAAGACACAAGAACTTCCCACACTGGAATGGCAGATGAAACTAATGGACTATATGGAACTGGCAGAAATGACTGGTAGAATCCGTGACCAGGGAGAAGAGTCGGTGGAGGAAGATTGGAAGAAATTCAAAGATTATCTACAGAAACACTGTAAAATTAAAGAATGTTAGAGTGATGTTGGATTGAAAATGAGTGGTTTCCAGCTGTACAAGTTTTAAAGTTATAGATAAACTAAGATTAAGGATTAGGATTAAAGAAGTTTAAGGAAATGGAAATTTGGCTTTTAAGAGGTAAAATTTTAATGTTATATTATATTAAGATTAAAGATTGGGATTAAAAAAGAGGGAAAGAAATTGCTGGAAAAACAATTTGAACTGGAATACAAAAGAGGGAGGTATGAGGAGGTCCAGAAAACAAGTAAATTTAAAGATGGAAACGAAAAGGTGATATTGTTTTTAATTGTTCTTTCTGTCTTGTATTTTGTTTTTTCTTTGTTCTTTTTTTTTCTTTTTTTTTGGACTATGTACTGTGCTTTTTTGAATTGTGTATTTTTCGTTTATGTTTTTCTGTTTAATCTTTTATTGAAACCTTAATAAATATCATTTAAAAACACACACACACACACACACACACACACACACAAAAAAACAAAATGCAGCAGTCTGATTGGTCCTAGAACAATGCAGCAGTATGATTGGTTGGCAGGAACCACCCAATCATGCTCCAGATATAAGTGAATCCACAACCTGATTGGCTTACAGTAGAATTCCAGAATTAGCCAATCATGTGCAGCCCATTGTGTAAATAATGTATATAAAGCAGATACTTTGAGGGGACTTTCATTCATTCCTCCTCACCACTATGAGCTGAATAAAGAGCATGAAATCACTTTGCGACTCCGAGTATATTTCAATTATGGTGCTGGAGGAGACTCTTGAGAGTCCCATGGACTGCAAGAAGATCAAACCAATCCATTCTGAAGGAAATCAGCCCTGAGTGCTCACTGGAAGGACAGATCCTGAAGCTGAGGCTCCAATACTTTGGCACCTCATGAGAAGATAAGACTCCCTGAAAAAGACCCTGATGCTGGGAAAGATGGGGGGCACAAGGAGAAGGGGATGACAGAGGACGAGATGGTTGGACAGTGTTCTCGAAGCTACCAACATGAGTTTGACCAAACTGCGGGAAGCAGTGGAAGACAGGAGTGCCTGGCGTGCTCTGGTCCAGGAGGTCACAAAGAGGCGGACACGACTAAATGACTAAACAACAACAACAACAACAAATCATAAAGACTCCATAGACTTTGCTGTGCCTCATCTCCAAAAGGAAACACAAGCCTTGTATAAGCCTCAGGACCCTGGAGTCTCACACCAGAGAGATAAAACAGCCTGGCTGACACCCACCCCCCTTGTCACATGGGGTTGGGGCCTGGTCATTATCCCAAGAAGTCATTTCTCTGCCTGGACTAGCCAGAGTAGAAGAGGAAAAGGTAAGGGGCGTCTGGGTGTTGGCTCCTTTCTGCCAGCTCTTTGGCTACGGAGGGCGAGAGCTGGCGCAGGCCTCTCCCCACCCAATAAGCAAACTGCAGCTCCATGCCACCCGCAAAGCAGCCATATCGAGACCATTCTGCACAGAGAAGGAGCTTCTCAATTCACTGATGGAGCCTGGAGCAGTTTTGTGTGCTCTGGTGTTGGTGGCGGATGGGTGGGCGTGAGGGTGGAGATGCAGTGGGGCAGCACAGCTCCCCATGTTTCCTGTCCTGCGCCCATGAGGAGCCCTTGAAATGAAGATTGATCCAAATGACAAGTTCTAAAATGGCAGCCAAGATGCTTCCAGGGCCGCATCCAGAGGGTGCTGTCAGAGGGCCCCTTTCCTGTGTGGGGAGAGATCTGCTCCTTCAGCACAAGCACTTTCATCCATTTGGCTGGTGGCCACTGCCAGACAACTACTGACAAGTTTTAAACAGTAAAATGCAGCTAAAAGCAATTGGTACAAAGAGAAAACAAGCCGACCAGTACAAAAACATCACAAAACCACCCCAAGCCAGCACAAGGTCAAAACCCACCAGGGTGAAAAGCCAGGCAGCTCAAGGAGCTGCAATTCCAGCCAAAGAGGCCAGGCAAGGCAGAGCCTGGGGGCGCACCCATAAGCACCTGGGGCATGACTGCCAGAAGAGCACCATGCTCAGCCCTGGGAATGCAATGGCAGCAGCCAATGGGAAGTGGAGGCATGCAAACAGACGTGCATAAATTTTCATGCACAGTTGGTTGGGATTTGCCAGATCTCTCATCTGCTCATTGTAAATTCCAGGGCAGTTCTCATCCGGAAACTATGTTGCAATGCAAGTGAGATGGCAAAGGGAAGGGCTCACTTTGACGCTGGCTGCCTGCTCATCTGCCGCAATTTGCCCTTCCAGGAGCTCCAAGGGGCCAAGCAAAACATGCTTTGGAAGGAAGCACAGAGGAGGCTGGTCTTCTTCTCTGCCTCAAGGGGAGGCTTCAGTTTGCTGAGGAAAAAGAAACACACCTGAGATTAATCTGTGGCACCAAATGGTGAAATGATGGTTGTGCTCAAGTCGATTGAGTCACATCCTTCGAGTCACATCCACATCAGTCCGACAAAGGCACCTTGGGGCTCCTAAGCACCCTGCAGCTGCAGTCAAGGATGGTAGCAAGGCAGGGAACCCCTCAGCTCTGAGGGCACGTGCCTGGCATGTAGAAGGCTTGATCTCCAGCATCTTCCCTCAGAGGTTGCCAGGGGCCCCTCCCCTCTGCCTGAGCCCATGCAGAGGCTGCTTGGGCTACTGTCTGGGCCAGTCACACAGGCAGGTTCACCGGTCTCTGAGGAGGGACCCACTCAGCACATCCCCCCTTCCACTCTCAGTCAGGGGAGCAGCCCTGAATTTTACACCCCCCCCAGCATCGTTTTGCCCCTACCTGAGTTGTGTCACGATGTACATGGCGTCTTGGCGCACGGTGTCCGTCAGGGCATGGATGGGCTCTCTCTCAATCAGCACCTGCCAGTCATTGCAGACACAGTGTGAGTGGCATCACTGAGCATGGCAGGTACCCTGGCAAGCAGACCCAGAACTGCTCTGCCACCTCTTGTCACTTCTGTCTTCTCTTTTCCAGGCTAAACACACCCAACTCCCTCAACCGTTATTCATAAGGTTTGGTTTCCTGACCCTTGATCATCTTGGTCACCCTCCTCTGAATATGTTCTAGCTTGTCAATATCCTTCCTGAGGTGTGGCACCCAGATGTGGACCGGGGACTCCTGGTGGGGTCTTACCATGGCAGAACAGAGTAGCACTGTGACTTCTCTTGATCACTTGCAACAAACAACCTGTGAGCTGGACAGAGCTGGCCCAAATCAGCCCAGTGAACTTTATGGGTTTGGGTTGTGTCCTACCCCAAACTGTCTCTGGATCAGTGGCCAGGCACTGGGCAGAGACTTGGTGAGGACCCACCACTGCGATGATCAGGGAGGATGCTTCCTCAGACCACCAGCTTATAGGTGTAGTAGGTCTAGAGAAGCAACCAGATTAGTCTGTTCACTTACTACAGGTTTCTGGATACGGAGTGTGCAGCTGACTTACTATCAGGCATTCCACAAGGGGGGATTTCATGTACACTCGAAGGCTGTGTGCTTTTCCTGTTGCAGAAACGGCCTCAAGGAACATCAGCACCGCAATCAAAAAGGTTTTCTTCAGGCTTATGGTCTAAACCCAAACCCAGAGCAAAAAACAGACACTCATTATCAAACAATGCTGAACCCTTATGTAAGCCTCTTTTGTAGGCAAGATATTCTCTAGCAGGGGTGGCCAGCTCCCAAGAGGCTGTGATCTACTTTCTGAATTAAAATCTGGCAGTGATCTACCCCCATTTTGGGGGTGGGTGGGTGGTTCAGCTCATAGTTGTTGAGCTTCTGTGGGGAGAGCCAGTGATCTACCAGTAGATTATGATCTACCTGTTGGATGTGCCTGTTCTATAGAATAAGTGCACAGTTTGCAAAGTTCAAACAACCATTTAAGCTATTTAAACAACTTTTGATCAGGTAAAAAGTTCTCCCCCCTTTTAACCAGGGAACAGATATTTTAATGGAGCATTTAATACAACTTCTTTTGAAGAAGTGCAAATAGCAAGCACCATTTCAAGAGAGGCCTTCATTGTCGGTTCTTTGGCATGTATGTCTGCTATTATTTGGATACCAGTTGAAAGCACATTTAAACCTGCTCAAGTGTTTGGGTCATAAATTGGCTCTGGGATTCAACTGCTCTCTTGTTATGCTGGTTTGTTATGCTGCTTCTCATGCAATTTTTAGAGGCATAATTGCTGGCTTTGGATGTACTTTGGATGTTGTGCCCCGTGCCAGGCTCCTTGAGAAGGAAGAGCAAGATATAAATGAATAAAGTCTCTTTTAAGGTGATGCCTTTGTAGCATACACATTGCTATCTGGCATCAGGATTTCCAATTCATGTAGTTAACAAAATAAAATTAACTATTGTCTGAAAGCCCTAAAAGACCTGTTGAAATAAAGGGAACAAGAAAATACGTTCTTCATTTGAAAAGATCCAGTGCGAGTAATGTAGAGGCCATGTTTGTGGCTGATGCAGCCAGTTATTTGTGGCAGTGAAAATCAAATGAGGAGCTGCTCAGAATTTGGGGGAAAGTGCCCAGGTTGAACTGGTGAATGAACAAAGGGGAGGAAATGAGGTGCAGCTTCAATGTCTCACCAGAATAATGTCTGGCACCACAGCTGCTGAGCATGGAGCCAGTGTTTCCTTTGAGCTTTTCCCTCAACCCACCCAGAGCCCTAGCCAGCAGTCAGCTCAATCCCTATTGATGTATTACTACTACTACTACTACTACTACTACTACTACTACTACTACAGTTTATATACCACCCTTTATCAAAAGGTCCCAGGGTGATGTACAACATTAAAAACACATTTTTTGCTTCAATGGGCATTATGTTACACTTCCTTGCACTGAACCTGCTTTTGCCATTTTGTTGGCAGAGATCCTTCTGCAGCTCTGCAGTTTGCTAGTGACCTGACGGGGTCTTGACCACTCTCACTGATGCTATGGCAACTGCTAGTTCTGACTCCAAAGGTATTTAACTGGTGGCAGCTGCCCTGGAGGTTGATCTGTTTTCCAGACCCAGTTCAAGATGCTGGTTTCTACCCACAGATCCCTCAAGGTCAGGGGACCCTCTTATTTCTGCCCATGGCTCCTCCCCCCATGCCACAGCCTTCTCCTGAGATTTAAGCTCCACTAAGGAGGCCCTGCAACAAGTGTCACCTGGTTTGCATTCCAGTCTGGCCTCCATGCTGCCAGATTCCCCAAGCTCTGGCATCTCCATGAACCCGGTTCTCTTCCACCCTTCTGGAAGCAGACCCAGACCTGACCTAGCTGTTGAGATTAAAGTCTGCATATCTCGGTGCAGCTGTTTATTGTTTGATTTTGCTCTTACTGGATTTTTGGTTTTAGGAACTTAAAAGCTGCCTTATATATGCAGAGTCAGACTGATCAATATTATGAACCTTACCAGTAAGGAGTTATGGAGCTGGTTGCTCCAAGCTCAGAACATGTAGTTGAAACAAGTCACCCTAGTGTGTCTGCACAAATAATTTAGAAACATTCACTACTCTGGAACCTAAGTTGTACTGCCTGTGTTTTCTAACTGCTGTGTGGAAAAGCACATGAACCTGACCTTTGAAAAGTTTGTAAAAATATCCCTTTTAACCTACTAAACATGTGGTCTCTTACTATGCTAAGGGAAGAGAGGAGCAATATAGAAGAGGCTATTTTAAAGGTCTAAGAGCCTATACTTCCACACATTACTTTTTTGCATAAGTTGTGATTTTAAATTTCTGCTGGGTTTCTCTCACCAAAGAGTACTTGCTCCAAAACTTGATCTTGGCTTCCAAGGCACTCTTTTTTATATACCTATATAAATCTCATTTAAGCAGAGGTTGGATGGTCATCTCTCAGGGACACATTCGTTGAGATTCCTGCATAGCAGCGGGTGGACTAGGGGACTCTTAGGATCCCTTCCAACTCTACAATTCTATTATTCTAATTGGTATAGAAAAGTTATGAAATAAAATAAATCCCGCCCTTCCCATGTCACAAAACACATCATTGATATAGAATTAAAAACCATAACCTGAAAACAATTAAAACATACGAAATACAGCGATTTGTTGATACACATAGTGCATAACACCATTCTCTTTATCGTAAAGGCAAAAATGGCCACAATACCATTGGGCTGGTGGTGCAATACTCAATCAATTTGGACAGAATCAGGTCCACTCTCGGGAGAACTTCATCTTTGATCCCCAGGGCCACCTGCCCATAGCAGAGCAGAAGGGTGTTCCACTTGAAGTCCTGGGGGTGGGGGAGACAGTCAGTGTTGCCAGGATCCTGTCCAGCATTACAGGGAAGCCAAAGTCAATGGGATTACCCTCCTTCTATCATTCCCCCAAAGGTCCTTCCCTTCACTCAAGCAGCAGAGAGTTTGACTTTCTTTTTTGAGAAGACAAGATCCCTGGAATCCCTGCAGACAGAGGTGGCTCCTTAGTGCCTGCCTAGTGGAGAACGAGGTCAGAGGCCTCCCTGGTGAGACTGTGGAAAGTTCTGCAGCAGCCTCTCTGACTGCAGGCGGAGGTGGGGGTGGAGAATGACATGAATCAGCACAGTGCTGAATTCAGGGTGGTGAGGGCAGCTGCCTTGCGTGTCTAATGCATCCTGCAGGCACTCTGGGAAAGGCCAAGGATCTTGCCTTCTGTCCAGCCTTGGGCCCATCAGGAGCCAGAGGTCACCAGGAGGGACTACGTAAAGCCTCCATTACAGGACTTGCCACACTTGCTTAAGGCAGTCTCATATGTTCTGGAGTCATTGCAACACAGAGAGACATTGCCAAACAGAGTGGAGCAGAGCAAGGAGTTTGGGAAGCCACAGCCAGCAGCAAGGAGGACCCAATGGCAATCAAGCACTTTTGCTGACAATGCAGAAGTCGCCTCACCCTCCCTGAGAACCAGTGAGAACACCAGACTTCGGCTGTGTCACGAGCAGTAGGCTCGTACTGTAACCGGTAGGCTAGTCTTTGCAGAAGTACAACATAGCCATGTCCAAGAGAAACTCATAACTTCCATATTTATACTTGGGAATAAAAATTGTCTAATTTCAACAAAATATTTTGTTGTTTAAGAATATAAAAAGGAGAGGAAAATACAATACCATGAGCATCTCCCCTCCCCGCTGCCCTGACAATGTATTACTTTTCTGAAATAATACCTGGCTGCTGCTTTCTGTAGATGTTTCATGGGTGGAATAAGCCTTGCTGAAGTTCTCCAAAGCTTTGAAAACCTCATCAAGGTGGCGAGACGCAGCCAAGCCAACTGCAGAAGCAATGCCCTGAAGGAGGAGGAACCAGCCAAAGGAAACAGGGTGAGGAGGGAGCAGGGCGTGTGCGCACATGGCCCCATCTCTGCACAAGTAGATGAGCCAGACCAGACCATGTTTGTCCTGAGTTACACAAAACTCTTCCCTGGGCAGAGAAGCCAGGCAATGGGATTCTCTGAAAGGTTTCAGAAACCGATGATTACAAATGCAAACATTTTAGGCACTTCAGCAGATCAGCACCCTTGGACGGCAAAGGGCTGCACACGACATAAACAACACGCTAAAGATCTCTGCTAAATCCACTAGCCTTTTAGGATACAATTCTCAGGCAAGTCTCTCAAGGCGACCAAGAGACTGATGGCACTCCAAGGACTAACCCAAAATGTATTGTGATATCAGCATTCATGGATCAGAGGCCACCTAGTCAGAGACATGGAACGGCCACCTAAGTGGGCAAGGAGACCACTTCTGAGGTTGCAGGGTTTGAACTCTATCCAGGTGGCTCTCCACCTGCTCACTGACTGCTCACTTGGTGCACCTGGCAATGAAACTCTGGTCCACAAGATAAAGCATTAGCCTTTCAGATGTCATAGGATTCTTGACTGTTGCAACAGAGCAAACCAACAAATCCAGCTCTTGTTCCTAGTCAGTCACCACCAGTTCAGACTCCATGATTAGACTTCTTTGCCCCAATATACATCGCTTGGTACTTGCACCTGCCGTTTTGCTGCCATTTCACTCATTTCACAAACTCTTTCTACAGCTTCTTACAATCCTGTGGTTTTTTTAAAAAAAATCATGCTAAATAACATAGTATCATTGTTCATCACCAAATTTGGCCACCTCATTGCTCATCCCCAACTCTAGATCTTTCATGAACAAGTTAAAAGCAGAGGTCTCTCCTTTCTTGTAACTTGAGTCCATTGGCATAGGCCCTACCCTCCAGAACAGGAGAAAACAAGCTTGCTCCACCTACTTCCTTCCAATGGGAGAACTGCCTCTGCTTCCTGTTTCTTAACCAGTTATTGATCCACAAGGGGACCTTTATCCCATGACTATTGAGCTTACTCAGGGGTTTCTGGGATGCGGCATTTTATCAAAAGCTCTTTGAAAGCCCAATTACACAATGTCAACTGAATCACCCCTATCTGTATGCTTGTTACAAAACTCTCAAGGTTTTGTAAACTGTTTGAAGGTTTTCTTACAATCAAGTTGTATAAGAATTGTGTGGGATGGAAATATACAAATAAAATAATGCTAAAAGGTTAATGAGACAGGACCTAACCTTGCAGAAGCCATGCTGGTTCTGTTTCAACCAGGCTTGTCCTATCTGCTTCATAATTCCACATTTCATAATGCTTTCCACCAGTTTTCCCAGGGCAGACATTCATCTAACTGGCCTGTCATTTCCCAGATCTCTTCTGGGTCCCTTTTTGAAAACTGGTGATCCATCAGCTACTTTCCAGCTTGACTGCTGCGCTGGTCCTGTGGACAAGGAGGAGGCTGGAAACCTCTCACCTTTTGCTTTCCTCTTGGATTACTGAGCTGTGCCAATGGCCCAGCATCAGCCTTGGGCCCCAGGGATGTGTCCAGGCCCTTGTGATCATGTCAGATTGGGCAGGAAATCAGGTGACAGATGTCTCAAGAGAGCCAACTCAGAGGCATTTCTCCCTCCCACACTCAGAGCCACTTTTCTCCGGGACAAGCAAAGCTCAAATTCTTTCACCTGGTTAATGAAATGCCCTGAGGATGGGTGCTCTTCTTTCTCCTCTGGGCCTCCCCACCTGCATTTCCCGCGCCAGCCCAGCCCCCTATTCCCTGCCTCAGAAAGTGCAACACTTCACAGGCTGCTCTCCTTCTCCTGACCCACACTTCGCCCTAAGGTCCAAGCTGGGCCATCAAGGACAGCAGAAGGATGTGGGGCTTGTCTACAAATGCAGTGATGGAGCCCCTTTCCTGGGAGGAGATCAGCTGCCTTGCCTCACCGTGGCTTCCCAAGGTCCTCTGTGGTGCAAGGCCAGGAGATGGCTGAGCTGCTCCTGGACTAACTGAGAGTCATCTGAGACACGCAGGATGGCCCCATAATACTGATAGAGAAAGACCTGTTGGAAGAAGAGGAAGAAAACAAACACCCACAAGATCACAGGGAGAACCTGGAGTGTGTGTGTGTGTGTGTGTATGGGTGGGTGTGGGTGTGGTTGACTGAGATTTCTTTTCCAAAGCATGTTACAATAGTGTTGTGAGCCTTGGTGGTAGTGGGCTGGGATAGGTGGTATTCCCAAGTCCCTTCTAATTCCTGGATCCAGCAAGGATTCAGTTGTTGGAATAGCCAGGCCAGCTTCTTGGTAAATTAATAGCCCCTAAGTATGTGCAGCTGGGGTAACAAAGGAAGTGGCTTTGTGCTGGTAGCTATCCCTTCCTCAACTGGCTTGTAGTTAGAAGGAGAAAAGGCAGAGTTGAGACATGCGTGAGCTAGGCTGGAAGCAGGAGGCTGGCAGAAGCCTGAGAGGGAGAGACATGCTTTATTTCTGTTTGAAACCAAGGCTGTGACTATGGGAGAAGCAAGACCTTTTGGGGTTAATACATTGGTACCTTGGTTTTCAAACTTAATCCCTTCCGGAAGACTGTTCCAAAACCAAAGCATTCCAAAAGCAAGGTGTGCTTTCCCATAGAAAGTAATGCAAAATGGAATAATCCGTTCCAGACTTTTAAAAACAACCCCTAAAACAGCAATTTAACATGAATTTTACTATCTAACGAGACCATTGATCCATAAAATGAAAGCAATAAAAAATGTACTGCAGTCACACACACAGAAAAGAGCTACAAAAACAAAATAAATAGCAAAAACAGACAGACCTCAGAGTAACACTCAAAATGGAAGTGTGGCACTCAAATCGGAAGTGTAACGCTCAAAATAGAGCATGTTTGGCTTCGAAAAAAGTTTGCAAACCGGAACACTTACTTCCAGGTTTGCAGTGTTTGGGTTCCAAGGTGTTTGAGTACCAAGGTGTTTGAGAACCAAGGTACCGCTGTACTCTGAGCTCCTCCATCGTAGGCTGAGGTTGTATATGTGTGTAAATAAACCACAGGTCCTAAAGGCACCACATTCTCCACTGTCCCTCATTCCCAGGAACTGAATGCTGGGAAAACACCTGGAACCTCTGGAATCTCTCACTGCTTGGAGACTGGGGTGGTGTGCAACATAGAAAGTCCTTCTTCATGCAGTACAAAGTTAAGCTGTGGAACTCCCTCCCACAGGAGGCAGGGATGGCCACCAACCTAGATGAGTTTAAAGGAGGAATGGACAAATTCATGGAGGAGGGTATGGCTTTGGGTGGCTCCTAGCCAGGATGGCTCTGCTCTGCCTCTACAGTTGGAGGCAGCAATGCTTCTGAATCCCAGCTGCTGGAAACCGCAGGAGGGGAGAGGGCTCTTTGCTCAAATCTTGCTTGCAGGTTTCCCTTTGTGGTTGGGTTAGGGGTTCAGGGGCAGCATTTTACAGCTGTAGGGAACTGAATGAATGGAGAAAAGAAACATGACTGGATCACATGAAAACTCCATGAGAAACTTCTTCTGGAAAGCTGACCGGATTGCTAGGACCCCACTGACCCCAGGGGTGGCCAGAGCCCCAGGCCCCCCACAAGCAGAGCAGTTCATGGGGCTTCCTTCTTCCACGAACCTTCTCCGGGCTTTGGTCGTTCTGGGTCTGCTGCATTCTCATCAACTCACGGCTGAGCTCTGCACAGCAGGCCTTGTCCGTGACGTCAATCAGGAGCCGCTCCACAAACTGCAGGACAAAAGAGAGAAACAGACTGAAGGGCAACAGCTGGCTCTTCCCAAGGCCCTCCACTGCAATGCCAAATGCTTTGGAGTGGCCTTCAAGATTGCTCAAATATATCCCTTGATTTTGTTTTAAAAACCTGACTGGTGCCTGAGGGTCCCCACTGTGGTGCCAGCAGCAGAGAAAGGCTGTTTGAACTTAGCCAGCAAATTTAATGTACTTTAATATCACCCCACCCCACAAGTTAGAACAGCCCCTCTGTGACATAGGTGCACCAGTTTCCTCCTGCCTCATGACTGGTTGGCTCTGCTTAGGTCACCTGAATAAATGCCCCCCCCCGCCCTTGAGGAAGAAGAGCTCTCACCTTACCTCCACCAGCTTTCGCTCCCACACATCAGTCTTGTAGGCGTCACTCTCTGTAAAGGCTGCATAGGAAAGGCAGGCAGTGGATCAGGGCCACTGAGTTTCATGAGCATCATAAAGCGCTTCAGACACTAAGTCTGTGGAGCAAGCAAGGATTGGTCCTTTTGGCCTATGCAATGCTAAATCTGATGGTGTGGGCTTCAAATGCATATCATAGGTCCTTGCATTTGAAGCCCATGCCATTATAGGCTGCAATCCTAACCCCACTTTCCTAGGATTAAGCTCCACTGAATACAGTAGGACTTACTTCTGAGTAGACATGGTGGTAATGACAGTGTTAGACTGTGCACCAAAATAAACACAAGCTTATCAGCAGCACTCAAACTGTGTGTGTCCAGAAGAGCTTTGCTAGGCATTTCCCCAGAGCTCATTTGCAGGCTTCAGCAGCAGCCACGGGCAGTTCATTAGCAGTTCTCCAAATCTGTGAGGCAACTTTTGTTCATGGGAGGGGCAGGAGAGGCATAAGGGGAACAATGAGGGACCTTGAGGGATAGACAGGCAGCGCCCGCTGTGCAGGGTCTCTCTTAGAACACACTGTCTGGGTATTTGCCCCCATCTGCCCCAGTATAATAAGGGGTGGTGGCCGTTTTCTGTGATGGGCAGCTAGCAATGCTGGTCTTGTGCAGGGACCTGCTGATGGAAGCTGGCTGCTGCCTCTGGCTCATTTGGCTGAGCAGGCCTAGTTTTCTCAAGGTGACCCCTATCCCAAACACACCAGAGAACTTTGGATCAGAACCAGCTCTGTTTTGAAGACACAGAGGCAGAGTGGAAAGGGAGTACTGGGAAGGATGAGGCTTTTGTACCTTTGTTTGCCAGTTTCCCCAGAACACAGAGGATGCTACGGTATGGGAGCAGCCGCCCTTGGAAGCCGTCCAGGAGCTTGCTCAGCACTTCTACTGGGAAGTGGTTCCAGAGGGCCACCAGGATGTCACCAGCTGCATCCTGGTACAGGTCCTGAAGATCCTGCAGAACCAAAGGGGATATAAATGTCAGGTGGGCAGCTGAGGCCACTTGCCCATTTCTGCTCTGTGGGGAGTGGGGGGCACTGCAGCTGAAGGGACCTTTCACTCAGGCACCCCCCACCCGCTGTATTTCTAACAGGCGCGGACAAAGCTGTTGGTCAGGGTAATATGGTGAAAGGTTGTTTTCCAGAAATTATCATCACAGGCCATTAAAAGACAAGAGGCAGGATTTAAATTGAACAAGTTAAAAACTAAGGTTTTAGAGAAAAATTTAACACCGATTGAAAGAGAGAGGTTTCAGAATGAGACAGGTTTAACAGTGGTTAAGAAAGTTAAATACTTGGGGATAAACATGACAGCAAAAAATGGGAACTTATTTAAAGATAACTATGAAAAATGTTGGTCTGAAGTGAAAAAAGATTTAGAAATTTGGTCAAATTTCAAGCTTTCACTGCTGGGCCGTATTGCTGCGATAAAAATGAATGTATTGGCTAGAATGTTGTTTTTGTTTCAAACTTTGCAGATCGTGGACAAGATGGATTGTTTCAAGAGGTGGCAGAAAGATATTTCTAAATTTGTCTGGCAGGGCAAGAAGCCCAGAATAAAATTTAAAATACTAACGGATGCAAAGGAAAGAGGTGGATTTGCCCTGCCAGACCTCAAACTTTACTATGAATCAGCAGCTTTTTGCTGGTTGAAAGAATGGCTACTCCATGAAAACACTGACATTTTGGACTTGGAAGGTTTTAACAATGTATTTGGATGGCATGCATATTTATGGTATGATAAGGTCAAAGCACATAAAGCATTTAAAAACCACATTGTCAGGAAAGCGCTGTTTAATGTTTGGATAAGATATAAGGATTTGTTAGAAAATAAAACCCCAAGGTGGCTGTCACCAATGGAAGCGAAAGCCTTGAAAAAGGTCAATATGGAGGTCAAATGGCTGAAATATTGGGAAATTTTGGAACAAGACGGAGATAGACTGAAATTGCAGAGTTTTGAAAAATTAAAAAACAAAGTGCGAGACTGGCTTCATTATTTTCAGATAATGGAGGCATTTAAATTGGACAAGAAAATTGGCTTCCAGGTGGAAAGATCAAAATTAGAAACAGAACTGTTAGAACCCAAAACTAAGAATTTGTCAAGAATGTATAACTTGCTGCTGAAATGGAATACTCAGGATGAAACGGTAAAATCGGCTATGATTAAATGGGCACAGGACGTTGGACATAACATTATGTTTGCTGACTGGGAACAGTTGTGGACCACAGGTATGAAATTTACGGCATGTAATGCCTTAAGAGAGAATATTATGAAAATGATATACAGGTGGTACATAACCCCAGTCAAGCTTGCAAAAATCTATCACTTGCCCGATAATAAATGTTGGAAATGTAAAGAAACTGAAGGTACATTTTTTCACCTTTGGTGGACGTGCCCAAAGATTAAGGCTTTCTGGGAAATGATATATAATGAATTAAAAAGGTATTTAAATATACCTTCCCTAAGAAACCAGAGGCCTTTCTCCTGGGCATAGTCGGCCAAATGGTGTTAAAAAAGGATAGAACTTTCTTTATGTATGCAACAACAGCAGCAAGAATACTTATCGCAAAGTATTGGAAGACACAAGAACTTCCCACGCTGGAGGAATGGCAGATGAAATTGATGGACTATATGGAACTGGCGGAAATGACTGGCAGAATCCGTGACCAGGGAGAAGAGTCGGTGGAGGAAGATTGGAAGAAATTCAAAGATTATCTACAGAAACACTGCAAAATTAATGAATGTTAGAGTGATGTTGGATTGAAAATAAGTGGTTTCCAGCTGTACAGGATAAAGTTATATATAGATCAAGATTAAAGATTAGGATTAAAGAAGTATAAGGAAATGGAAACTTGGTACTTAAGGGGTAAAATTTTAACGTTATATTACAGTGAGATTAAAGATTAGGATTAAAGAAGTTTAAGGAAATGGAAATTTGGTACTAAAGAGGTAAAATTTTGATGTTATATTATATTATGATTAAAGACTGGGATTAAAAAAGTGGAAAAGAAACTGCTGGACAAACAATTTGGACTGGAATACAAAAGAGGGGGTATGAGGAAGTCCAGAAAATAAGTAAATTTAAAAACGGAAATGAAAAAGTGATATTGTTTTTAATTGTTCTGTTTATTACGTTTTATTTGCTTTTTTTGTGTGTGTGTGTGTGTTTATTTTCTTTTTTTGGATTATGTATAGTGTATTTGTGTATTTCTTCTTTTATGTCTTTCTGTTTAATTTTTTTTCCCTGAAACCTTAATAAAAATCATTTATTAAAAAAAAAAAGAAAAAGAAGCAGCTCCTTCAGTTTAACCTGGAAACATGTTGGCAGGGGGGTTGTGGAAGATCCCTGGAACATGGTCCAGCTAACTGGTTGTGGTGAAACCATGGGCGGCTGCATTTCAAGGCACCTGAGATTCCCAGAGCACCTGCAAGGGCAGACACATGTGGAGCACATTGCAGAAATCTCATCTGGACCACTGCAGGACCCAGAGTAACTGATAACTGAGTCTGTGTATAAGAGCAAAGTGTTCAAAGGCACTTCTGGCTACTGCTGCCTCCTGGCCACACAGAACCTGCGGGTTGTGCAGGACTCCTCACTAGACTCCTCTGTCAACAGTTGTGTGGGGTGGGGCTGGTTGCTCCTAAAGAGGACCTCCCTGGACCCCAAGGTGCTTGACAATTACCACCCTGCCACAAATACCCCTTTGGGTGTGAGGTGGTTGAGAAGGTGGTGGTAGTCCAGTTGCAGACACCCTTGGTGGAAATGGGTTGTCTTGACCTCTTCCAGCCTGGCTTCAGGCTCTGCTTTGGGGCAGAATCTGCCTTGGTCAACCTGGTAGAGAACTGTCTTCAGGAGAGGGATGAGAATGGAGACCTTGCTGCTCTGTGGCTTTCATCACCACTGACCATGGCCTCCTCTGGACCTTCTCCATGAGCTGGTGGCACTGTGGTCCAGCAGTTCTGCTCCTACCTATGAGTCCAGTCAGAGAATAACACTGGGGAGTTATGCTGCCCCTTGGCAGTTGTGCTGTTGGGGTCTGCAGGGCACCATTTTACCCCAGCGCTGTTTAACATCTATATGAAGCCATTGAGAAGGGTGTCTGGGAGGTCTGGGGCAGGGTTTCAGCTGTATGGTGATGACACCCAGCTCTGTTTCTGTCTTGCATCTGACTTGGAAGAGGCTGTGACTGTTTTAAGACAGTGCCTGGGTGCAGTGGTGAGCTGGATGAGGCCAACAAACTGAGAAAGAATCTTGGTAAGATGGAAGACTCGGTGAAAAGAGTCTCCAAGGTCTGGGAGTTGGGGAGCTCATCAGTTGTGGATGGAGTTATTCTCCCTCTGAAGAAACAAGTGCATTGTTTGGGGAGCTCCTAGACCCATCTCTGTCACTGAAGGCTCAGATGATGTCTAGGGAAAAGCAGCTACGGTCAGCATAGACTGGGATGCCAACCACACCTTTTTCTTAGCTGCTATTACTGGGGATGGGCTAATGGGATGGCCTGTTGTTCCACCAGGGCTCTGACTGAATGAAATTCTCCCGTATTTGCAATATGCCCAAGTACTGGAAATTATTGGGTTGCTTATATCCTTATTTCTATTATGTATTTTGTGCTTTTTATATTATAATTTTATGTTGTGAACTGCACTGGGATCTACAGATGAAGGGTGGTATACAAAATTAATGAAAAATAAATAAAATATTGCAAGGCTTGAAAGGTGGTGGGAGAGAGCCAGCATCGCTCACTCCTTCAGCTTAGTGATATATGAAGCATCTATTTCACCAGTTCGCTCCTTACTGTGGTCCTCAACATATCTTCAGCAGCTAGTTTGATGATGACTTTAGCCAGTTTGTAGTCTACGCTATGTGCCGACCTGATCACAGCCTGCAGGATTTCATTAATACGCAATCGATGCTTTGGAGAGATCTGCAAAAAAGAAGGAAATGCTAAAGGAAACCAAAAGTCTCATGTCAAGTGCCAAAGGTGGTTTGTGGATGCATGCAAAAAGCAGCAAAGGCCAGCACTGGATTCACTCAAGGCACCCTGAAAAAAGAAGAGAAAAGAAGCTTCCGTCTGAACCCACACCAGACTACTCAAAGAAATCATCCAGGTGAGAAGCCACAGAAATGCTTTCAGAGACAGATTTAAGCTTAGCACAAGGCCCCTCACATCTCACTTGGAGGACTACAAGGCTTTCCTCTCACAGAACAGGGGTGGATCCTGAACTCCCCTGGCCTTGTGGGCCATTTTAACAGTTGGCTGGGGCCTCTTTCCTGTCACTCACCTGATGACCAAGCTGAAAAAAGAGATTCCTTTGCAGACATGGCTGGCGCCAGAGGAAGGTCCTTTGTTGCACCAGCTTCCATTCAAGCAGGTGCCACAAAGGGGCCTGCTCTGGTCAGTGCTGGTCAGCTGCCCTCTGTAATGATCTCTGGCAGGCAAGCAAGCCCTGATAAGAAGTAATGATTCTCCGACAGTTTTATGTATGTTTATTTACAAAAAAACCCACACATCCAGAGCACAGCTTCTCACCTGCTCACATTTACAATAGTTGGTCAGTCTGAATCTTCACATCTCCCACAGCAGGAAGGACGTTAAACTCCCACCTTCCCCTCTTGCCCTTATGATCTTATCCAGATGCCTAGAACGGGGACTGAGAGGCTGGCCTGCCCCCTCCCCACGGACCTCTGCTTATCTGCTATGCTCTGGCTGCCTTCCAACTCTTCCTCCCCTTGAGAGATAACAGAGTCTTCCCCAGGAAGGGGGGGGTGAACTGCCCTTTCTTGACTCTGTCAGCCAGCTCTCATCTGCAGAATTGTTCCCTCGTTCACTTAGTTCAATTTCTGAGTCTAACTCTTTCCCTGTGCTCTGGGGGGGGGGGCACATTCCCACCTGACACCCTCCCACCAATTTGCCTCACCACCACACCCCAACACCAAGACGGAGCAGTCCTCCTTGTGTCCCCCCGTGAGCCACCCTTTCTGCTTTCTCCTTTCTGGCCACACACACCATCGCAGTCTGTGTGTCTGACTCTCCCAGACACCACTCTGCTTCACATAAATGCTTCAGAAGTGCCCAGACGGACACACCAAGCTGCAGCTGGGGGGCATGCAGGTCCCCCTGCCCCCTGCTGCTCCCAAGGTCAGTAGGTGCCTTTTGCAGGTGGTGCTTGCTTGGAAGTGCCTAAGGAACATCCAGAAAGGTTCCAACAGCAGAAGAGCCCTTCTGATGGGTGCTCTTCCTGATGGCTGATAATGGCTCCAAGTTCAAAAAGCATCTTGAGAGGCAGAACACAGCATGATTCACCTAAGGGTGTTTTGACTATGAGGATGTAGAAACCACATTTTATAATAATAATAAGTTTATTATTTATTCCTCACCAATCTGGCTGGGTTTCCCTATGCCATAAATGATGTGTAATCATTGGGGGTCATAAGCAGACCAGATCCAGGAGACCCTCAGTTCCCTTCTGCAGCTAAGCCTTATTGCCATTGCTATTTAACATCAGCATGAATCTGTTGGGAGCGGCCATGAGGCATTTGGGAGCATCTCACAGTCACAGAGTTTTCCTGCCTACCTTGTGGATGCTCTGGCGATACTTGCAGATGGCCCGCAGGACCCCGGCCAGCTTGGTCTCTGCCAGGGCACACAAGTTGTCAATGGAGGCCTGCACCAGGAAGGGACCAGTTCCTTCCCGGAGATTCCTCAGGTTGCAGAAGCAGATCTGTGATTCTGGTAAAAGGAAAGAGTGAACCCTGACCAGGCCATTCTGAATGGGTCATTTATTTTTTATTAACATTTATGCAATTTCTATGAAGAGGTAAAATCAGTTATGATTAAATGGGGACAAGATGTAGGTCAGAACCTTATGATGGAAGATTGGGAAAAATTATGGAAAACTGACCTAAAATTTACAGATTGTTCCCTATTGAAGGAGAATTACATGAAGATGATATACAGATGGTACACAACACCAGTGCGGTTAGGGAAAATGTACAAAACTAGTTCAAATATATGTTGGAAGTGTAAGGAAAAGGAGGGGACATTTTATCATATGTGGTGGGATTGTAAGGTAATTAAAAAAATTTGGGAAATGATATACAGTGAATTGAAGAAAATGTTCCATTCAACATTTGTTAAAAAACCTGAAGCATTTTTATTAGGGATTGTAGGGAAAGATCTGCCAAAAAGTTGAAAAACATCTTCATGTATGAGACAACGGCTACAAGAGTTCTGGTAGCACAAGAATGGAAGACTGAAGAAACCCCAACCAAAGAATCATGGCAAGAAAAATTGATGGACTATGCAGAACTGGCAAAACTGACATACAAGCTATGGGACAAGGATAACTGTGACTTTAAAGATGAATGGAAACCCTTTACAAAGTATTTGAAGATACAACAAAGCGAACTGGACTCCTTTATACAACTGTGTAACATGCAGAAAACAGCATTTTTAGAGAAATCAAAGACTGGAACTGAGGGAAGTCGGGGGTGGGGTGGGTGGGTTCTGTGGGGGGAGGGAGGAAAAATGGTGGGAAATAAGGATGATATGTTTCTGGATAATATGTTTTGTTTTAATTTTGAATAAAAGCTATTTTAAAAAAAACATTTATGCAAGTTCTGTCCTAATACATGAAAGGGGGGTGTGGGTTGTGGGCAGTAGTGCTGCCACCAAAAGAGAAGCAGTTCTGCTCTGCTCTCTGCAGCCAGCAAGTGAAGCAGCCTTTTCCAGGGGGTGGGGTGAGGGCTCAAACACAGCACCTGAGCCTCTCCCTGTGAAAAAGGGTGCCTCACTGGGACAATGATTTCATGACCCCCTTCTTCTGCCTAAGGCTGACAGCTCACCATTCTCGTCTAGCTCTTCCTTGTGTGGCTCTGCCCTCTCCTTTTGCCGGGGAAGAGCAGCAGGCGCTGTGTCTCTGCTCCGACTGTGCTCCTCTTCTCTCGCTGGATGAGCCCGCACTCTATTCTTCCGTGGACTTGCTCTCTTGAAAACGGAGCAGATCCTGGAACAGAACTGAGAGCTGAGACAGGCAGAAATATCTTTCCCAAAGATTACTTAGATGTTTCCTAAACCCACCATCACCTTGTAATATCAGAGGGCACAAGAGAGAACCATTTTTTTGAATGGCAGTTTATAAAGAGCTCATTGTCCAATATTTAATATGAGAGACTGTGTGTTCTCCAAAAGAATATAACAAAGGAAGACAGCCTCCTCAGTCCTCCCCATGTTATTACAGAGCCCACACAGCTAAAAATGCAGAGCTGACCAGCATGAAGTTCTATAAAGATCTAATAAAACCATAATAGAAGTGTAACAGAATAAGGTGAAATACATAAACTTTCTGAACTTTAACAGAACATGTACAAGCCAAAGTATAGCACCATGCACACATAGGCCTACAAGGGCCAAAAGAATAAGGGAGTCAGTGACATTTGGAGAATCCCCTCATCAAAGGAACAGCTTTTCCTCACCTGCTGAAACATTGGTATCTGAAGAAGTGTGCATGCACACGAAAGCTCATACCAATAACAAGAAGAGTTTGGATTTGATATCCCGCTTTATCACTTCCCGAAGGAGTTTCAAAGTGGCTAACATTCTTCTTTCCCTTCCTCCCCCACAACAAACACTCTGTGAGGTGAGTGGGGCTGAGAGACTTCAGAGAAGTGTGACTGGCCCAAGGTCACCCAGCAGCTGCAGGTGGAGGAGCGGAGACACGAACCCGGTTCACCAGATTACGAATCTACCACTCTTAACCACTACACCACACTGGCTAACAAGCTTAGTTGGTCTCTAAGGTGCTATTGGAATTATTATTATGTATTATTATTATTATTATTATTATTATTATTTTGTGCTGAAACATTGACATCAGTCCAGAAAGAGAAGCAAAGAGCTGCAAGAGAGCCAGGTTCACTGAGCCCCTGGGAGAGCCTGATGCTGTGAGTTTTTCACACAGGGCAATCTGCCAGCTTCAGTTAACAGAAAAGTCGACATCTCCCACTCAATTGTTAATCAATTGTTAATCAAGCAGCAACCCAAAGGATGGTTGTAAGTTCCTTACTTATCCATTTGGGACCCAGATTAATGGAAAGTAGGGTGAATTGGGGCCAGAGGTGTACCTAGGCTCCCGAGTGCCCTTGGCAAAGAGCTGCCTCGACACCCTCCTTGTCCCTTGCACCCTGGGTAAGGAGCTGTACTGCCCCCACCCCAAGCAGCAGAGCAGTGGTCTGGGGAATGCACAGATGGCCAGGTGGGATGCTAGCCACTCTGAACCAGCGTGGAGAGGCACAATTTTGCACACATGCACCCAGGCCTGCATCCTTGGCGGGGCCCAACCTGACCAACCCCTAGGTATTAGATTCAGGAAGGTAGCCGTGTTGGTTTCATGGTATCTGAAGAAGTGTGCGTGCACACGAAAGCTCATACCAAGAACAAACTTAGTTGGTCTCTAAGGTGCCACTGGACTTTAAAATAAATAAATAATAATAATTCAATAAATCTCTAGGTATGTCCCTGATTGGGGCATGGGGGGCAGTTTGGTTTGTTATTCCGGAAATATGACCAAACACCTCATCCTGCTGTGGATGCAGCAGGGACCCTCTTTCTCCACACTCCTGCGCAGACTCAGAGGAGAAGCTGTTATGCGCAGAAGTTACCATGACTGGAGTAAAGTGGCAGCAATGGACTGCTTTGAGCAAGGCTTCTCTAATTATTATTTCTTATTATTCTTATTCACTTCGTATCTTTACCACTTTAGAGGGGAAAAAGAAAAAAAATCTCAAAACATCTTACAACACTTTAAAACATCAAATAAAACAATCCAGATTAAAAAGATTACTGAAGAAAGTCAAATCTAAAGTATACATTCAAAGAAACATAATTAACAGGAAACTAAAATATTAACTACATATTTAACACAAATTTAACAAAAAAATGTCTTAAATATTTCAAAAGAAAACATTACTCAAGGAAGTCACACATAAAATCTACAGCATATGTGAGAAAGTAACAGATACATAAATGTGAATGCTCCATTAGTGGTTGCTCATATCCCTTGCGAATCACCTGGAAAGACACAGGTTCCCTATCTCTGAGATATTGAATTTGGTTGTTTAATTGCAGCTGAAGTGGAGCAGAAAGGAGTTCTCAGGTAGAGCTGCTCCACAGTCTTGTTCCCATCCTCACTTCAACCCTTTTAGGGCACCACAGAACTGTTGCTGCATTTTATGGATTGAAGATAGCATTGTCTTTAGCCTGTTAGACTCTTGCAAACTTTCCACTTCACAGAAAGGCGAGGAGGAAGAGGAAGGGCTGGGTTCAGTTCCTCCCCCTGCTGAATTGCTGGTTGGTGTGACAATGGATTGCCTGAGAGAGCTTCAGGCCTGTATAGGTTGACCAGAGTCTTTGTTCCTTCACAATTGCACAGCAAACAGTCGACAGATCCAGCTTTCTTAGTCAGGAGACTCAATTACGGAAACACCAGTGCTAATGTGCACCCGTTAAAACCACACCTGGGCTTTAGGGTGGGTAGGTGGGTAAGTGGGGAGCCAGCAGCTCCAGAGAGACAGGTGAGCTACATTATTTAATGGCTTGCACATTTCCAGCTGCAAAAGGCATGTGCAGCCGGGCAGCTCCTTGGGTCTGGGGCTCCTACATGGTGATCTGCTGCCTCCAATGAGCTGAAACCATTTGTCTTGGCATAGCCAGGGAAATGGAGCCCCCCTCCACCCTTCGCACCAGCCTCCCTCCTGCTCCACACACATGAGTCTCGCCCGCCTTGCCAAGCACAAGGCCAAAGATCTGACAATCATCTAAGATAAGGTCTCAACTTGTGTCCACCAATTACCTTCCACAGAGAGTCATGTTCTTTTGTGAATTTTGTCTGACTCAACTTGGCTGACATTTTCCAGACGTTTGTGGGCAACTCTGTTCTCCAGTTCACCACAATGTACTTTATGTCATACGTGACATCACAATCACGGACTGCATTCATCCCAGTCTGTCAGCGCCAGCACTGAAGCCTTGGAAGCTCTGGAGTTCCCTGCCCACTGCGGAGAGAAGTGCCAGCACATAGCAGATGCCCAGAGGTCAGGGCAGAAAGGGCAGCAGCACAGGGCTCCTCTTGCTGCAACAAGGGCCTGAACGCTGCACCTCCATGTTTTAAAATAGGTGCAGGTTGTGCGAAGTCGCAGCACAGAGCCCCTTCTGCTGTAATCCATTCTGGGTCTTATTTCTAATAAATTTTCTCTCCCAAACTGGTTTCATTTTTGAATTCTGACCTTCTTCCCAAAGACTGCGGTGAACCATCCCAGGTTCTAATGGTGTAACTCTGTAATTTAATAGTGCCAAATGAAGATCATATTGTGACTCTTCTGGTTTGATAAGGAGTTACTATCATGACATGAATTCCATTAGACTGGGAATATTCTGGAAGTGACATGGTGAAACTGTTTTTTATTAATTCTGAAGAGAATCATAGAATCAGAGTTGGAAGAGACCACAAGTTTCCAGGCCTTTGACCATTTTGGTTGCCCTCCTCTGGACACGTTCCAGTTTGTCAGCGTCCTTCTTGAACTGTGGTGCCCAGAACTGGACACAGTACTCCAGGTGAGGTCTGACCAGAGCAGAATACAGTGGCACTATTACTTCCCTTGATCAAGATGCTATACTCCTATTGATGCAGCCCAGAATTGCATTGGCTTTTTTAGCTGCCGCGTCAAACAGTTTGCTCATGTCAAGATTGTGGTCAACCAAGACTCCTAGATCCTTTTCACATGTACTGCTCTCAAGCCAGGTGTCACCCATCTTGTATTTGTGCCTCTCATTTTTTTGCCCAAGTGCAATACTTTACATTTCTCCCTGTTAAAATTCATCTTGTTTGTTTTGGCCCAGTTCTCTAATCTGTCAAGGTCGTTTTGAAGTGTGATCCTGTCCTCTGGGGTATTAGCCACCCCTCCCAGTTTGGTGTTGTCAGGGGTTCAGGAGCAGAGGCACAGGAAAGGGAGGAAATAGAGAGCGAGGGGGAGGAGTCCGAAGGAAATGTTAGCGATGACAGCGGTCCGAGGTCTCTGAGTCTTTCCAGCGAATCGGAAGATTCACAGAAAGGGCTCCCTTGGTCAGAGCAAGGGGGTGCCGAGGGGACACCCCAGGAAGAAGGGGCCAGAGGGGACTCAGAGAGCAGCAGTTGGAAATCAGGACCAGCGTCCACACCAGAGTGCAGTAGGGGGGGGGGTCCCAGGCATCGGGATCAGGCGGCGCACTGCCAGTGGGAGGACATGAGTCAGGATTGGCCACGCCTCCATCGGGGAGCGAGGAAACGGTCGAGAGGAAGGTTGAAGGCTGGGCGCGCGCGCCAGGTTCAAATGTACAGGAGGGCGGCGCAGTTGGCAGCCCGGATAGGGAGCCAGGTCCCAAAGCCCGCCGAAAGAGGGGAGGAGTCAGGGGGTCAGCGTCAGAAGAATCCAGGAAGGAAGGGACCCGGGGGTAGCAGGACCCAGAGGAGAAAGGAGAGACGTAAGAGGTGGAGTAAGGCTAGAATCTTAAACTGGTGTACAGGGGCGGAGACTCAGATGGAGCTCGCCGATCTAACCCCTAGGCGTAGAGCTGGGCGCTGCGGCTTGAAAATGGAAACTGTACTTCAATAAAGACTTTTGTACATTACTGCCGGCTAGCGTTGGTCCTCTGTGAGCTGGGACCTGGAGCCAGCTCTGACAGTAAGCTCCATCTCCTAAAGTTTTGCACCAAAAACCTCGTAACGTGAGTGGACGCAGCGAGGAAGAAGATTGGTGCTTCGCGAGCTCACAAAAGTCAGGCAAGATGACTACAGAACAGCAACTAGCAGCCCTGCAAAATGCAGTGACACAACTCAACGCGGAGGTACTCGCATCCAGGAAAAGGGAAGAGGAAGCGGCTGCCGCCTGCAGGATCTCCAAGCCAGGTTGGAAGTGCTTGCTAAGCAGGGGCAACCGGGACCCAAATCAGAGGGGATTGGGCTGGGGAAAAGAGGAGGCAGCCTGGTATCTCATTTCGATGGGAATTTGCAGCAGTACCCAACTTCCGAGCAGACGTGCTGTTTGCGCTGGAACTGCTGGATAAAGACTTTAGAGATGAGCAAGAGAAGGTGGGGTTTATCTTGTCCCATTTGCATGGGGAGCTAAAGCGTGGCTGCGCAATCTGTGGAGAGATAAGGATCCGGCGCTCCAAAATGCGGATGCATTCATTAAAGCGATGGATTCGTGTTTTTATCAAATATAGACATTGATATCGCCAGAAAAAAGACATACATGGGCTCAAACAAGGCAGAGCCAGTGTAAGGCAGTACCATTCCGCTTTTTGCATTAGTCCATGCGCTGGGATGGGAGAAGGATTCTGCCCCAGCCAGAGACCTTTTTGGGAAGGCTTGAATGCAAATGTGAAAGATGAGATTGCAAGGGGGGAGAGACCAAAGAGCACTCAGGAGGTTGTCCGGCGGGCGCTGCAAATTGGGGTGCGTCTGGAAGAACGTCCATGGAACAGAGAAGAAGGACGTTGGGGACGTACGCCAGTGAGAGCACCTCCCCTCTTTCCCACGTATGGCGCGCGGGTGCAATCCCCACCTCCGCAAGGAGGGAGAGCAACCGCTGGAGATAGGAGGCGCCAGGGCTCCGTCCGCAACCAGAGCCCGAACACCGGGAGCAGTCACCGCGAAGCCTCCTAGAGGGAACAGGAAGTGCTACATCTGCGACAGTGCTCAGCACATGGCGAAAGAGTGTCCCCAGAGGCTCCACAAGCACACTGCAGCCTCAGCAACAGTAACACTGGTTGGAGGAAGAGGCACTGGGGCCCAGCCAGACAAGTCAATGAAGCCGTCCCCAGAGATTTTGCAGCCCACAGACCCCCTCCCGCCCAAACCAGTGGTGCAGCTCACAGCATCGCTCCAACTACCCAATGGACTCACTATGGAAGTGCCGATTACCATTGACTCTGGTAGTAACGCAGACTTCATAGGACTGGATTTCATTCAAGAGCACAACATAGCACTCCTGCCAGCCACGCTGCCTCTGAAAGTTGTCACGGTGGATGGCAGGGAATTGCTGGGGGGGCAGGTGGTGCAGCAAACGCCTCCGATGGTGATGCAAATTGGGAATCACCGAGAGTCATCAGCTTCAATGTCACCCAACTGTCGGACACGCCTATAGTATTAGGCATGAGTTGGCTGCACAGGCACAGCCCAGCATTGGCGTGGTACCAGCGACAACTGACCTTCGGCTCCTCATACTGTGCGGAACATTGCATTCTGCCTAGCCCGGAACTGGGAAGATGAAGAAACGCAGCTACAATTAGGCAAGAAGCAATCAGTGCCACTCAAGAACTCAGCGTTTGTGGAGCTTTAATGCGAGAAGGACGCGGACAAGCTACCTACCCACAGGTCTTATGTCTGCAAGATTGACCTCCTGCCAGGGCGACGCTGCCAACCGGGAAACTGTATTCCATGTCTGAAGGCAGGCTGCAGGAACTCAGGGAGTTCATAGACCTCAACTTGAAGCGCGGTTTCATCCAGGAGTCGAAGGCAGTGGGGGCAGTCCTGTATTCTTTGTGAAGAAGAAGGACACGCCCCAAAAAGGCTTGTGGTGGACTATAGAATTTTGAACTCGAAAACCAAGCCCACAGCCTTTCCCATGCCCAAGATAGATGACCTGCTCGCAACGGTGAGGAAAGGACGCGTTTTCACAAAGTTGGATCTGCGAGGGCGTACAACCTGATTCGCATACGGGAGGGCGGCAGAATGGAAGACTGCCATGTTCACGCCCCTGGGCACCTATGAATACAGAGTTATGCCCTTTGGATTACAAAATGGCTCCCACTGTTTTCAAGCCTTCATGCATCACGTATTGGCGGGTCTCCTCTACAAGAAATGCGTCTGCTTCCTGGACGACATCCTGATATTTTCAGAATCAGAGGAGACCCACGAGGGAGACGTCAAGGAAGTTCTGCAGAGACTGCAGGAGCACAGGCTGTACGCCAAGCTGGAGAAGTGCCAGTTCGACATGAAGGAGGTAGATTTCCTGGGCTACAAGTTGTCGGACAAGGGGCTCGCCATGGACAGCGCCAAGGTTCGCTCAGTGTTGGACTGGAAGAGCCCGCGCAATCGGAAGGAGGTCCAGCGGTTTGTCGGTTTCGCCAGCTTTACCGCAAGTTCATCCAAGGGTTCGCGATGCAGGCGGCGGCCATTACCGACACGCTCAGCTCCAAGAAGAAGAAGTTCATCTGGACCAGAGCAAGCGGAACAGTCCTTTCAGAAACTCAAGCGTCTCTTCTCGTCCGAAGGCAGCTACTGCATGTGAATCCCAGCAGACCGATGAGGGTTGAAACGGACGCCTCAGACAGAGCCGTGGGAGCAGTACTGTTGCAGCAAGACCCGCATGGGGACTGGAGACCGTGTGCCTTCTACTCCAGGAAGCTCAGCAAGTCAGAGCAGAACTACACCATCTGGGACGGGAGTTGCTGGCCATTCATGCAGCATTCAAGGCGTGGCGGCACTTCCTCATTGGAGCCAAACACACAGTGCAGGTCCGCACGGACCATAAAAACCTGGAGTACTGGCGCACGGCAAGGTTCCTGAACCAGAGGCACATACGATGGGCGGAGTTCTTTGCGGATTTCGACTTCAGGATAGAGTACATCCCAGGCGACAACAACATCATGGCGGATGCACTGTCCAGAAAGCCGCAATACCTCGAGGTGGCGGCACCCGCTGCGGCCACGAACTTTTTCGCACCGAATGGGTGGGCGTGCGCTTCAGCAGCCGTTGACCTGGATGCTGTACGTCGAGCACTGCAGGAGGACCCCTTGCGCAAGCAAAGATGGCAGAGGTGCAAAGGGGC